CCACTTTGTTTCTGACTATGCCCTATTCCAGAGACTGATAACTGTGGTATGTATAATGTAGGCGGCTTCTTCAGCAACATCGCAGCAAACAGCTCCTCCGGTGACTACGACCTGGTTATTATCCCAGAGGGAGATGGGTACAACAATACCCTGTCAGGGAGTTGTCCGAACGGAGACACTTCCGAAGGGTACCTCCCCCCCCTAAAAAGAACCCCCTCTACACCCACATACTAACCTTATACCACTCACAGCGACGACTCAGCAGAACAATTCTTAAAGACATACACACCACCCATAATCACCCGCCTCTCCGCCTACCTCCCAAACTCAATAGATTTAACCCCGCTCGACATCCTCAGCATGCAAAACCTCTGCGCATACGAAACCGCCGTACTGGGCTCCTCCTCCTTCTGTTCCCTCTTCACACCCTCCGAATGGGAAAGCTTCGCATACATCCTCGATCTACAATTCTACGGCGACTACGGCTTCGGATCCCCCTCGGGCAGAGCACAGGGTATTGGATACGTGATTGAACTAGCGGCTCGTCTTCAGGGGAAACTCATATTCGAGCAAGTCGCCAACGTTAACATTACTTATGATAGTAATGCTAGGACATTCCCCCTCCATCAGCCGCTGTATCTTGATATGTCGCATGATGATGTGATTGTTTCGGTGTTGGCTGCCCTTGGTGTCGAATACTTTAATATTGATGGGGGAAAGGATGGGGAGGGGATGAGAGGGGATATCAATCCTAACGAAGTGCCATTGAACCGCACGTTCAGGTTGAGTCATATTGCGCCGTTCGGGGCCAGGTTTGTTACGGAGGTGTGGAGGTGTGAGGCTTCTTCTGCGAGTGAGATTGTGGTGGATGGGGGTGGGGAGGTGGTTTATGAGAATGAGGTGGTGAAGGAGGGTCAAGGGAGGGAGTTTGTGAGGTGGGTGTTGAATGAGATGCCAGTTCCTGTTGATGGGGTGTCTGGCTGTGAGCAGGATGCTGCGGGGGCGAATGGGTTTTGTGCCCTGGAGGGGTTCCTTGGGGGTGTGGGCAAGATGCAGGAGTTGGCGGCGTTTGAGGAGGCGTGTATTCAGGAGGCAGGGAGTGGTGGTGGGCAGGTTGGGGATGGGAGGCCTTAGTATTATTACTTTGTAGAGTTAGGGTGGGTGTGTGTGTGGTGGTGATGCAAGTGGTATGACATTGGTATATGGTATGGTATGCTAGAAAATCACGCGAATGGGTATCTAGCTCAAATAGCTGCCGGCCGCCATCTATCGCCATCAACACGAAACAAATATGAAAACAAACAGATAGGAAGCAGACTAAATGCCAGCTTTAGTCAACAGAAATCAGCAGTACACCAGCTTTAGTCAACAGAATAGCAGTACACCAGCGACGCCGTATTAGTCTAGATAATAGTAGGTATCAGCCATCCTCGGAAGGTGGTTCGGAGTCGCTCCGACTCGATGGACGAGATAGCTCCAGCTCTTGCAGCTCGTGCAGCTCGTTGAGCTCGTTGAGCTCATTCAGCTCATTCAGCTCCTCCGGCGTCAGCACGCGTCCGCCCAGCTGCACGTCGTTCACATGCACATTATATTCCAGTGCGCGCTGTCCCTCTCGGATCAGCTCTTCCGTCCATCCCAGACACCGCTTGAGGCTCTGGTTCAGCCGCTGGCTGTCGGCGAGAAGCTCCTGGTGCTTTGCCAGATCAATGAGGAACCGTTTCTCGTCCCGCGCACGATGCTGGGAGTCCTGATCTGCCTGCGAGTCGGGACTCAACACCCCATCTTCCATGGAGTCTTCGTCGCTAAAGTCGGAGAGTTCTTCTGGCGACCGCACAGACGAATGCTCGCTCGCTTCCTCGACTTCAGGAGGAATCGAGAGAGCACCGGACACGGACCGGCTGGACGTCGCCATGGACAGACGCCCCGAGCGACTGAGGCGTCGGTATCTGCGCAGCTCTGCATTCTGCTTCCGCATTTCCCGTTCTAGCGTGCGGTTAATGGCGAGAAGCGACGAGTTGCTAATCTCAAGGTCCATGATCTTCCGCTCCGTACGCGCATTGAGGGCGCCGTTGGCCTGTCCGCTTTCCGACTTGGACGGGCTCTGCATCCCCGAGTTATGCGTATCCACGGAAGCGATGGACCCGTTGCTGAACACTCGCGGCCGGAGGCCTGGCAGTGGTTCAGACGCTATAGTGCTGGCGTCGATCTTGGGTTCTGATGGCGATATGATAAGCGGACTTGGCCGCAAACCTTCCCTCTGAGGAGGGGAGAGTCCACTATTGGCAGAGTCGAGACTCGACGACTTCACGTGTCGTACCGCCGGGATCGGTCGCGCTGATACACTGCTCAACGGGGGACTATGGGCCTGTGACCCTGCGTCAAACGAGTCATCCTGCGACCCGACGACTGACGGTCCATCAGACAGCCGCGGATTCGAGTCCACCCTGGCCGGTCGCAGCCGCGGCGATGCAGACGGTTTCGCCGACACCACCGACCGTGTCAAGCCAATCGACCGACGTTTATACGTCCCCCCTACCTCACTCACCGGGGACTGCCTCTCTTGCGCCCCGTTCGCGTAGATAAAAGTGGTGCCGGAGGTCTTGGTCTGCAGCTTCGGGCGGGGCTCCTGCTCGGAAATAGTCGAACGTGCATCAGATGCATGAAAAAACATGGGGGCTCCGGCTGAATTATCCGACGCAGAATTCGGACGAGAAAGATGGTTGGACTCCATCGTCACGGTCCTGGCCCGGGTTGTCCGCGATGGTTCCAGCATTCCCCCCCGAACGGGACTCCGCTCCGTCCGGAGTCGCCCCGTATTTGACAGCTGGCCCACATGCGGTTGTGACCAGGAAACTTGGGGCGACTGTTGCTGTTGCTGGTGTCCGTTGGTTGGGGTGTTGTTTGGGGAGGAAATAGCACCATCGCGTCTGCTGTTGCGGGAACCGGATCGAGGGGTAACATTGGCACTGAGCAGGGATGAAGGTGGCTCGGGATCCCGCTTGGAGGGGACGGACGAGGGATGTTCGGAGGGAGTCAGTCGCTTGGGAGTTCGATAACCCCCCGGAGTAGCGAGTCGAGGAGTCAGAGGGGATTTCTGAGAACGATGAAAGGCAGCGCTGAGGGCGGGGGTGAGAGGTTTGGCGAGATGGCCATTGTTTTGTTTATCGGCGGCGTTCATACTTGCGGGAGTCGAGGGGCGGAAAGGAGAGCGGCTCATGGCATTGCGACAGTAGTGCTCGGGAATCTGCAAGCATGATGATGGCACCAGCCAGTCGACAGCGGGTTCTTTGGACCGTCCAGGTGATGAGAGGAGGGAAAGAAGGAGGGAGAGAACCGCTGGAGGCTGAAGGGAAAAGAAAAAGAAGAAGATGGGGAGGGAGTGTGGGATGACGATGTAGTGCGTTGAATTTGTTGTTCAACACAACAAACACCGGAGAAGAAAGAAGGATAATTAACTAATTAATTGTTTTGGGTGCAAAACATCCCTCCCCACCCCAATCCGGCTAGTCTCTGGTGGCTCCCCCCTTTCACCGCAATTCAGATCCCTTAAATCAAGGTGTTTCTTATCCCGAATTTATTCTATTCTTTCTTTCTCTGTCTATACATTCTATGATATATTTCTGGCTTGTAAATTTATCACCACTTGAAACCATTCATCTGTTCAAAAATAGTAAGAGTAGTAGTTTTTAACTGCACCACCCTTACTGATCGCAGTCTCCCCCCTTCACATGGGCTGACCATGGGTGAAGTCGGAGCTGCGGCTCTCTCCGCGGTAGTAACCGGACAACCATCACGCCGATCACCCCATCACTCCCTACCCTACTTGACACTACTCTGTACACGACAAACTCTTCTATGATCCACGGAAACCCGGAGTATATTTTGGTGATCTGATCATCTGACAGATGTGATTGATTGATAGATTGATTCATTCCCTGCAGTCCCTTATCAGTTCAGATCTCGTCGATCAAAACATTACTGTACGTCTCCATGGCGAACCTACTGCCGACACGTGATGCGTGACAAACTACTGAACCTATTCGGGGAATGCAAGGGGCCGTCTGCCACGTTGATCTGTGAAGAAGAGATGCAAGCAGGAGAGGATGAGGGAGGGGGGGCTAGACTCCACATTCCTTTCTGGTTGTCAATGCGGGTTTGTGATATGTGGTGAAGTTTATCGGGGGGATCATGCGGGTTGGTATGTACTTACTGATCTATTCGTGTAGTGTTGGTATTGACGAGATACTTGGTGAGTAGTTACTAGTTGTGTAGCTAAGTTGTTGTGCTTTACCTTGGTATAATACTACCCCTTTTGTAGTATAGTAGCTAAGTATAGCATCCTCAGGAGTACCGTGGATGGGTCCTCGTTTAAGGTAGATACATCCGTCAGGACTTACTAACCCTTAATTAGCCTATTAATAGTACCATCTGGCTGGATGCCAGCCAACAATTAATCAATGCAATATAACCAACCAACCCCTTCATGCATGCAATACGGCCTTACTGCGATATTTATGGCATTAATATCTCATCGTCAACCCCAGGTACCCGACCGTTGATGTGTCACGGTGAATAGCTGTGAATCCAAGTCCTAACGTTCTCCTATATACAAGCCTGTCACAATAATGCCCTTATAGTTTCAAATTATACCCAAACTGTGCCAACTGGGCTATCTCTGATCCATATCACGTACTGTGCACTGATAAGATCTGGTGAAGATCGTGAACGGATAATCATCAGGAGTGACTTTGTGGCAACGGATGGTTCCAATTCTCGTGGCTACAGAGTTTCAATCCAATCACGATCTTTTCTGCCCGAGACTGAAGTGCCTGTCATGTCGGTGTCAGACGCAATGCCACCGTGGCCGGCAATGGGTGCCGGTTGCAGCACGACTGCCATGCGGTTAATCGCTCTGCTGGAGTAGACTACTGTCCACTCCTAGGGGCTGGGCGGGAAGAAGCCCCTCTGCTGAAATAGTATGGTGCGACTATGCTAAGTCTTCACGAAAAGAACAACCGTTTCTGTCGCGGATCGGGCGATTCCGTGGTTCTCCGCTTCCGTGTCTTCGATGCAGCCGGAGCCTCAGCCGGAACAGCATCAGAAGCACCCTGAACAGCCTCCTTAATCGTCTGTCTTGACAAACAGTAGTCCACATGGTCATTGAACGCACGATCTTCTGCCACCTGAGGTCGGGAACAGATCGGACAATCCCAATAGACAGGCTGCGACGGTGATGCAGCCGCTTCATCCTGCTTTTCTATAGACTCAGATACCTCCTGGCTCAGCTTCTCCAAATCATCGAGCTCCTCTTGTAATTCTTCCCGTGCCGCTTTCTCAAATGCCTCCTCTGTCTCGATCTCCCGTTCAACCGGTGGGTCGGCTATCTCCGAAGCGGGCTTTGGCCGCGCAGTGAAGCCGAAGAGCTCTATGCCGACCTTCTTCGTGCTCACCAGATTGGTGCAGCGGAGACCAAGGAGTCGCATCTTCAGATCAGGCATCTCTTTCTCAAGTTTCTCCAGCATCGGAAGAGAAAACGCGTACAAGTCCTTGGCAGTCGACACCGCCCGTGGAGGCTGGCATTGTCGTGATAGAACCTCAAAGGTGGCGAGCTTGACTTTAAGAACCAGTGTGCGACCTTTGAACTCGGTCCGTGCCAGATCTTTCTCAAGCTCCTCTGCTATCGACCATAACTTCGCTCTGAACTCCTCTTTATTTCCGATCTCATGGAACGTCCTCTCCGTTCCCACGCTCTTCCGCTCGTAGTTCTCCACCGGCTGAATCTTGGTTCTACCCAAGCCGAGATAGCACTGCATCAAGAAATGGAACGCTTTTTCTCCAAAAAGTCTAGTCAATATGGCACGCTGCGGATAAATGTCGCCGCACGTTCTAATGCCGATCGCATCAAGCTCACGTTCGAAGACGCGGCCAACGCCGTTCACCTTGCGGACCGGCAGCTCCTCCATGAACCTCATGATCGCTTCCCTTTCATTAGGAACGCAAAATTGACCGTTCGGCTTGTTTTTGTTGGATGCAATCTTGGCTATTTTTGCATTTGCCGCAATGCCGGCAGAGACTGAGATCTTGGTTTTCTCCAGGACCTCTGCTCGCATCCGCTGGACCGCCTCCTCGGGGTCAAGCTCATTTTCAGTACAATACGCAGTCAGATTGAGATACGCCTCGTCGATACTAGCGCTTTCGAACGTGGGATCATATTGGGCGAAAATGGCGCGAATTTCTTTTGCCTTTTCCGTATACTTCTCGTAGTTCTGTGGCAGGCAGATCAGCTGAGGACATAGCTTCTTCGCGACGAACGATGCCATGCCGCTCCGACAGCCGAACTTTCGCGCCTCATAGTTGCAGGTCGTCAGCACTCCCTTGCCGACCGCCATAGGTACGGTCTTCAGTTCCGGACGATCAAGTTCTTCCACGGCGGCGAAGAAAGCATCGCAGTCGACGTGGACAACATGTTGCGACAGATCTCGCGTCAGTTCTAGCTCAGCAAGAAGCTGGTCAGCGCGTCGTAGATCCGCCGACAGATCTAGTTTCTCGAGGCGGGCCTTCTCGTTAAGAATGCGTTCAATTTTGACCGTCAAGACCTTGTCCCGATTTTGCTCATGATTGAAAAACTTGGAGCCTTTGGAGGCATTGTAAATGATTTCCGATACCTGCTAATCTTAGCTATACTCCTAGACCGTCGGGGCATACTCACCTTTCGCTGGTCCACGGCATCCTGGCCCGCTTTGGTCAAAGACGGTCCCAGCAGTTGATATTTCAAGGTCTCATAGTTTTCAGCAGACTCCACACTGTTAGACGCCTTTGCATCATCGTTTGGCTCCTCGCCCGAAGGCTCCATCTCTGATGATGGAAGCGAGGATGATGGGGCATAAGATTACCCAAGCAGGCAGCTATTGCGACGCCTGATCACGTGAACACGCGTGACGGGCCGTGTTTCACGTGCCGCTGATGTCAACTCATCCGAGCAGCTGCATCTCGCTGCCAGGCACACAACCGCTCCCATGTGGATCCTAGATTCGGAGGGTGACTTTCTCGGTGGTAATATCCTCACTCACTGCTTGATGGTTTTGGCTGATAGTCAAAGGCAAGCGCGTGTGGCTGCGACCGGGGAAGAAGTATCTCTTCGGTCGGATCAAGCAAGATGGAGGTAAGGTGCTGAGACCATGGTCAAACTCCGCTATACTAACTTGGGTCGCATGCAGTTCGACATGCTATTGATAACAAGTCCATCTCCCGAAAGCATATGATGATCGAAGTTTCACCTGTAAAACCAGGCGATGGAGTACGATGACCGAATTCCTCTGCTTTCCCCGCTAACTGTTCAGTCGCATATCTACACCAGATCGAAAATTGCCGTGCGCGACCTGGGCTCGAAATATGGCACCAAAGTGGATGATAATACGGTTAAGGATGAAAGTAAAAATTTGACTGGTGAGGAGCATGAAATTAAGTTGGGGAGATACGAACATGCGCTGCGGTAATTACCATGGCACGAAACAGTATCGGCAGGGACTAACCGTGGTGGTTACTAGGATCAAGTGGCAGCCAGTCGTCCTTACATTCTCCTTTTCCTCGAAAGAACTCAAAGCGAAAGACCCCCTGGCACAAGTGCGCTCCCGTGTTGAGGATTTGGATATCAAAACGATTGTTCCGTACGTTGTCGACCACACTACACACGTCGTCCAGAAGAAACGGAATACTGCCAAAGGTTTGCAAGCATTGGTGAATGGGAAGTACATCGTGCAGGATTCCTATATCGACGCCTTGGTTTATGCGGCTACCCCAAGCGATCTAGAGAACCTTGAGTCGTTGTCCCCGTTGGAGGCCGATTTCGACACTGCATGGCCGGATGCAACGGCACATCTTCCACCGCCTGGCAAGGAAACCGTACAGAGACCAAAGGAAGCATTTGCTCCGAGATCCGATAGAATCAATATCTTCGATGACTACACATTCGTGTTCATGGACCCTGCACAGTTTGGAAACTTGCAGGATGTTATTACGAACGGTCACGGGAAGGCATTGCTTTACCAAGTGGAAGAAGGGGTAACCACGGCGGCAGAAATCGTGCAATATATGAGAAATGCGGCTGGGGACAAAGGTCTGGGGGGCCAACGGGATGGCCCTGGCGGAGTGGTTCTTGTTCGATACGTTGCGACTGGCCGCCATGAGAACTGGTGGGCCGAGCTGGGTAATGAGGTTGCTTTGTCGACCGACCAGCGCGTTATTCAACAGAGCGAGTTCCTGGACGCTATTCTGGGAAATGATGCTTCTGGCCTGTGTCGTTCTCTTCCCGAGGCCCAGGACATGGATGCAGAACCCACTCCACCAGCTGCTACCCCTGATGTTCAAGAAGTCCAAGACTCACAGCCCCCGGCGGAAAGCCAGCCGTCAACGAAGAGGAAGCCACGAGTTCGAGGATTTGTCAGTAAGATGAAAACATTCGATGATGGCTTCGATATCAACTCTATTCCCGTTCATGCTCCGGAGAGCGTTGATGAATCGCCGCCTTTGATGGAAATCGAGCCATCGCCGGCCGCACAACAATCGCAACCGCAAAGCAGCCTCCAGGAGGAGAAGGAAGAAGAAGAAGAAGAAGACATGGTGTCAAGCCTACTGCCGGGTGCCCAAGCGATGAAACGTCGACGCGCTCAGACGACGGCGAGGACCAAAGAAGCGCCCAGTTCTGAGACGAAAGACGAGGCCATTCCGCGGGTGAAACGCCAGAAACTGGATGTACTGGAGGCCGCGCGACAGCACCGGGAGGCGGAAGATGCGCAGCGCCAGCGTCAGGCGGAAGAAGCGTCGTTGCAAGGGCCTCTTGAGGATGTCAATGTGGAGAAGCTCAAGGGACTTGCAATCGTAGAGGAGATGGAAGTGAAGCCGAGACACGTGAGCGAAGAAGACCGACGTTGGGACGATCGGTGGAATGGACGCAAGAACTTCAAGAAGTTCCGCCGCAAGGGCGAACCCGGGCAGCCTCGCTACCGCATCCAGACGGTGATAGTGCCACTAGAGGAAGTGACGCGAAAAGACTTTGGGATTGGGGACCATTACTGGGTCAGCAATCGCACGGAGCAGAGTCCAGCAGACAGTCCGGCCGAACGAGTTGTCAGCCAGGACGCAGCGGCATCCCGCTCACAGTCCTCGGCCCGGGTCGAGTCGAAGACACCAGCGCCCAGGGAGACCCGAAGTCAACCCCGGGTGCAAAAACGGATGCGAGAAGAGCAAGATTCGGATAGCGATGATGGACTTCGGTTCCGATTCCGTCGCAGGCGATGATTGATGCTCAAAATGTAGTTAGATAGATACCTTTAACCATGACCAGTTCGTTCTCAGCTTTTGTGTGTGTGTGTGGGAATGGGACATTCATTGAATGTAGTTGAATGAAGATTGGCCCACCATCGCATGGCAAGGCATTGTAGTGAATGCAATGGATGTGTTGCCATGTTGCCATAGTGTGGAGAACCACATGCGGGGGGAGCCAAGTATTCAGGGAAGTGGGTATGCTGGGTAGACAAACGCAGTCCTTATGACGCTGTTGGGCATTAAGCGGACCACCTCATAGGCGCATTACCGTGAAGTGTTGTGGTGGATGATATGCGGTCAGCCGTGCATGATGCGAACCAAGTCGTATATACTACGATCAACTCTAATGTACAGTAGGTATTGAATATTGAATCTCGAAGTGTAACAGTATCTGTATCTAAAAAAAAATTACATCATGAGAAGAAGTGGTTGGGATAGTGAGAGTGGACACTTCCATGTGGTCTGTGCCATGGCTCATCCAAAGTGGCCTGGGAATGGAGCCCCCCCCCGACCCGCTGGGCTGACCCCGTTTGAGATGTGTTTCAAAGGGCCCACGGGAACCAAACACTGATTTATGTGAAACCATACGCTATATGTATCTGCCCTGATAGATAGTAGTTGGTTGTCAATTAATTTGGGTCTACAGGTGAGATGGCGGTCTGGAAATAAACCAACTACCAAGTAGAATATGCACACCAATTTAAGAAACAGCATGTCTAACAGTCGAGGGAAAATAGGGGTGGATACTTACTGCTGTAGCATTCAGGTGGTGTGATGAGTCCAGCGGAGGAGAGCGTGACCAGCAAAATCACTAACTAAACCTGTAAACCTGGTTTGGGGGGAACCCGAACAAGGCTGTGTTTTGGCTTTTCCCGTCTTCCCGTAAGAATGACTGCCGGTCATGGTGAATGTGTGCCTGAGGAGAGCCTGGAAGATTCCCTCTCTCTCTCTCTCTCTCTCTCTCTCTTTAACTCTCTTCCCCTCAAAAGTCTCTCCGTCATCCTCGTCATCCCATCCATCCCATCCATCCATCCTCTTCCTATTCTTTCGCTTTCCCACTACTCTATTTCCTCCCACATCATTTCCCATCCCGCCTGGCTGCGATTGCTTTCGTTTCCTCCATTTCTGTATTCTGATCTACATACTCCATACAACCCCATCTCCTCATCGCTACAATCCCACCCCAGCTGCCTGACTGCCTAACCGCCGATTAGCATCTCGCCCACTCGTTCGACTGGCGACAATCTGCCTCCAACGCATCAGCATTGGCACCGCCATGGACCACGTTGGCTAGCCCTGGCTGCAATTCAGATTATCGCTCGTTACCTCTTCCATCCAGCGTCCTGCCTATTTTAGTTTCTCCTTATCACGGACCACAGAACGCTCACAACGATTTCCCCCGTCGCCCGCTGCTCTTAGCCTCCCGTCAATAGTATGTCTCGCAGCGCGCATTCCCCCCCCCAAAATTCGATCCAGTGCCTCGTTTTTAGACTTTGCTTTGCTTTTTCTTGCCTTGGTCACAGGTGATTGAAATACTAACTTCCGACCCACCCGCAGCGCCCTGCTTTAACTAACGATTTACGACTTCCGACTTTTCCTCTGTTTGGCGCTTCCCGGTTTGGTGCTGGCGACCTCGATTTGAATGCCGTCTGCATTGATTTTCTCCCCCTCATCCCCCATGATTTCCACCATCCCCCCTCCCCGTCCGGTCTCGGTCAATTCACTGGCCAGAGCGTCGGCCTCGACAACCATCCCCTACGCCAAAGCGAGTCGCTGCACCAGTGCCGAAATACAGATTCTCGATGGTCCCATCAATCCCCCGGCGGTGGGGCCTGGTCAGCTGGTCTGCCAGTCCCCGGTGGATACCGAAATGGAGGATGCACGGATAAGCGTGGAGACACCTCAGGCCTGCCGATCCCAAGTGCGCTTCGAAGACCTTCCCATCGAGATCCACGAGGCCATTCTAGATCATTTGTTTGGCGAGCGGGCATCGGCCTTCACGTCGTGCGCGCCCGGTAAGTCCGCGCGCAGTTGGAATAAGTCGTTGCGTCATCCCCGTCGAAAAGCGCTCTCCAATTTGGCATTGATCACCCCTGTCTGGCGAGCACTGGTGCAGGACCGAATTTACAGGCACAGTGAGTCCCCACTTGTTAATTTTGGTCTTCCTCAACGCCACAAATTGTTGCATCTGTCTAATTTACTGCCTAGTCAAAATCAAGGGTACCACAGACGAATTGGCAGAAAGTGCTCGCTGGTTCCGTGCACATCCCCACCTGGCCCCGTACGTCCGCCATGTCGAGATCTGGATCCCGGTATGGGGAAAACGAGCCGTTAAGAATACATCGCATCATTTTCCGGCCCGGCGGTTGCATGACGAGGATGCCGGCCTGGTCGAGCCGGGAGTGCCTCAAGCCATTGCATGGGACGACTCCGATACCAACCATAGCACCGACTATCGATATCACTATGCCAGTCATAATGCGACCCTGGAGGAGATGTTCTCTCACGTCAAATCCGAATTTCCCGAAGCACGCATACTGACCCTGGAGGGAGGTCACTGTAAGCGACCGCCAATGGTCCGCCAATTCCGCGATGATCCATGCGGCCATTCCGGACGGCGGCGTTTGCCTACGCTGCCCGCCGTCCAGACGTTGGTCATGCGTGGAGCTTGGAATATCATGCGCGACTATCAACATTGGTTGAACATGTCACAAGCCTTGCCCGGGGTGCGCGAGTGGCACTGCGCCTACGCCAAGCCCAAATTCGAGGCCTACGAGACTGTCGCGGAGATTCTCTCCCGCATATCCCCATCACTCGTCCATGTCAACATCAGCCTGGAAGGCTTCTACAACAAGGACAATACCCAATCTGGCTGGATGCACGATGGAATCAGTCCACCCCATCTCTGCCGCCTGCTTGGCGAGGCAGCCCCGCGGTTGGAGTCCCTTGCATTTACAGGGAAGGTCTGCGCCTGTCTCTTCAATGCAACCCGCAGCTTCATGTCCACCTGGCCAGCCAAGTCCAAGCTCAAGTCGTTGGATTTGGTGGTTAAGACCTGCTGTCGCGAAAAACGAACAAATCCGGGTTTCGGATTTCTAGACGACTTTTCCGGCATCACGAATCTGAACTTTATCCGCTCTTTTGAGAAACTCGTCCTTGGGGCCGTGCACAGCCTGCAGCTGCACACTGCCTTGACGTACATGCGTATCCGCTTCATCGACCTGGATTCAGCTTGTCCGCCACTGAATCCCTACTTCCAGCTGTCCGACAACGAGTGCACTGGTTTGTGGAATGAGAGAATTCTCGAGACCTTGCATGAGGCCCGTCCCCAGGCGCACTATGCAGAGCTGTCCGACGGCATTTATCCCCAGTATGGACACAACCGGCAGATCGTAGGGGCGGTGTACCCGCGAACTCGACCATTAAGTATCCATGCATCGACATACAAAGTCATCGCCGATGTGTCCAAGCCATAGCGCTGCTTCGTTCAATCTGATTGTAGTTTATGATGGGCGGGATGGCAGCAGCAAAAGTCTTGAAATGTAGCCCATATATGATACCAGTCTTTCGACCAAATAATGCAGTAATTGCAGTGATGACAAATAAGTGCATAGTGGAGCAGAGCAGTATTCGACTTTGACTGCAAGGGGGCATTCGGGAACTAGCATAGGAGCTAATACAGTTTGACTTTCAAAACAAAAGCAGTTCCATAGGAGATACACCCATACATATACAACCACACCATTCATCCCACCTATCCCCACCAACCCCATACTACTAGTTATAACCAACCTCATTAATAAACATATCTAAATCTTGGATTCTGCACACACACCCATTAGCAAACCCCAATCCCACCAACACACGCACACACACGCACACACAAAGGCAGAAAGAAGGGAGGAAAAACATACCTCAAAATCCGTCAAATCCTCCATAACTCCCTCCCCATCTCCATCTCCCTCCCCATTCCCCACATCCCCCACACTCCCATCCCTCCTCCTATTCCTCCGGATCAACAAAACCCTAATCCCCCCGGCACAAACAATCTGACACACCGCACAAGCAAGAATCAACTTACACCCGGTCTGATACACCGGCGCCTCACTCGCCAGGAAAGCATGCGGACCGATAATATTCCCAATACAGTAGGCCAGAAACACGAATGCCGTGGCGGTCACGCGCTTCGTGTATCCGCCCATGTTGCTGGAGGGGAGTTGGAGGGCGAGGACGAGGGAAGTGACGAAGGAGCCGATCTATTGCATACCCATACCCCCATTGTATTAGTTATGCGTGTGTTTTTATCTGACTGACATGGATGGGGGGATTTTGGATATGTTGGGGAGGGGAGGGGAAGGGGGAATTGGATCTCACGATATAATACCCAAATAACACGCCATACTCCCTGTTCCGGGATAACTTCCATAAAAGACATACGCCGATGACCGTGGGAATCAGGTATGCGATCATGATTAGGGTGCGGATGTTGGGGATGCGCGTTGAGAGGTAGGTTCCGCTCAGGATGAAGAATACTTGGAATGCCCCTTGGGGGATGCCTAGGACGGTGGTGAGGAGGGGGCTGGTTACGAGGCCTTTGATTATGAGTTTGCCGAACTATGTTTATTTCATTCCGTGTTAGTGGGATTGTGGTTTATGGTGGGGGAGATTGGGGATTTACGTTAGCGACGCCCCCGTTGATCGTCTCGTTCAGTAATGTGAATAGGAATAATAGCCATACTTGGGGGTCGAGGAAGGCTTCGCGGATTTGGTACCATTTTATGGATCTATTGAGTATTCCCTATAGTTTTTTTTTTTTTTTTTTGGTTAGTATAGTGCGGGTTGGGCTGAAAGGGAGAGGAGAGGAGCAGGGGCTAACAGTTTGATTCTTCCTCCCCCTGCCAATGAGTAACACCTTCTCCTCAACACTGAACCTCTTGCTTGAGAGAATGCTATTCGGGAGGAATATCATCATCACCACGCCCCAAATGATTGTGGCTCCGCCGCAGATGAGGAAGACGGCGCGCCATACGGGGAAGGTGTCGAGTTGGCCGATGGCGTAGGTGAGGAGGCCGCCGACCTGATTTTAACTATTAGATTGATTTGGTAGATGGAAGGGATTTAGTGGGTCCTCACCATCGATCCAACACCATTACAGCAGTAGAAGATACCCGCGCGGAAAGGCTGCTCTTGTCGGAGGTACCACATTCCGACGATCATCATGAAGCAGGGTGTTATGGGGGCTATACTGGTTAGTTAGTAAATAGATGTGGGGTGAGGATAGGGTTGGGTACATTCGAAGCAGCCTAGGAGGAATCGACAGATGGCTAGGCCGGTGAAGTTGTTGCAGGCAGCTGTTATCATGAGGATGGAGCCCCAGGCGATTCTGATGGTTGTGTTAGTGGGTTGTCTACCGGGATTTGGGGAGACTCACACGAATGACGAGACGACGGTCCCGATGGGTAGGCGTTGCGCGATGTAGCTGGCGGGGTATTCCCAGAAGAGGTAGCCTATTATCGGTTTGGTAGCTGCGCTGGATGTATCCTGACTATGTAGGGTGTATACCGAAGTAGAATATACTCGCTAGCCAGCTATACTCATTACTGTTGATATGGGCATTGGTGAAGAGGTCGAACACGGCGCTGTATGAGAGGGCCTGTTTATCAATATATTGTAGACAGTATGTCCCGCACATCAACGGCAGAAGAATCATATCGATCCGTCTTCGTAGTTTCTTCGTCCGGACTGGATCGTCGAGCATCTCTTGCATCTGGTCGTGGGATATGCCATGTTCGTGGAGAAAGATCTCGGCTTCGTCAAGGTGGGTGATTTGGCCGATGTCGACGTCATCCACTTTGGTTGTGACTGGGATGGTCTTTTCTGGGTCTTGGGGCTTGGTATTTGATGTTGAGTCTGTCATTGTGAGGGTAAGTATTCTCTAACTGGAGAGAAAGTAGGAAATGGGGAACGGGAGAAATATAAGGTGTATTCATGGCCTGTGGCATTGCGTCGCCCTGATAAGCTGCAACAGCCACCGATGGCAAGCCGTTGTGGTCAGTCGATAGCATGCTTGGTCTTAGTCTGAGCGATAAGATCAATGCGTCTGGGTTATATTGCCGTATACAGCAAGATACACGACTATCTAGGTGTAGACTATCTCGGAGGGTGTCCGAGATAAGACCAGGTGATAAGATGAAATGCGGGGTGTGCGATCGGCATCAGAAGTAGAGCCGATGAGTAGCTGATAATGTGTCTGTACAGTTTGTGCTTCTTGTTAAAAGTATAGAGATGATAGTAGATGTGTAGATTGCAGCGTGTGATGGTCTTATGTTTAGGGCACTAGATGGGTGTCTGTTAAGCTTGCAGTTTGGGCTGCCTTGGGAAGTGGTAAGGAATCCATAATAGGCGGTCTTTTGCCCACTGATTATTATAATGCAGATATTACCGAATGTCTGTAGGTGAAGTATGAACAGTGAATAGGATCGTTCATGATCCGCTGTTTGTAGGAGACTTGAAGAAAAGACAGGTAGTCAGTCTATAACCTTGAAAATGAACTAGAAGTCGACGAAGCTTGGCAACGCCTACTACGGCTGAGCTATCATAACCAATCAATCTTTCATCGCGTCTTCGACCAGTGCTCGACCCGACGGAAGGCCGCCGCTGTTGGCCGCAGCCCGGCGCATGAAGAGCGACTACAACTCCAATCAGCTACCACTCAACTGTTGGATGAACCTCCAAACATATGAAAATGATCCCAAATTAACCTAGAAACCAATAATATGCCCTCTCCATCATGAAACAGCTTATGCACGTGAGATTATATTTATAAATAATCTACATTAATTAATATCCTTGCTGCTGCAGACCTGACCCGCAACCCAACTTAGCGCTGCTGCTCTGCATCTAGTTATAAATATATCCCCCTAATATTACTTAGTATAGTAATCCAACACGTTCTATCTCTGGAAACCACACTATTCGGGTGATATTAATAGGGTCCAACCACTTTAGTCAACTACACTTGACCAATCACATCCCTCGGAAATTTCCAACAGGTTGGAATGGATCGTCCGGGAACATGCTGGGCTGGGCTTGACAGCGGTTGCTGCCGCTGCGGCTATACCCATCTATTTCTGGGGTTGGCAAGCATCTAGAATCAGCTGCTGCATGTTCTCAGTGATGTAGTGATGGCTTCAATATTTAAGTATTCTGGAAGTTCCCGTAGAGATGGTACTAATCGACAAGTCCTTATAGATCAAAGCATCATCCAGAAATCAATCTTCGCAATGGCAGCCATCGAATATCCATCCAGCCCGGCCTCTATCCCCCTCCACCATCACGAAGCAAACGTGGAAGCATCTCGATCTTCCAATGCCGAGAGACGACGGAAGGAAGAAAACCTGGCCAAAGCCAAAGCTAATGTCCAGCGTATTATCCAAATTTACAACTCTGGGAAGCCACTATTCACACGAACACTCTTGAAGGACCTTCACGAGCAGATCATTCAGGGAAAAGACAAAGTTAAGATCCCAACTTGGAATGATGAGGCAAAAACATATAGCCTCAAAGTTCCTAAAGACCTCGCCGAAAGATGGTAAGTCCAATCTGTTCCAATCAGACACAGTCTCACTCTAACAGAGGAAACAGTAGCAGATATAACATCGACTACAGCAGCATCCAGCGCCTAACACTGTTCAGCACACCTCGTCTCGATCTGCTCTTGGAACCCCCAACCCCCGTCTCCATTACGTATGTGCGCGACCCAAGCCCTCCTGGCGTCACACTCAAAGTGATCGACGATACATTCAAGCTGGTCCGCCGGGAATGGCAGGAAAGCGAGACATGCTCTAACCTAGAGGGCTCTTTCGTGAAACCCAGGTTTGATCCGGAGACAATCAAAATCACCAAAATTGTTGCATTTGGACTGGGAACTCTCGGCAAAAACAACCTCGGGGAACTTCCGGTCCGCTCTTATGCCCAACATGCTGCTACGTTGACTATTGCCGCTGTTTTGAAGGAACGGAATATAAGTCAAGGTCGTGATGTGCAGTGCTTTGTTCAGGATCCGTGGTACAATGAGACAGACATTGAGTTTCTGGGAGGTCTCGGTATCACGGTGCTAAAAGACCCTGAGGGATTTTTGGAGATCGATGAGCAGACGCTGGTATTCTCTGTCGGTCCCGATGTTCCAGTTAGGCAGATCGTGGCAGATGTGCAATGGCCGGCTGCTATGGTTTGGAATAGTCCACTTTCAGAGGTACAGATAAATGCGGGAATGTATTGGGCGGGGTGAGTTATTCTTCTCTTGCGTCCATACTTTTTGTTCTTGCTAATATGTGAGTTATGTGTAGTAACCCGATGGAGGCTGATCCTGATTCAGAGAGGGTCTGCAGTATGCTGCGCAACTATGACGGTGCGCAACTGGACGATCAGGCTGATTATTTGGGAGAGTTGACTGTTTATGCGAGAAGGCCGCGTTCTTAGTATACAAGCGGGGAAGGGTGTGATATGATTCCGTGCTTCGGTAGTACTTTTGACAAGAACTTTCATAGTCATTAGGGTTTTGTTTTTGATGTGAATAGTACTGCGGTGATAGGTTCCCTATATTCCGGTTATTCACAATCAATGTCCACCCTATTGCACATTGATGGCATTATATATCTGGCTCTGCATGAGCCTCATTTCAAGCTATAGTATAGTCTCGAGATAACTCAAAACGTATACCAGAAAGTCGAATCCATCCAGCAAATGATATCAACTCTCATCGTAATGATAGATCGATCCAAGCAATGCTGTTGCTGAAAGGTGCCCGGAGAGGTGATCTGGTACTAGCAGCTGATGTGTCGGCTAACATTCAGTTTGGTTAACTAAGACGCTGGTTCTAAGCTGATATGTAGGTTGACTGCCCCGCGTGCGGAATGGATCAACCGTGGTGTCAATAAGTCTGGATGATGATGCAAGGAGCAAGTGAGATGATAGCGCATAAACTCCTGTTGAGACGCATAGTATCCTATGATTGTTCCTGAATTCGAAGGCGGAGAGGACTGGAGATCCAGACAATCTTGCATCAAGGCTGAGATTGGGTTATAAGATAGTGATTTTGATTATAACTAGCTGTATAAATGCCATACAAGGTTTTTTAACTGCGATTGGTACAAGATAATCCTTGCGAGAGCAGACATGTCATTAACAATCGCGATGCAATGGGAAAGCGCTCATGGCACGTGATCGGAAACCGGGCGATCCCTTATCCGTTGTGGGACAAGTCCGGCTTCACTTTTCTTCTTCCTACTTCCCCCACTGGTAACTTCATAGATACCATGAAGTCTGTGGCATCCTTTACACACTTTACAAGGCACTGAACCTACTGAACTGCTTCTGAAACAGTTAGATTTGATATCTTTAGAGATTGCCACTGAGTCTGTCTGTGATATCTTCTTCCCCGATTGTCCTGGGACCAATACAATCACTTAGGTCCACCTGGCTAGCGCTACGGCAGCAGCCACTTCCCCAGAATGGCCGATCGCCAGTTCAATCTTGCTGATACCCTTGGACATCGCCACAGCGTGAGCGTGTCCGTGAAGCTAAGCCATGTTAATTGATACAGACAATCAATGCTGTGTAATTGCCAAACATACCTTGACATAAGGATTCCCGCTTTCTTCCAGGATCTCGATATTCTGCATTGCAGCCCCTGCACCCATAGAAGACACCCGGAAGCTCTTAAAAACGGCCTCTTTGGCACTCCACCGACCCGCAAATGCGGAGCGTGGGTTCGCTGCCTTAGAACAGTAGTCCCGTTCTGCAGGTGTGAAGTTGCGCTGCAGAAAATTGAGGTTCTCAATGTGGAGGCTCATGATCTCCTCCACGTCGACTCCAACGCTGGTTGATGTCATTGCACCGGAGCGCTGAGTAACACGCTCGAGCAGAGACTGAACAAGTGCAGCGGTGACATCCGATTTCTCGCCTACACTATCCGGACCAGGAGCTTTAACCGGAGTCTCCACCCCGAAGGAGTCATCAGCAGCTAAGCGACTGTCCGGGTTAAGGAAGACACTTTGCATAGTCTCAGCGCTTTTCCACGGTGGATCACATTTGACTTGCACCAGCGAGTTCTTCAACAGCCGCGTGACAAATTCCACGTTGGCTGTTCGCTGCCTCTGTAACACTCGAGTTCGGTAGTCTTCAAATGTTGCAGTCGGAACCGCCGCGAAGACATACCTGGGTGCTACTACCACGGCCAACGCACCCTTTTGACCAAATCCGAAGGAGGTGAGCATGATCGCCTTCATTTCAGGCACCTTCATCGAATCCATGGGATAGACCAGATGCTTAAACTGTCGGAGCTGCTCATCTATATTGTCTGCGTTGCGGTTCCCTGGGACTATGCTGTCGCGGAACATTTGTATGCAGCCGTTAAGTTGCCAGGCGCCTGCAGCTGCCTTGGGATGCCCTGTCACGGATTTCTGACACACGCAGAGTAGTGGATTACCTCTGCGTCGACCCAGGTGATTCATCTGAGTATTGATAACCTCCCCTTCGTTAAGCTCATTAGCTCGGGTTGAAGTCCCATGGCTTGAAACAACACCTATGTCATCGATCGATAGGGTCCATGTTGCTAGTGCGGCTCTTAAGGGGGAGATGCTGGCATCTTGCAAGCGGATACTGTTAGCCCACCGGTGCTGGGCATCTCGTAGCCTTGATTTCCTTCTTTCTTCGGTTGCACAGGTGGTACTCTCAGTTTGGCACGTGCTGCTCACTTGCCCATCCCATGCTTGCTGACGAATCTCGGCTACCTCTCTTTCGAATCCCGCACGTCGAACTTCAAGATGCAGTAACGGCGAGTGCCGGGCGTCTGCTGATTCTCGTGCAGCCGTCAGGATTCCCTTGCCTGGGGCCGGGATCGATCGGCCGGTTTGATCACTTGCCATTTGGGTGTAAGCAACAATGCCATAGATTGGCAGTCCCATCTCGAGGGCAAGATCAGCAGCCATCACTATTTGTACTCCACAGCCAGCAGACTCTGCAAACCCGCTACGGGAGCTTGTGGTAGGGCGAGAGAACTCTCCCGGAAGACGACCTTTAGCCAACTCCTCTTTGGTATTTGCAGTAGCCTTGATGCCGGCGAACTCGTAAGCGACTTCTTCTCCAAAATCATCACAACCGCCAACAATAGCAACTTTGCACTTCCCACTCTTAATAGCTTCGCATCCGCTGTCCAATGATTCTATGGCTGTGGCACATGCCCCGACATGCGTCCTGAGCGGACCCGAGGAAGAAAGAAGGAGCATGTTTACCCATGCGCCCATGGTGTTAGCAAAGTGATCAAGTATAATATCTCCTTGGACTGGCCGATCGAGATACCGGTCGCGGTACATGCTCTGGATTGTCTTCATAGGACCGCCCCCAGTACCTAAGCAGTTGGCTACCTCAGAGACCTGAATATACTGATACATCTGATACGGATCTTTAATGCCAGCGGACAAGAATGCCTCCGAGACGCAGCAAAGAGCATACAAAGTAGTGGGGTCGGCCTCCTGAACAATATCCCCGGGAATGCCGTATCGCAAAGGGTCCCATCCCTTGGGGACCCTTCCGCCCACTAAAGGGTGGAAAGGAATTGCCTTGGGCACCATTACCACAGCACCCTTCTTCATGAAGACACGATAATTGTCCGAATCTGAGATTGGTTGGACAAAGACATGGTCCCCATGGCGCAACTTGAATGCTTCGGCCGCTGACTTCGAGCTCTCGAACGGCGGCAGATCATCTTCGATCGCAACTTCATGCATGAACTCTATTCGTGATGGATCGTAGGTGTTGAGTGCATCGGGTTCAATAAAACGAAGGCCGGAGTTCTCTATAATCTGTTGGTGGTACCTTTCAGGAACCTTGTCATCCGAGATCGGCTCGCTTGTCACGACATCGATCCATCCAACGTATGGCTGGCCCTTGAGATCGCCTGTAATGTGTCTGATCAGACCCATCATCCACGCCATCTCAACGTAACCTTCTAACGAGAATTGACCCTGGCTTTCCATTTCCCATCGTGTGCGTGAGCTTCCCCATGGCCCAAGCTCTGAGAATCCTACGATGACGACCGTTTGCGAAAGGTCAATCATTCCTTGGAGATCAGGAAGCCTCGCCGTCATATCCTCCTGCCTCGCTATCGAAGGGAACCCAATATTGAGGTTGGCTCGCTTATTCCTTACTTCTGGCTCGTGTGCATGAGAGTTTGCCTGCTGTCCGTGGAGGGCTGCTTCGTGATGTGTCTCCTCTTCCGCCAGAACAATACCCAAACGAAGATTTTCGGCCACCGCCTTACGACTCGCTGCGATGTGTTCCTTTAAATTCCACATAGCCCCAAATCCGCCAGTTAGATCTGCATATACAGGTGTCTCTTCGGCAAGAGCGGTGATGGCCGGTGATAGCAGCGCCAGGATATTGAAGGCCATCTCGGTCCTGCTAAAGGTGATGACACCAAGCTTTTCCATCTCTGCTGCTATCATATCCGATGAGTGCATCAATCCAGTTCCTCGAGTCCACCCCATGACGGCTCCACAGATAGTGGCATACGTCGACCAGCTTTCGGAGTGGAATCGATTGAATAAGGACTTGAGTCCAATCTTGGCCTCCGCATAAAGGCCGTCTCCACCGAATGTCCCTTCATTGCATGACAAGGGTAGAACTACCATCGTCGGTCTGGTGTTTATGCGTCGCTTTTCCTTTTCGAGACAAACGAGACCCACCAGCCGCAGGAGGTTCACAAGCATCCCTCGGAGGGCAAGTTCCTGACGGCTGCCTAGAGTGTCGGGCTCACCGGTTTGTGGAATAGCGGCAAACGGAATGATGCAATCCACGTCATGACCAGCAGATGCTTCTGCGCCGTATATATGTCCGATTATAGCCTCACAGTCTTGTCTGCTGGCTTGATTCATTGGGAGTAGCGTCAAACTAGCCCCGCGAGCTCCGTACTTCCTGAAAAGACTCTGGTAGAACCTAGCGGTCGTGGAGATTGCACGGCTTGTAGTGACAAGGACCCTTGCACCACCGGCAAGAAGCCCTTGGATAATCTCTACAGCAATGGAACCAGGACCGGCACCTGTCACAAGGACTGTTTTACCAACATAACTGAAACCCGTGGTGAGGCCAGCATCCATCACTTGATGAAGCATCTCGGTAGCTTTTGCGTCGTACATCCAGTCCTCATCGACGTTGCGTGTTCTGATATGCACAAAAGGGGTGGGCGCTCTAGTACCGGTACGAGAAAGATGGCCTCGGCGGATTACGTCCGCGTAGCTGCATACCGAGCGACTTGTTTCCGTATATTCCAAACGTCCTGAGCTGCGGATACTGATACTTGGCATCAAAGGGGGCAATGTGTGGATATGTACAGGGTCAGTCGCTTGAGCCCGAATTCCTAACTTCAGGACTTGGTTCAACATCACAACATGGCCTTTCATCTCGCAAGCTGTGGATGTTGACACCTCCAGTCGATGTAGGATGATATCCGTGCAGCTAGGGTCCCAGCGATTCAGAATCCGACGTAGGCGACCACCTTTCTTTGAAAGCACCGCGTCTTTAGATCCCTGTGAAATCGCATATATCCACTTAAGCAGGTCTTCACGGACCCAGTTCCACGAAGAATCATAGTGTCTGACTTGCTGGAGATTAAAGCTAGGTCGGATGCCTTGTAGGAAATCCTCGCCAAGTTCTGCATTCCACTGGTCCAAACTTTCTTGCAAATCTGACTTACGATCCACCGACTGTGCCGAATCCTTGAGATCGCCAGGCTTGATCTTCAGATAATCTGCAAGCAATTTCAGCTGCTTGTGTTGGAGATCTTGTTGTTCCTTTCGAAGTGCACTGAGCGCCACTGCATCTATTTGAGTGGGCTCCGAGTATCCATTCTCGTTATCTAGTCGTGGCTGCGTTGGCAACATTGTTATCCCTTCAAACTCCGCGTATAGACCAACGAGGTTGTCCAGATATGCATGCGCGGCCCCTGCATCCGCCAGACGAGATGGCGGCTGCACAGTAATGGCAAGGCATATAGGAATCATTCCATCAGAGCCCTCCAAGCCCCACTTTGAATGCATGTACATCTGTGCCGATCTCTGGTTAAATCCTGCCGGCAATTTGCTTGATATAAACCTGGATATCAATGCCGACATCTGTTTCCCAGGCTTGCCCGAAAATCGTCCCTGAAGTGCTTCCACTAGGTTGGCCAAGGACATATCTTCCATGCCTTCCGGGACGCGGCCAAACTCGGCGACTAAATCACCTATCAGCTCATTTTGAAGAGTGGACTTTCCTGGAGGAGTCAGTATGTTGACCATGAAGTTATATTAATGGAACACACCTCCCGACAAATTCCGGATCGTCGAGTCCATTGGCACTTGATCGAAAGAGCATCGCAACTTCTGACCCGTAATCGCTAAGAGAATGTGACGCGCCGAAAGTGGAACTTTGGCGCTGGGTACATGAGCAGAAGTCTTTATAGGGGTGAAGGCCAGGGATGCTGCTACTGATTCTGACCCTCCATCAGATCGAGAGCCTTCTACGGCAACGGCCAAACGAGCTGAAGTCGATGCTGAGGTTGTCCGTTGAATGGTGGATGGCAGCCGCACAGCGTCTGGATACTCATAGAGTATTATGTTCCGGTCATCTTGATACGAAAGAAATTGCAAATGCAACCACTGCGATGGAGTATGTTGATCATGATGTATAGAAGCGGACTTTCTAGCCATCCTTGTGAGCGTACTCCGCGGGCCAATCTCGATGAACCGCTGCACTGGTGATGGTCTCCGGAGAAGCTCGTTCTGCGTTTCGATCCTGAGCATTATCAATGGCTGAATCGCAAATTAGTGGGAAACGGAACTCACCATCTTACTGGAGATGCTAGCTGATACCTATGAGCTGCGTTCAATATATCGCACTTATGCCCAGGAGAGTCAGGGAACCTACGCGAGTAGCTCGATGAACAACCTGTACGCCAAATCTTTCTCCTCATGCCTAGTGGCTATCTTGCTGTGGGTGGGTGAACCTACTATCCCATTGGGAGCCATGGAAACAAGCTCGATAGGTGGAGAAGTTATCAAGTCGGTGCTTGTGGGTTCCTTGCTAGAAGGCTTGGAGTGTTGCAAGATTCAGATTCGAAGCAGGCGCATGAGAGAAAAATTGGCCAATTACGTTCTCGATAGGGACCATCCTGGTAATAGGCGAATACCGGAGCCACTACCGCCTGGTCGAGATTTGAGTATAGAAAGACTACCCCCGACGACTGCACTTCATGTACATCGACATCTAGGCTGCCAGATGTGGAGGTGAAAAGTACCAGGTCTCCTGGCCTCCTTTCTACCGGAGTCTATTTTTAACCAGTCACAGGGAACCTGACGTGTCAAAAGCCTCCGGGTGGCTAGGCACTAAAACTCCGTCTGCAAAACTCCGGGGAGGGCAAGTGTGGGTGTAGGGCTGGGCCTGGCCAGACTCCAGCCAGGCAGAAGTGTTTCAATAAGTTTATGCAGGAGAAAGTGGGCTGTTTCCCGTCATTGACTACCCCGGATCAGCAATGCATCTACACGCTAGTGGGGAAAATTACCGCAGAAAGAGTCTGACCCCATATCGCGAATTCCAACTGACTAGGAGCGCCGTCGACAACGCAAAGGATGGACTAGTGTGTGCTGCACGGAAGTCTACCTCCGACTCCAGAGTGATGAATCAACGAGTGGACTATTATATGCTTCAAAATGAATTACTGAAAATTAAATAACTGGCTGGATCTTGCAAAATAGCGAGGTCGGCATGGCACTTGAGATTTCCCCTACTGGTGTGGCATATTCAGCACCGGCAGATGCCATGTGCGCTGCTCTCTCGCCCTCGCCACCAGTGTCTGATACGTCATCCCCAGCTCGTTCTGTTACAGTTCACCTTTATTTCGATCCTATAGACAGCAAGCTAGTTTTACCGATTCCTATCAAGCACTTCCCATGCATCCAGTCATATAGAACGGCGTTTATATCGCACTTCTCTTCGATATATCACCCCAACATTTCGCAGAATTCAGCCTTGTTATGTTTGGCTTTCATTGAGTTTCTTCTTGCCCAGCAAGGTCTTTCCAGGTATTCACTGGCAGCTGTATTGCGAGCTTTTGAGGCCGAATTCTTGCACGGCGATAACGAGATACATTGCCTCATCGCGGAGTTGACTACGGTCGCTAGCGAACGGCAGAAGTGGTTAAGGATCTATTACGATGCTGTTGAGGCTAGTGGTGATCTAACATGTACAGCCTCGCGCAGCCTTTCCAGGGGCAGCGCTTTATTAGACCATGTGCAGGCTAGTGGGTTTCGCCTAACGGCTGTATTTGGTGGTCAAGGTGAGGCGAGTCGGACATGTGTGCAGGATTTGGCAGACCTATACGCCGCATATAGGCCTCTACTGCAGACTTTCATTGAGCAGACTGCTACTTTACTTTCTGAACTTTCTAGGCTTCCAGATTCCTGGTTCAGTCGCCGTGGACAGTCACTGGACTTAATGACGTGGATCAGCGACGTATCTACTATCCCAGATTGTGAATACATATCCCAGGGTCCAATCAGTGTTCCTGTTATTGGGCTGCTGAGCCTGGCACGATATACAGTGACATGCCGGGTTCTGCGCATGGACCCAGGGCAGCTACGTGCGATGCTTTCTGCAACTACCGGGCACTCGCAAGGTTTATTGATATCCGCAGTCATATCCGTGTCTGACACCTGGGATACATTCTATACAAACTCTCATCTTGCAGTTGAAGCTTTGTTTTGGCTTGGTTTGGAATGTCACCAAAATGCGCCCAATGGCTGGTCTCGGGTCACCGCGTCCGCTCTATATGAAACAAGCACCGCGCCATCATATATGCTTAGTGTGCGAGGTGTTTCTAGGGACCAGCTAGGGTGTATACTAAATCGCTTGAATGAAACGTTACCGCGAGATGAGAATGTGCAACTAGCCTTGGTTAATGGGCATGACCATTTTGTGGTGGCAGGGCCAATTGCATCCTTGGTGCATATGGATAGTCAGCTCCAGAGCATAAAAGGAGGCCCCGACACGGATAATAGCCGTGTCCCCTTCAGCAGCCGCAAGCCGGCTATTCAACATGGATTTTTACCAATCAGTGCACCATTTCATACCGAATACCTTGCGAAAGCTGTCAGAGCCTTGAAGTCGCGGTTCCCAAGACAATACTTCGCGAAAGAGCAACTGAAAATTCCCGTCTACCACACGTCCACTGGAGAGGATTTGCGGAAGGGTTATGAGAATATACTGCATGCCATTTTCAATGCCATTGCTCGGGAGAATTGTGATTGGCCCGCAGCTTTATCTGGAGAAGAATGTATGTCACCATCGCACATCATCGTTTTTGATCGCGGTGGACTTGGACCGATGGTTCAGAAAATTGTGGAAGGGAAGGGCGTCCGCGTTATTCAAGGTGGCGATCTCGAGTCTCGTGACTCTGATATAGGTACCATGCGAGATCTATTCTCTCCGCGCCTGCTCGACTCGTCTTTGAGGCCTCTTAGCTGGGCTCAACAGTTTCGACCGCGTCTGACCGCAGGATCCATACAGACGCGAATTTCTAGCCTTTTAGGTACCCCTCCGGTGGTTGTAGCTGGTATGACACCCACTACTGTTCACTGGGACTTGGTTTCGGCCATAATGAATGCTGGATATCATGCAGAACTTGCCGGGGGTGGCTACAGGGACAGCTCTGACATGACTACCGCAATCAACGACCTTGTTGCTCATATCCCCGCCGGTCGCGGTATTACCTGCAACATTATATATGCTAAGCCCCAAGCCATGCGGTGGCAGATTGCATTAATACGTCGACTGTCTCATAATCGCGTGCCTATCGATGGTATAACAATTGGAGCTGGCGTTCCCTCCATGGAGATAGCATCGGAGTATATCCGGACTCTAGGGCTGCGCCATATTAGCTTCAAGCCAGGATCGTTGTCAAGCATTCGACGAGTGATCGACATTGCCAGGGCACATCCCGACTTTCCAATCATACTGCAATGGACAGGTGGGCGTGGCGGAGGCCATCACTCTTTCGAGGACTTCCACGCTCCGATACTCAGTACTTACGCGACTATTCGACAGCAGCATAATATGTATCTAGTAGCTGGAAGTGGGTTTGGTGATAGTGAAAGTATATATCCTTACATAACTGGGCAATGGTCACTACCATTGGGTTATCCACGCATGCCTTTTGATGGTGTGCTACTGGGAAGTCGTTTGATGGTAGCTCGAGAAGCACATACCTCATCTTCTGTCAAGGACATTATCTTCAGGACACCAGGTGTTCCTGACTGCGACTGGGAGAAAACGTACTCTGGACCTGCTGGTGGAATTATCACGGTACAGTCAGAAATGGGCGAGCCCATCCACAAGATTGCAACCAAAGGTGTGAGGTTATGGGCAGATATGGATCAAACTGTCTTCAGTCTGCCTCGGAAAGACCGCATCGCGTACCTGGAAAAGCATCGGACTTCGATAATACAGCGCTTGAATGATGAATTTGCCAAGCCGTGGTTTGGCCGCAACAGTTTAGGTGACATAGTGGACCTGGACGACATGACTTACACTGAAGTTTTGCGTCGTATGGTGGAGTTGATGTATGTCAATCACCAGAAACGGTGGATTGACCCATCATATGTTGACTTTACTATGGCCATGGCCACTCGAGCATTAGAGCGCCTAATTCGTGTTGCTACCCTCGAGTCAGACCTCACACGGTCGGTTCTATCCGACACTCCTATGCAGTTCCTCGACGCCTTCACCGTTGCGTGTCCTAGTGCTTCCAACGAGATCATGAATCCAGAGGATGTTTCTTTCTTCTTGATGAGGAGCAAAATTCCAAACCAGAAGCCAGTCAACTTCATACCTGCTTTGAATGATGACTTTGAGTTCTATTTCAAGAAAGATTCACTTTGGCAGGCAGAGGATATTGATGCTGTTGTCGACCAGGATGCTGAGCGAGTTTGCATCCTACAGGGCCCGGTGGCAGCTCAATACTCCGTTCGGCAGGACGAGTCGGCAAAAGAAATTTTGGACAATATAATGAGTGGCCTTGTTGAACGTATGCAGCGTGATAGCAGTACCGACACCCCTTCGCCTAGTTCAGGCAGCGGACTGGTCACGCCAGAGTCTTGGTCCTCAGTATCGGGTGCCAAGGAGATTGCTATGGACGAGCTCGCCCTCTCATCCACAGCTTCGGAGATTACGGATGACCGTTCCCTTTCAGTGGGTGTCGTCATTACCAAGGACGAAAACTTACCACCGTGGCTACAGGCCATTTTCAAGGACAATCTCATCTTTCGAAATCGACGTCGCCAAAAGAATCCATTTCAACAGTTCATCGCACTGTACCCGGACACAAAGGTTCGATACAATGCTGAGCGTTCAGAGGCGTGTGTGACTGTTCAAGATCCGTGCGGAGCTACTTCTCTCATGAAAGTGTCATGTCTCGATGGCCTCGAGATCAGAGTAGATCTCTACCCTCCTCAAGTCTCTGATCCACTCCAGTTGGTGTACCGGTATGATCCCAACGGCATCCCGATCTCGCTTACTGAGATCACCTCGAAGCGAAATGCACGTGTGAGGTCTTTTTATAGTAGTCTTTGGATGCAGAAGGCCGATATTGGCATTCAGGAGACTTACCACGGTCGGGAAATGATTCTCACACGCGAACTGCTGGATGATTTGATTGCCGCGGTGGGTCCGGCATTTCCGGATTCCCGGCTCATCAAAACAAACTCGGATATCCTGCCAATCAGCGCTGGGATAGTCATTGCGTGGGACGTTATCACCAAACCTTTGTTAACTGGAGAGATTGATGGTGATTTGCTATTTCTGGTTCACCGTTCTAATATAATTGATTACTGCGCCGGTGCAGATACATTACGTGTTGGCGAAGGTGTCAGCTGTCGGTCGCGGGTGCAAGCTGTGTATGTGGAGGATGCAGGCAAGGTGGTTGTTATTGAAGCCCAAATTATTCGATCGGGAAAAGCGGTCATGAAGATCACATCTACGTTTCTGTATCGAGGTTCATTCCGCTCGGAGTCGACATTCAGACGGGAACAAACGCAATGGGCACTCCATATCAGGTCAACCCTGGAAGAAACGGTCCTGCGGCGTCGCCCGTGGTTTCAGCTGGACGATACTGCCACAACTCTTGTAGGCAGAGATCTTGTCTTCAGTATAGAGACTCATGAAGTGGACAAGAAAAGTGGTTTCAAGAGCCTTCGTGTGACCGGAACCGCTTGCTTGGATGATGGTGGTGTTCCGGGTCAGGAGGTCGGATTTGTTGACTTCGAATGCGCTCATTGTGTTGGAAATCCAGTGCTGCAATTTCTAGAGCGCAGAGGGGGTCCAGTGAGCAGGCAGACAATGCTACACAACCCAGGGTGGACTGGTCCCTCATCCATCGACATCCAAATGCCGGTCAGTAATCAAGCATACGCTGAGGTATCCACGGACTTCAATCCGATACATCTGTCGACCGTTTTTGCCTCCCTGGCAGATCTTCCGGGCACAATATGTCACGGAATGAGTACCTCGGCAGTTGCAGTAGCAGCATTGGAACACCTAGCTCTCGGGGGTGATCGTTCGCGTCTTCGACAGTTTGCAGCGAAGTTTACTGGAATGGTTATGCCACTCGAAAAGCTGGTCGTCCAAATACAGCATATGGGGATGATCGATGGGCGCATGCAATTGACAGTTGATGTTGTCCGGAAAGACAGCCAAGAAAAGGTGTTAGAAGCAGAAGCCGTTATAGACCAGCCTGCGACTGCTTATCTCTTCACCGGTCAAGGCAGCCAGAGCAAGGAAATGGGCATGGACCTGTATCAGTCAAGTCCGGTGGCCAAAGCTTTGTGGGACGAAATTGATGCGCAGTTGTTTGCGTCGTATGGTACGTAATCTGCCGATGCTGCGACAAATGCTTACGGGATTAGGATGGTCTATTTTGGACATTGTTAAGAATAATCCAAAGTCGGTAACCGTCCACTTCGGGGGCAAGCGAGGCCGCCAAATCCGACAGAATTATCTCGCCGTCACTACGGAGACGGTGCTCGCCGATGGCTCCCATGCTGAGACTCCTGTTCTACAGGGACTCAGTCCATGTTCGACCTCTTACACATTTACTGATCCACGGGGACTATTATACTCTACCCAGTTCGCCCAACCGGCGATTTTGCTATTTGAGGCAGCGGCAGTAGCCGACCTCCGTAGCAGGGGCTACATATCACCAGATGCAACGTATGCGGGTCATTCGTTGGGAGAATTCGGGGCGTTGTCCGCTCTGTCCAATTCAATTCCCATGGGAGCTCTGGCAGAGTTGGCGTTTTACCGGGGACTCATGATGCAGGCGTCTGTGGCAGGGGACAACGGGAACGCGTACGGAATGGTGGCGGTCAATCCTAAGCGTGTTGGACGATGTAAGTTACACGATGCTGCTACAGGCTGGACTTGGGCTGACTGTTCAGTCTTTGATGAAGCAGGTTTGAGTAGGCTGGTGCAAAGGATTGGTCTGGCTAGTGAGGAGCTTCTCGAGGTAGTCAACTATAATATTGACGGTGAGCAATATGTGTGTTCAGGGACGGTGAGTATTCGAGCCTCTTTGCCTTGTGAATGCTAATGTGTTAGGTGACCAATCTTTGCGTGCTTGGGCGGATGCTGGACTACATCTCTCAGTCCGATGGGTTGGAGTTACAACATGACAGTGTGATCCATCAGCTACTTTCTGAGGCAAGAGAACTATCGCCGCCGATACGGCTTCGACGAGGGCAGGCCACGATTCCTCTAGAAGGCATCGACGTGCCCTTCCACTCCAGTCACCTGCGCTCCACTGTGGATCGGTTCCGGCAATGCTTGCTCCGACCGGGGTTTCTGGAGGGAAAGGTGGATCTGGAAGCACTGCGACGGTATATACCGAATGTAATGGCTCGACCATTTTCAGTGGATGAGGAGTATATTCGGGAAGCATACGAGCGGACACACAGTCCCGTCCTAGGGGAGATCTTAGGAATGGGTGTGTAAATAGAAACCCTAGAATCCCATCACTGCATAGGCTAGCTAGTTCCACAAACACCAACGATACTGTCTTTCCACTTCTGCCACCATCGCATCCACATTAAAATACCACACACGATGACTCCTCTCCTTGATATCTGCAAACGCACGATCCATATCCGCCCCAATACTCTCATCCATCCACTCATACGTCCACCCCACCTCGCGACTACTCCTCACCAGCCACTGCGACCGCTCATACCTCACTCTCGAATAGGCCTTCAGCGCCGCCTCCAAGGCCCCATTCACCTCCACTCCGCGATCCACATCCTCCCTCGCCCTCCTGATAGCCGTAACCAGCGCCAACGCATCCTCGACCCCCATTCCCGCCCCAGCTCCATGATGCGGCGACGACGCATGCGCCGCATCCCCCACCAGCGCCACCCTCCCTTCCGCATACTTCGGCACTGGACTGTCATAAGTATCAAAAACAGCCCACTTATCCAGCTCCTCGGGCAGCAGATCAATTACAGCGCGCACAAACGGACCCCATTCCTCGAACGCGTCCACAACTTCGCTCTTCTTCGCTGGTGCCGTCATCCCGGAGTGCATCCAGTCACTCGGGTCCTGCACAAACGCAACAACATTCATGAGCTGCTGCTTCGCGACTGGGAAATGCAGCACGTGTGCTCGTGGCCCGCAGTGCATGTGTTGTCGGAGGGCGCGGTAGCGGCCTAGTTTGCTGATTGCAGTGGACATGGGTACTAAGCCCCGGAAAGCGAATTGGTGGGTGTATTGGGGTTTTGTCTCGGGGTAGAGATGGGTGCGGATGAGAGATTTGATGCCGTCGCAGGCGAGGACTGTCATACCTCATCAATATCATGTAGCTAGGGATCAATTATTGATGGGAAGAAGTACATACCAAGATCACACTCCACCCTGCCCCCATCACTAAACCCCAATTGTATCCTCCCCGATGGGAGATACTCATACCCCTCCACCCGCTTATTGTACTCCACTACACCCTCAGGCATAAGTTTCATCACTTCATCGAGAAACTGCCCCCGATGACATCCTTCAAACCCCCTTGGGCCGGTATACAACTTGTAGACTTTCCCGAAGATATGCACACCTCTATCCTCATTCTCGCCTCCCCTATTATTATTATTATTATTATTATTATCTTCACTTCTACCTTCTGAATAATGTTCCCCTCCGATCCCCCTCACATCAACACCTCCCCCCTCTCCACCCTTCGACGTCCCCCAGCAATCACCCCCCGTATACGTCCTGAACCCATCCACGAACCGCATACAGTAATCGGGATCTTCCTCCTCCCCGTTGAGTGTCGCTACGTGCGCTACGCATTCCGCGATGCGCGGGTCCATGAGCGTCATGCATTTCCGTGCGCAGGTGGTGAAGCCGATTCCGGCGCCGAGTTCGTGGGTTATGGCGGATTGTTCGTAGATTTTTATCCGGAGGGTTGTTGGGTTGGAGTTGGGGATGTTGAGAAGGCCTAGGGCGAGGAGGGTCCCGATTAGGCCGGAGCCGATGATGGCGATTTCTATTTTGTTGTCTGTGGACATGATGGTTCGGGCTGACGGTGTTTCGATTGTTTGATTGATTGAGGTATTTCTGGTTTGGTTGTATGTGGAGCGGTTTATTCTTTACTAGATGACAATTAGTGAACTACTATTGCAATACTGATAGTATCTACCTGCCTACCCAGTAAACAAACAAGTAGTCAGTAAGCAAGGAATGCTTGACCGCGTTAAGCATTCTCATCATCCCAGTCCTAGCTAAAACCAGTGTAACACTAGTGACAGATTAATAGTAACACAATATGTATGTACCACAGAAACCACGAATCGATTTTATGAATTGAACCAGGACCAGCATCTTAACTTAGTTCTCGTGCTACGTCACACAGTCCGCAGTTCCCTTCCTTCTCTCCTTGGTTGTAGTGTTGCACAGAAACTGGAGTACAGGCAAGGATGGAGTTCCCGGCTGAAGGAATATCTTGCTCGGAGGGAAAAACTAATGTTGGTCGGCTTGGGAATATCTCCACTACTATCACTTGTGTTTTTTTCTTCGGCTGGTTATAGTTATCGTTGTGGTACACATGAAAGAGTGCCAGTGATGTTCTGAACCGAAGCGTGAAGATTCTCTCCTGGAAATATATTCCGGATAACATGACTACCACTACTTAGTACGTACTAGTATCCTGCTGGTGTGTCCCATGCACTAACTGAGTGATTTCTCTTCAACGTGAAACTAGTTTCACCATAAAACCATGCCTGTCACACCTGTTCTTATTTTTCCCTCTTCAATGTTGCACAAATGCTACCCCTGAAGTACAATGCTCTGTTCTTCTCATGTTAGTATGTGGTGAGTTGTGTTGTATTGGTCCGGTCCGGGCCGTACGGGCGGACGGGCGGGCGGCGACGGAACAATCAATGAACCAAGGAATATATTGTACGGGCGGACAGACGGGAAGATGAAATGGCGTTTACAAACATTCCTAATACTTAATTACATGCTTAGCTGGTATCTGAGGGGTAAATGTGTGGTGGTTTAATTCTCCGGAAGTCGCTCCTGCTAGATGGGTTGTTACACTGTGTGTGGTGTGAGTGTGTTCGGGGATATGAATACGGGAGTTTGGTTGACGGACGGTTCGGGGATTTATATGGGTTATTGTTAGGGAAATAGAGGGTATTACCAGACTGATGGAGGGGAGAGGACAGGTCAGATAGGTGTGTACTGTGTAGTGTAGAGCCCGGGGCAGGGGGTGAACTGTGCTTCTGCTCTGCCCCGTGGGAGTGCCGATTACGGAGTTTCGGAAGTGGGATTGGAGTGGGGATTGAGGTGCATGTTGCATCTTGCAGGTGGAGTGTGAGGTGTCACATTTGGGGTGAGCAGTTTGATTCTACTTCGCTTCGTAGATGGTGGTGTTTGTGCTGGGAGAGGTAGAGGCAGCGATGGGATGTTGAAGGCAGGGAGGCAGCGATAATGGATGGGAGTAGAGGTAACCCCCATACTGTTGGAGGGTTACTGGGTTATTTACAATTGAGTTCGAACTACTGTAGATCGCGAGTCATGTCTATCTCGTTATCATTTACTATCATGGCATGTATGCTATCACCCAATATACTCCACCCACTCCCTCCACCGCTCATCCTCTCTCAGCCCCTCCATCTCCCATCCATCCAAACACATCAACACCTCTATTCCCGTCTCTTGACGAGATTCCTCATCTCCAACACTGCCATACCAGTCCCCCGCCGGTCCGATGTAGCAACCGCCTGGCAATACTCCCCCTCCCGGGCGACGGACTCCCTCGCACCGTCCCATTGCACCCCCCAGACTCAACCGATCATAGTCCACATGAGCGATACTAGAGCAACTCAAATCCGTAGCCGGCTGAAACCCGCCTCCGCTGTAGGCAATCTTGCTCTTGTCTGGCTGCCGCGCCAGAAACGTAGCGTAGTCGCGCACAGCATCCAGCGTGCGTAGCTCGGCAACCTGATCCCGAAGCTTCGCAGCCAGCGTAGCCAGCGGCAGCGAAGTGATCTCGCCTAGCGGGAGACGGAGGGTAGCGGTACGAATCATGTGCCCCATGTAGGCTGGGGAGAGGTGCAAAGTACGACGGAGGTCCATGGCACGGGAGATTTTGGAGACGTCAGTAGCAGCGAGCGGGCTAGGGGAGTGGTGGAGACGAGTAAGCGTTAGTCGTTGCCAGATAAATGCCGTGAGGGCATCATTGGGGGTGATCTGCACAGGGGTGCTGTGTGATGAGGAGGGGACGGCGGCCTCGGCGTAGATCGCCTCGACGGCCCGTCTGGACAAGTGAAAATAAGCCCATTGGAAGGTGGGGAAGAGTTCTGTCAGGTTAGGGGGGATCTTCGGCATGAACGAAGGAAGATACTCGCAGTAGTCGTAGCGGAGGGGCTGGCTGTCATCCAGCAGGGGAATCAGATCCTGGCGGTCCAAGTTGCCCTCGGTGACCTCGGCCTTTGGGATCGATTCGCCCCGCGTGAGACGGGCCAGTAGCGAGGCGATTTGAAAGATGCCGCTGGCGTCGATGATGTTATGCTGTGCGGCTAGGGTGAGTAGGAATCCTCCATTCAGGATATTGGCTTGAATATCGAGCACAGGGGCGAGGTCAGTGTCTGGATAGGGGATGGGGAAGACCGGGTGGGGAGGGGAGAAGTGGGTACTTGGCATTTGGTTGAAGGGGAAATGGGCCGTACGCAGAGTGTTATAACTGGGGATTTGGGGATCCGAGCGATGGTCGACGTAGCGGATGATGGGGGACTTGCGAACTGGATAAGGGACGACTTGGTAGGCACCGGACGAGGTGGGCGAGGCACCCGTCTTGATGACCTGGCCTGCCAGAATGGGGAACAGGGTTAGCAGCCGCTGCACGGCGGATTCCAGGTCAATGGTGGGAGTGGTGTTGGAGGCGAGCTGGAAACAGAGGATGGCGTGAGTGTAGGACTGAAGGAGGGGCAACTGGCCCAGAATGTCCTGACTGTGAGCCATGGCGATTTGTCAATGCTATCGCGATTGATTGCTAAGTTGATTGCTGTTGATGACAGTGATGATAGGGTTGATGTAAAGCCCGGCTGTCAATGGTGGATTGCCATCGCGACCACGCTTGTATAAATAATGCATAAACACCAGGAATAAGAGAAATCACTGGGCAAAGGCAAGTTTCACGAACCGCCAACCAGTTTCACAGTCAGATGGCCGGTGCCAGGCAGTTTGGTTCTGAATCCCTTCCAGCATGGCAGCTGTAGGGACGGTCAACCCGCATGCATAACAGATCAATCCATTGCTTTGTGCGCATTGTCCCTTTCAGCTCTGTAGTTTTACCACTTTTGGTAGCATTATTCCTCGTCAAATTTCCCTCAGTGACATGGTGGCATTCTCTTCTGAAGGATCCACCATTTTGGCGCCAGTATCGGCCCGTCCGAATTGGCAAAAAGCAAGCATCAATAGTGGCTCCATTTTGCAGGCGATCCTGAGCTGGTGATCCACGGGCTGATCGATCTCGGCCCGATTTGGCTGTCTTCTTCTGTCAATTAACCATTTCCAGTAAGACTGGTCTCGTCTGGAATTAGTTGCCAGTCAGTTGGGACCAGTTTGCAGCAGTGGTTCAATTGTAATGCAACCAGCAGTGGATGGGGCCCCACGGGAGAGACGAAAAGGAGACGCCACCAGCCCTGAAATGGTCACCAGAATCACAAACTTTGTACCTTCGCTCAGCTTCCACCACCCACTACGCTAAAACCCACCAAAATTTAATATAATGCTCAATTATGCCGGGCGACTCATCGCTCGGATCTCGATTCTGCACGCACGCCAATCAGGATGGTGCCATCCGACCGGCTGGCCCGAGCGGATCCTCCAGTCTCTGATCTATTGGTGCGGATCCTGCCACTAGCGATGAACCAAAGCTCATCCCGACAGAACTTTCGCCTCCACTTGTTGACAAAATCACCACGTATCCTGTCCTTATTTTCCGTGAGTCGCACAACTCGCCATTTCTTCAGGTCGGACGGTCCCTCACAGACTTTGAATGAACTGCAGCTGCCAGTCTGACACACGAATCACTGGGTGGTTTCTTTGCTCCTTCCTCTCTTCTCTCCGGTGTGGTGGACAGCAGGTTGGCTACTATTCTCCTGCTTTCTCACTGCATCCGCTCTGCTACTCTGTCCTTCCCTGCAATCAGCATCTCTCCTGCACCACCGGTGGGTCTGGCCCTGAACAATGGGCCCGGTACTTCTGTACCTCGTGCAGTCTTTGAATCCACTAGAGCACCTCGTGTGCAGTGGTCCCTGTGGCTGGCTGATTACCCATCCAGAAGCCTTGTAGTCGGAGATCACCTTGGAGGTCTGTTCCCACTGATAGCATGATGTCGGTGGCTCCAGTTTATCGTGGATCCCCCGGGAAATAGGACGATTATTCACTCCTAAACCGGGAAGACAATTACTCGTAGAGACAATAGTTTGAGGGACGGCAAAATCCGCTGCCAACTTCTGTTGTCAACTTCCTGTCACCCGGCAAGAAGCTGCTGTGCCTTGCTCACAGTAGGAACCTGTCCAACTGACAACCAGACCAGACGTCAGGGTTTGTCTCTTGCTTTCTTGGTTGGCCTATTGTTGGATGCGAGCTGCCTGCTGCACTGCAGGTTGCTGCAGCTGCAGGTCTGGCATTTAGTATCACACAATCGTACAGCAGATCCCCTCCATGGCGGGCCTCTGACCGTGCCTATGAGCTTAATAGACAAAAGCAAAGCAAGCCACGGTGGTTCCAATACTGCCTTTCCTGCTCACTGGGTCTTTTGCCGCCTGCCAACCTTCTCGTCTCCATCCCCCCTCTCAGCACGCTATCGCGGGTCGATCCTCTTCGTTTGATCTTATCACGGCGGCGCCTGTTCATCACATAAGCTGCTGCTGCTGCTGCTGCTCCTGGTTGTTCCTCTCATTTTTACTGGTGTGTTGCCGCTGCAGCCTCGACTCCTACAGGCTATAAGTGTTAGGCCACACTTCCACCCCAGCCCCAATCCCTCTGCGAACTGAAAGTTTCCTGTCTGTTTGTCTCTTCACCCCCTTCGACCATTACCACTAGGATGGTCTCAACTCCTACTATTTCCCGCCAGCGACCGGGATCCGCTTGTGAGGAATGTCGTCGTCGCAAGGTTCGCTGTGACCGACGACGTCCCCAGTGTCAGGTCTGCTTCGAGACGGGTATCGAGTGCAAAATTAATACCACAAGGCTACCCCGGGGTCCCCGCAAGGGACAATTACGGACTCTTCGCACACGAATTGGTAGGTAGTGCTTAGAATACACGACTTCAAAGACAGAGACTAATCGTCTCAGCCGCACTGGAACGATGTCTGGCCGACCAACACCCCGAAATCAACCAGCAGATGGCCAGTCTCTTTGACGGCACGGTCATTGACTGTGACAGTGAAGAAGATCCGCTACGAGACCTGCCTCCGCTGCCCGATCCGATCTCAGGCACGATCCCCGATCAGTCCAGCGATGACCGCCGGACTGGGACGCGATCTCCGCGATCGCCCGAATCTCCGAACCGGCCTTCCAGCCTCGTGTCTGACTTGATGCGAGCCGATCTGTACGCTTCTCTTGGATTATTTGGAATGTCCACTAACTGGTGCAGGGACCAACTCTACTTTGATCGGGTGCACCCCTTCGCCCCTATTTTGCAACGCTGGCGCTACCACACTTGGGCGAAGCAGCCCAAGAAGACGGAAGCGCAGACCTGCCTTCAGTATGCCATGTGGACGCTGGCGGCCAGTATGTCGGCCCAATTTCAGTCTCTCCGCGACCGGTTGTATGCAGAGACGCGACGGATGCTCGACTCGCTGGACCTCCAAGGACCTCCTACGGATACGGCGCCCGGAATCGAGCCCGCACAGGCGTGGATCCTCGTGTGCATCTACGAATACATGCAGCAATCGCCGCTACAGGCATGGATGAGTACGGGACGATGCTGTCGGTTGGTCTTGGGGATGCGACTGTATGAGCTGGATGACCCGAATAGTCCGGTGACTATGGCGCGCGAGCATGAGACGGTGCTGGTGGACTGGATTGGGCTGGAGGAGCAGCGTCGGACGTTCTGGATGGCCTACAGCCTGGACCGGTTTATCAGTTTTCACAACGGGTTGCCGTTCACCTTGGATGAACAGTTGGTGAGTGCCCTCTTCTATTCTCGATTACGAACACTTCTAACGATACAGATCACTACACGCCTCCCTTGCCCTGAAGAAGACTTTCAAGCTGGACAGCCCACCCTGACGTCCTACCTGTCCGATGTCATGTCTCCTTCTGCCCCTACTTCTCCTATTCCCACTGCAACCACCATTCCCTCTCCCACTGTCTTTGGTCGATCCTCCCACTCTCAAATTCTTCTCCCTCACCCTCCACCACCTACTCCCACTGCCACTCCGACCTTCGGCCTCCCGGATCTGCTCTCTTCCTTCACCGAACTCATCCTCATCGCCACCATCGTCGGCCGCGCTCTCACCCACCGCCAAACCGTAGCCGTCGAACAAATCCACCCGCCCAACTTCACTCAAATCTCCTCGGACAACTTCTGGACGCGACACAACTATCTACACGAACTGCTCACCTACCGCATTGCCACTTTGTCCAGCTACCCGCATGTTGATCCCATGCTGATGTTCGCCCGCATCGTGGCCCAAAGCATGGTGCTGTTCCTGCACAGTGTGCTCGAGAGCATTACCTGGAAATCCGGGGATCACTTGCTGGGGATTATTGAGTTTGAGCGGGTGTGTGTCCTGGCGGCACACGAAGTAGTGGGGTTCGTGAAGATGCAGGGGCAGCTGGGGTATTTCAAGGTAATTCCTTTTCCCCCACTTTACATGCCGAGCAAGCAACTAATGGCTTTAGGTGCATCCCCTTACGCCGATTCCTTTGATGATGTGCACCGAGTTCTTCTCGTCCCACGGGTACCTCGATCCGTCGTTCGAGATGATGATGCATGAACTGGTCGAGAGCCTGCATGATCTTGATAGGGTGAAAAATCCCGTGCAGAGTCCGCCGTTGTCGGTTCAATAACATCTAGCGTTGATTTCTTTTGTTGTGTTGTTTCAGTTTGATATTGTCATTCTTTTCAAGGGGCTAAGGTATGATATCGGTGCGTTTGGTGTAGTCGACTCGTTCGGACTGGGATAAGCGGGGAGTATTCGGGTTTCATTCTTTGGACATTGATTGGGTTTTGCGAAGCAGTTGCGAGTATGTCATCTGCAAACTTTGACAAAAGGTTAATTACTATACCATCTGCCAATGGTATCATCCGTGCTGGTTCATGGCGGGGAGGCAGAAGAGAGGAAGCAGAAAGAGAAAGTAGACGAACAAGAAATCTAACTTTCTCGAGTCAAATAAAAAGATAATATAATTCACAATCCCATTATTTAAACCACTTCAACCCATTTAACACCTAACCCTTATTCTACACCGTGTCCATAACCACCCTCACCAACCACTATGGAAACTCCGTCCCTCAATAACTCCGTCCCTTCTCCCGCCATCATCCAATCCAATCCTCTGCCCAGGATATACTATCCCCCCCCTTTCTGACCGCTCATTAAAACAAAAGCCCCGTCGTGGTCACTCGTACAACCGACCAGATTTACCCCTAGTATTGTATCCACCGTACTCTTCCGCCCCCCTTCACACCTAATCTTATTAGCTACAGTTAATTTCGCTGGTATGGTTATGCTTACACTTACCCGAAGAGATACCCCGATTAACTAACTCCGGCCGACGTTGAGCCCAGACCAGCATAAAAAAGCAAATGGGTCTGTCATATCCAACGATATACGAGCTGTCTCAATATAACTGAACTCTTCAGGATGTTAATTGGTTATTAGACACGAACTAGCAAATGCTAAGTTAGGCTTGATCACGAATACGAGTGCTTGGGTGGCTTCTCTATTTCCCCAAATCACCCAATTACTACCTACCCAAACTGAATAACCGGTTAACGAGATAACGGGTTGGTTGACTGGTCAAGTGAGTGACGGGAAAAACAGTTGACTATTGACCGATCCTCCAAAACAAGGCCATCAATCAACATCGCCATGCCCACCAATTCTCCACCCCAACAACAACAACAACAACAACATCCCCAACACACCACCCTCCTCACCCAAAACCAACAATCCAAAGAAAGAAGAAGCATCCTTCTCTTTGGCTGCCAATCCCCCACGTTTACACCCACCCAATTCCACCTCCTCCGAGACACTATCCACTCCCATCCAGAGAATCACTGGGTACTGGACGCTTTCGCCACACTCCCAGATTATTTCCACCACTTCAACACCTACATCCCATGTCTCCGGCAACGCCTTCCACACGCAGAGTCCCAGCTCCGCGAACTCCGTCGCTGGGTCCTAGGTCCCAATGTGCAGATTAAAGAAGAATGGTTTCCCCTGCCGTATGTGTTGCATGCGCCGTTGTTTATGGTGGGGCATTTGGTGCAGTTTGGCGAGTTTTTGAACCTTCAGGATTGGGGTGAGGAGGATAGAGATGGGATAGGGGTGGAGATCGTGGGCTTTTGTATTGGGTTTTTGAGCGCTGCTGTGGCGGCTGCCACCGTGGCTGAACGGAAAGGGCTAGATGGGTTGAAGGTTTGGGGCGCGGTTGGGGTTAGGTTGGCGATGTTGCTGGGGGTCATGGGGGATGCGATGGAGGCGGAGAGGAGGTTTACGTCTGTTACTGTTGGGTATGGTGAGGGTGAGGGTGTGTTGGAGGGGGTGTTGGGGAGGTTTCCCGAGGTAGGTTTGCTCGGATTTAGGGGGTGTGTTGGGATATACTGACTGTGTAGGCGTACGTCACGGTTCGATATGACGATAATCGCAGCACGATTATGACTCCGAGGAGTAGTCTCTCTGCCCTACTACAAGCCTTGCATGGCGCTGGGTTGTCGGCTACCCATATCGACGTTAATGGTCGATACCATTGGTCCGGACACCGTGACACCCTCGATGCACTATACGCCCTCTGCGATGCACATCCTACGCTGCAGCTCCCTGATGCATCCCAGATTAAGCATCGAACATGGACTAACATCACCGGCGAGCCTATAGAGTTTGGACCCCTCCACCGCCTTGTCCTACAATCCGTCCTCTCCCAGCAGTGCATGTGGTACCAGACATTCTCATCAATATACCACTCACATCTACAAAACACCAACGCAATCGTGATAGAATTCGGCCACGAGCGCTGCATCCCCCCTTCCTTCCACCGCAATCTACGCGACCGTATCATCCACTTCGACGACCTCCAGCTCGACATCTACCCCCGCATCATCTCACCATCGCACCCGCCTCGCATTTACGATGACGATATCGCAGTAGTCGGAATGGCAGTTCGCGTCGCGGGCGCAGACGACCTCGACGAGTTCTGGCAGTTGCTCTGCGCAGGCAAGTCCCAGCACAAAGAACTCCCTCCGGAGCGATACAAAGATTATGAGACGCCGTGGCGGCCAGATGCCACCACTCGGCCCTGGTTGGGGAATTTCATCTCCAATATCGATGCCTTCGATCACAAGTTCTTTAAGAAGGTACCCCGAGAGGTGATGGCCCAAGATCCCCAGCAGAGGCTGCTTCTTCAGGTGGCGTATCAGGCACTGGAACAAGCGGGATACTTTTCTCACAAGAAGAATATCACTAAAGAGATAGGATGTTATGTATCTTGTTGCACAGTGGACTACGAACACAACGTCAACTGCCATCCAGCCAGCGCCTACGCCGCCACAGGCCTGCTGAGGAGCTTTATCGCTGGCAAACTAAGTCACTACTTCGGCTGGCGCGGACCAGCTCTATGTATTGATACAGCGTGCTCCGGGTCCACAGTCGCGTTACACCATGCGTGCCGAGCCATCATGAACGGCGATTGTAAGGCAGCTTTAGTCGGTGGAGCGAACTGCATCACTAGTCCGCTGGGATTTGACAACCTGAACGGCGCGTCGTTTCTCTCTCCCACAGGGCCATGTAAACCATTCGACGCTAAGGCGGACGGGTACTGCCGCGGCGAAGGGGTCGCGGCGATCTTCATCAAGAGGTTGTCCGATGCGGTCAGAGATGGGGATCATATTCTGGGAACGATTGCTGGTACAGCTGTTGAGCAAAATGATAGTTGTACTCCTGTCGTGGTGCCGCACGCGGAGTCGTTGGCCGGGTTGTTTAGGAAGGCTACGAGACGAGCAAGGATTCATCCACGACATGTGTCGGTTGTGGAAGCGCATGGGACGGGTACGCAGGCAGGGGATCCAGCGGAGTATGCCAGTGTCAGTGAGGTGATGGCTGGGAGTCTGAGTAGGAAGGGAAGGCTGTCGTTGGGGTCGGTGAAGGGGTTGGTAGGGCATACGGAAGGTGTGTCGGGCATGGTGGCGCTGGTAAAGGTGCTGCTGATGATTAATGAGAGGGAGATCCCCCCGCAGCCTGGCTTTGAGAACTTGAACCCGCATATCAAGGCTGATGGAATGATTCAAATTCCAACCGCATTGGAAAGTTGGCAGGCGGAGTATCGCATCGCGTTGATTAATAACTATGGGGCTTGTGGGTCGAATGCCTCTGTTGTGGTTACGCAGGCTCCCGTCTCTGCGAAGCAAAATGGCGCTGTTCATGCACAGGGTCTTGCTCTGCCATTTAGGTTGTGTGGGCTGGAAGAGACTAGGATCCGCGATTGTGCGCGACGACTGCGGCAGTTTATGCAGAGAAAGACACTGTCCTCAAAACATGCCTTCTCCCTGGCTAATATCTCCTTCAGCGCCTGTCGCCAGTCGAATCCAACGTTAGACTGCCAGCTTGTCTTCAGCTGCTCCTCGATACATGACCTCGATGCAAAGCTGGCGTCTGTAGCCGACGGGCAGCACACACAGTTCATCCGGCCAAAGAAGCATGTATCCCCCATCGTACTCTGCTTCGGAGGCCAAGTGTCCACCTTCGTGGGCCTAGACCACACCGTTTACGACACCATGCGCGTGTTTCGCGACCATCTGGACGAATGCGACCGTCTACTTCGGCTATCCGACTATCCCAGCCTCTATCCCAGCATCTTCGAGCACACCCCGATCACAGACCACGTCAAGCTGCAAACACAGCTCTTCTCACTGCAGTACGCGTGCGCGCGCTCTTGGATGGACTGCGGTGTTCCCGTTTCTGCCGTTGTCGGCCTCAGCTTCGGCGAGCTCACAGCCATGTGCGTATCTGGCGTATTATCTCTTGAGGATGCATTGAAGTTAATCGCCCGCCGTGCTCGTCACATCCGCGACAACTGGGGCACCGATCCCGGCGGGATGATCGCGGTGGAAGGCGACCGGGTAGCTATCGACAGTCTTCTGAGCGAGTCTGCGAAGGCAACACCCACCAGCGTAGACCCTGTAGGCATTGCTTGCTTTAATGGCCCTAGTAGCTTCACACTCGCTGGTCCCACAGTAGCAATAAACGTAGTCCAGCAGACTCTCACAGCGCACCACACGTTCTCGTGTCTCCGGTGGAAGCGACTAGATGTCACCAATGCCTTCCATAGCACATTAGTTGAGCCGCTGATGTCTGATCTGCACAAAATAACGCAGGACTTGACGCTCAGCGAGCCGAACATCTACCTAGAACGCGCGACAGAGCATGCAGTATCCGGTTTGCCGCCTAAATGTATAGTGGGCGACCATCTACGCCAGCCTGTGTACTTTAACCATGCTGTTCAGCGTCTGGCTGCAAAATACCCCTCTTGTATCTGGCTAGAAGCGAGTTCCGGATCAACGATTACGCTAATGATCAGCCGCGCATTAGAAGCCTCTGGCACGAATCATATATTCCAAGCTGTCAATATCTCCGGGCAGAACGGCGTCCGCGACTTGACGGACGCCACGATATGCCTTTGGAAGGAGGGCGTGCCCACCACATACTGGGCACATCACTTCACTCAAACCCCAGATTACGGCATGGTATTATTGCCCCCATATCAGTTCGAGAAGAGTCGACATTGGATGGATAATAAGCCATTGCCGGTAGTCAACCATCAGCAGATCAATCGTCAAAGCGACCAGACACTGGAGTTTCTTGGCTACCAAGACAAAACTCAGCTGATCGCCAAGTTTCGCGTCAACACCACCCACTGCAAGTACAAAGAAGCATTATCTGGTCATGTAGGCGCGCAGACGGCTCCTCTTGCTCCAGCGTCGCATATGCTGGACAACGTTGTAGAAGCACTGCGGAGCCTGCCAGAAGGACGAGGGAAGATTCCACAAGTGCGGAATGTAACAAGTGATGCACCACTTGGGCTTGACAGCCGAGATGTCTACATCCTGCTGCATGCGCAAGACAAGGAGAAGACCATCTGGGATGTGAAATATATTAGCGAAGATAGCCACAAAGGTGCTCGTTCTCAACTGGAGCATTGCGTCGCCCAGATCAAAATGTTTGATCCCGACGTCGCCGAGCTTTCTGCCGAGTTTGCTCGCTACGGTCGCCTGATAAATCATCGACGCTGTCAGGAACTTCTCAACGACCCAAACGTAGATGATGTGCTGCAAGGCCGCAATATCTACCGGTACTTCTCCGAAGTCGTTGACTATTCTGAGAAATATCGCGGAGTGACAAAACTAGTAGGCAAAGGGAATGAATCGGCCGGGCGCATAGTCAAGAAATATTCAGCTGAGACTTGGGCCGACACATTCCTCTGCGACTCCTTCAGCCAGGTTGGGGGTTTCTGGGTGAATTGCATGACGGACCGGTCACCATCGGACATCTTTATCGCCAGTGGTATGGAGGGGTGGGTGCGCACGCCGATGTACGCGGACCCGGCGACACCGCGACCGGAAACATGGGATGTTTTAGCGACACATGAGCGATCGGATGGTCTTTATACCAGCGATATCTTTGTTTTTGAACCCGACAGCGGTCGATTGGTGGAGATGTTCATCGGCATGAAATACTCGCGTGTCCCCAAGGCGATGTTTTGCAAGATCCTTGCCAGGTTGAACTTGGGCGATTCCCAGGTCAACCCCGTTACACCTGTGGCGACCTCAGCATTTGCTTTGGATGAAAACGACCGGGCACCACCAGCAGATAAAAAACAAAAACACAAGAATGCGGATCTGCCCGCACGCATCAAGTCGGTGGTGGCTGACTTTTGCGCCGTAGACCCCAGCGAAATTCGAGATGATAATAACATAGCAGATGCAGGCGTAGATTCTTTGATGGCGATGGAAATGGCGCGGGAGTTGGAGGAAGCCTTCAACTGTACCCTGTCGGCAACAGATTTGATGGAGGCAGAGACATTCCACGAAGTTGTCGGTGCAGTGCAGAAAGCGATGGGAATAGACATCAATAACCAAGAAGAGAGCATTGATAGCAACACTACATCCGACAATGGTGGCCAAGATACCGATTCGGTCGATGTGTCTTCTGAAACAAACACCAGCGCCAGCACAGACACCGCAGAACTCCACTTACCTGAAGACATTGTCCTAAAGGCTTTTGGTGAAACCAAAGCCTTGACCGATCAGTTCCTGTCGGACAATCACTGCAGTGGGCGCGTCCACAGCTTCAAGCCTCTCCAAATGCAGCTCTGCGTCACCCTCACACTAGAGGCGTTCGAGGCTCTAGGATCGTACATACGCATTGCGCAGCCAGGGGCACGTCTTGGCCGCATCCCCCATGACCCCCAGCATCAAGAGTTGGTCGACTACTTATACCGACGTTTAGAAGAAGCCCGCCTTGTGGACATGGAAAAGACGGTCGCGATCCGCACAGAGGTGGCATGGACCGACAAATCTAGTGCCACAATCCTAGAAGATATTAACCGTAGCTATCCTGAATTCGCAGGTGCTAGCAAGCTTGCCTTCTACACAGGGAGCAAGCTGGCTTCTGTCCTGCGCGGTGACCAGGACGGCCTTCAGCTTATCTTCGGAACTAAAGAGGGACAAGAACTGGTTTCCTGGATGTACGGCGATGAGTCTCACAATGTCACCGGGTACAAGCAAATGTTGAATTTTATCCAGCGTCTGGCGAGTAAACTTGACAAAAGCTCAAGAGGACCACTGAGGATCCTTGAGATGGGTGCCGGTACTGGGGGTGGTACCAAGTGGCTGCTCCCAGGTCTCGCTAAACTTGGAATTGCTGTTGAGTATACGTTTAGCGATATATCGCCTGCTTTCCTGGCTCAAGGCCGTCGGCGGTTCAAAGACTACTCATTTGTAAAATATAGAGTGCATGATATAGAGAAAGCGCCAGCCGATGATCTGGCTGGGAGTCAGCACATCATTATCGCAAGCAATGCTGTGCATGCGACATCAAACCTGCAAGTCTCTACTAGTCATATGCGAGAAGCATTACGGCCCGACGGAGTGGTCATGATGCTCGAGATGACCCGGCCGCAATTCGCCATTGACATAGTATTCGGACTCTTTCGCGGCTGGTGGGTGTTCAATGATGGGCGCACTCATGCCATCACCAGCGAGGAACGCTGGGAGACGGATTTGCATGCCATTGGGTACGGTCATGTCGACTGGACAGATGGTTATTCACCGGAAGTGAGCGTTCAACGCGTCATTTTCGCAACATGCACGGGAAATCAAAACACACGTCTGCCTCTGGGCCCGAAACCAAAAAGCATAGACCTTCTCACGGAAATCGACTCTACAGCTTGTAGACAGATTACTGAGGGATATATTTCACGCGCTATTGTAGATTTCACAGTGCCTGCACCTGGTGCAGAGACTGTTTCAGGCCATATAAGCGTGCTGGTCACTGGAGCCACTGGCAGCCTGGGTAGTCATCTGGTGGCACACCTGGCTCGGTTGAAGGAAGTTGAACACATTTACTGCGTCAATAGAGAAGGTGTGGAGCAACCAATGCAGCGGCAAAGACGAGCACTGGCCGGTCGCGGCATAACTTTGACTGCGGACGAGTGGGACAAAGTGACAGTTCTTGCCATGGAAGACGAAGGGCCACTCCTAGGACTTTCAAGTGAGCAGTATGACACATTGAAGAGAGCCATAACGCATATTATCCACAACGCTTGGCCCATGAATGGAGCAAAGAGCGTAGCGGCCTTCGAACCGCAGTTTCGGATGATGAGAAGCTTGGTTGATTTAGCTTCCGAGATATCTTCTCTTCGTTCGCCTGACGATCGCATTGGGTTCCAATTTATATCATCAATTGGCACAGTCGGCCATCGACCGTTATTGACTGGTGAGGCAACTGTTTTAGAAGGCCACGGCACGATCGACTGGGCATTGACAAACGGCTACGCGGAAGCCAAGTTTGTCTGCGAGCAAATTCTCCATAGGACCTTGTGTCAACACCCTCACCGATTCAACGCAATGGTAGTGAGGCCCGGACAAATAGCAGGGGCGTCGACAAGTGGGTACTGGAATGCTGCAGAGCACTTTCCGGCTCTCCTTAAATCCGCCCAAACATTGAAGATCCTCCCTTCATTGGATGGAGTGCTGTCCTGGACACCGGTAGATGTTGTTGCTGCCATCTTATCAGACCTACTCTTTACAGAGAATCCACACTCAGTATATCACATTGATAATGCAGCCCGTCAGTCTTGGTCTGATATGATAAGGCTCCTCGCGCAAGAGTTGAACATTCCACCGGACAACATTATTCCATTTCCCGAATGGATCCAACGAGTCAAAAAATTCCCCGGAACGCGAGAAGACAATCCTGCCAGTGTAATGGCAGATTGGCTGAGCGATAATCTTGAGCGCATGTCGTGCGGGGGACTGTTGCTTGACACTTCGCGTGCACGCGAAAGGTCGCCTGCGCTACGGGCACTGGGCCCTGTGGGCGAGGAGGTGGTGCGTCGATATATCCAAAAATGGAGGCAAACAGGGTTTCTGCATTGGTAGAGGGTATGATATTTAGAGACTTGCGTTCTTGACGGACGGTTTGCATATCGCGTTGTTGCTTGTGATGGGTTCCTGGCACACCTTCCGCCTCCGCTTTAGGAAAGGCCGCACATGATGATCGGCAGGGCTCATGCCGATTTTAGCACCTTAGCCTGAGGCCGAATTGTATGCCTGAGGCTTCGTGCAAGTCTTCCAATTCATCTTTTGCAGTACTCCTTCATTGGCAACCCTGCGCCGTATACTCAACCCGAAAGTCAGTGATATGTATCATAAAATACCACATGCTAAGGTCATTGAGATCCCGTTCAGTACAGCCTTTGATGAAGTCATTCCTGGATCCCTTCTCGGGGCAGTCTCGTTTGCGCGGACAGCGTGAGTCTGGCTGCTACTGTGCAACTTACTCCTCGCTATCCCTGCTTCTCCTCCAACTTCACCAGTTCCTACGCGCCTTGCATCATCATACCTCGTGTTTCTGGATTAATAGACACCCTGCAACACCCCAGAGATAAGGATACTGAAGTGGGGTCCTTGTCCCATATACAAGAATTTACTAATGATTACTCGAAAGCTTCCATGCCATGACTATACCGTGATATGAGCCCTGCCAGAAGAGGTCGCAGCAGTGAAGCTTCTTCTCGACGAAGTCCATGGATGTTCATGTCCGCCACATCCCGATCACAACCCCTACGGCTTCGGTTGTTTAAGTGGCCACAATATCGTCATCATCGCCCTTCCGGCTGGTGTTTACGGAACGATCTCAGCCACATCGGCAGTAGTTGAGCTGCGCGGAAAATTCTCAGCTGTCATATTTGGACTACTCTTTGGCATTTGCGGTGTCGCTCCCGGTCAAAGCTATGACGTCTCGCGAACGGACTATCATGTATCATCGGCAATGAGAATCTGGAGAGTGCTATAGTATGAAATACGATACTACTCAAACAGGATTATCAAAAAACGAAGAATAGAGGTTATTGACGCACAATTTGACAGCAAGGTTCCAGGCTGGCAGAATAACAATTCTGACGGAATCGGAGATGCCTTCGAGCTGTCTGCGAAGTTCTGTACCAATGCGGTTTACATTTGTACCTGGGTCCTTTACTAGTATATAGTCAACTTGTCAGCCCATGGTTCGATAATTGTCGGTGACAGTGATCGACTGGCTGATGCATCGCACGCAGTATACACCCACTTCAATGGAACTTCTGGCCCGTTGTAAGCTAAAATAAGCAAAGGAAGAATTCCTGCACGTTCAATTTCTAGGGCGTGACGTGCCTTCTATAATATTATTACCGAGCTAATAGCCATCGGAGTACCTTCTTTCGTCCCTTTCCCTGGATCCTCACTCTCCCCGCTCCGCTCTCTCAATCTCTTCCAACGCCTTCCGTATCATCTCCTGTGTACTCTCCCTGGGGAATACCCGTTGTGCCGCCTTCAGACCGTCTTTCCAAATGCGCCATTTTTCCATGTTAAAGCGCCGGCGTGGAGGCGGATCGTCATCATCTCCATATTCCCGTCCAATTTGGCAATTCTCCCACACACGCTGGCCCGCATGGATATACCAGATACATGCAGTGCGCACCGCTTCCTCTATCAGCGGCCCTTCCTCGAATGCCGATCGGCACGAGTACAGAGCGTACAGGGATACATCCATGGGATGGCGGAGGTGCTCTGCCTTCGCAGTAAGCTGCGCCATAAAAGCGTTGCGGTTCTCCCACTCCTGAAGTTTTCTTGGAGGATACTCCGTCTGGGGATCCTCATCGACCTGCCGGGCATAATCTGATAGAGTTAACCACATCTTGATTGATGAGGGAGAGAGGCGTACCAGGCTTGAATCTGAATCCATACATATCAGCTAAGTATAGTTCGAGGTATGGAAGCTCCGTCCATAGTTTCAGCTCGATCGCCGTGGGCGACTGGCCGGTAGAAGGATCGGTAAGGTCAACACGTTGGAGCTCAGCAATAAACTCGACGAGCTTGCGCTGTTGTGCAGGTGGGGTGAGATTTATGATCTCTACGAGCAGGAGCATGGTGAACCATGTGTGGTTGCCATCAATCTCAGACGGGGATTCTTGTCCATGGTGTAGGTTTTCGCGTACCCGGAGAAGCCGTTGGACTGCCTCAGTGGGTGATACATCTGGATTCTGAAGCAAGTCATTAATGACTTGGAATTCTGGCCGCACAACGAGTTCTTCGCCGAGCTCTTCCCTAATGGCGTCTTCCCTGATGGCGTCTCCCATGATGGTGGCTTCGAGGTTTTGGAGGAAACAAGGTGCAAGAACGCTTGGAGTGCTTTAAATAATAGGCGTGGGGTCCGGTTGGAAAGCGGTCAGCACTAATGAATTGATCAGCCAACCGTTTTCCAACACGGAGATGATCGTGTTCAGCCTTGTGTGTTGGTCGCACAAAGAATCATCCCCTGAGGCAGCCCCCACTTTACAAAGGACAAGATCCCCACCTCTGGCGGATGATTTTCATATGAAAGGGCTCTAACATGTGCGGGAAATGCCGTTACAGCCTCAAAGATGGCTTGGCCCCCACTTAGTAGGGAGATCCAGATGCAACGCTTCCTGTTGAGACATTTACCAAGTAGACCAAAAGAGAAATCTCTCTAGTGGTGCTGGTATTGCTCAGGTATTTGTTCTGACACTTCCCGATCTTCGGCCTCTCATTCTAGTTTAGCTGGTAGTAGTCTGATACCATTTGGCCCCATCGTGGCCCCCATCACAGGAGTACAAATAGCTAAACGAAGGTGTACGCTGTATAGACCTCTGAGACACTTCTTGGGGGCCGAGACGCTCGTTGGAGCTTCAACGTCCTTGGTCTCTGTGGCTTATGGTACGATGCAAACTATGCACCAGGGTATAAAATCTGTCCCTTCGCATCACTGGTCCTGCTTGCATCTTGCCATGAACTCAGTCACTCATTTGAACAATCGATTCATACTTTGATTACCAGTCTTTCCTTCAAGCAAACCCCGAACACAACACATTCCTTCCATTCAAGATGCTGTTCAGCTTCAAGCCCACCATTCTCCTGGCCCTGGCCCTCACTGCAATAGCCACCCCCATCGCCAACCCGACGGTCGATGAGGGCAACATCCTGGTTGCCCGCGCTCCTAGAAGAGACGTCGATTGCAATGGTAAAAAGTTCACCAAAGCAGACATTCATAATGCCATTGAACAATCCAAGGTAGTTGAAGATAAGAGGCAGACAAACGCCAAGGCCTACGGCAAATACCCGGAGGTATATGGTAATGGTGAGGGATTGTTTGGCTCTTCACGCACCCTTTATGAGTACCCGTTGGTCTCCGGAACCTATAGCGGAAGTAAGTCACCCCTTTACTGCTTCTTTTCTACGCTTTCTTTTTGTTGGACAGCGAGTATTAGAGGCGACGAGCATGCGCTAACAGAATTGGAAATGTAACAGAGACGAATGCCGGACCACCGGGCAATTACCGCGTCATTATGGATGAAAATTACACGTATCTTGGATCGGTCTATCATATCCCTGGGAACTCTTTCAAAAAGTGCACGAATCTTGCGGACACTGCTACCACCACAGCTACCACCACCACCACTACTAAGGCTACCACCACTGCTACTACCAAGGCTAGTAGTGGCAACACAAGTCACAAGTCCGGCAGCAAGTCTGGCAGTAAGTCTAGCAGCAAGTCGGGTAAGAAGGCTAGTAGCCACTAAAGTCACTTTACTTCACTGCCTACCAAGGCGCAGGTGAAAGTCATGGCCGTTAGACCATCGAGGAAAATGTCCCAACGGAGGATTGCGTGCGGCTATTGGTGGTGGGCATGGCCGAGCTCAAGTGTCATGGTTTTGTCATTTGTTCTGTATGACTAAACAGTTATTAAATAGATCTGATGTATTTCTCTGCACATAGATATACATACACGGAGTTTAAGTGATATAAGGGAACAACTAATAGAGAGACACTTGTTCCTTTGAATATTGACTTCCATATAGCGCTTTAGATCAATGGCCGTGGTAATATTCCAAGATATCTAGATTCATTACATTATGTCGAGCGCCCCAGATTCTATATCCTCATATCTAGTCATGTGAATGCTGTACAATAAATTCTAGGACTTATGCAATGCCTAACATTGCACAGTTGGTGAGGAATCATATTCAATCTCTTCACATGATTGCATTAATTCATGGCTGGCAATTGTTAGCATGGCCGAGCAAGGGGAAGATTCAGAGCGATGTACTAGTTGGATAAGCTATAACCGGTACAATAGGAAAAACACTTGTATTGATTTACCTTCTCTCATTAGCTTAGGTAAAAGCTACTTCATTTTCAAAATTATAATTTGTTTTCTTATGCTCTCTCGAAGTAAAAATGGAACTGATACTCGCTTCCTGATGGATTCTACTTCAGAAATATATATCATACATACATACAGATATATACTTTTATTAATTTCTTTGTTATCTTACACAGACATCCCTGAGCTGGATGTGCTGCGCCCTTGGCAACCATATACATCCCATCTTTGAACATACTAATCTATCAGACTCCTGGATCAATCCATCGCTAGCTGTTATTTTTTACCGAAGTCTTCCATGACGAGGGGTGGAGCTTGAGGGTAGAAAGAAAGAAGGGTATGGACACGATTTGATGGATTCAAAATGAAGGGCGTGGGGGCTGTGTGAAAAGCGGTCGGCACTGAGAAATTGACCAGCCAACAACTGTATCCAGCAGGCCACCTTAGCGTTCCTGGAGGGCAAATGAAACGTTTGCCTCCTATATTAAGAATACCAACTCTAAGACAACTCCACATTATATAGGATCAACCCCCGCATTCGATAGTCGATTTTCATAATAAAGGGTCCTAACGTGTGCGGGTGGTACCGTTGCCCCGTAGGATGCAGCGTCAAAGATCGCCCGGCCCCCATTTCGTAGATGGATCTCAGTGCACCAGTATTCTTCTAGCAGAGATGATTTTCATTTTGGTCCAGTTGGCGGCAGTCTAATCTCGTTTAGCCCCCTTTTAGCCCCCATTATGGGGATATACATAGCTAAGCGAGGTTGTATACTCTATAGATAACTGAGACATTTCTAGGGGCCGAAAAGCGTTTTTGAGGGCTCAACATCCTCCGTCATAGTAGTATATGGCAAGATACAATCACAGAGAAGGGTATAAAGACTGGCTCTTTGCACCAGAGTTCTGGATTTCATCCCGCAATCAAGTCACTCACTCAAGAATTCTCTCCTACTTTCAATACCAGTCTCTCATTCAGACAAACATCCGTCAACACATTCTTTCCATCTCAAACATTTTGTTTCTAATTTTGTTTCTAGTTAAGAACATAGGTCAAGATGCTTTTCAGTCTCAAGCCCACCCTTTTTCTAGCCCTGGCTCTCACTGCAGTTGCTAGCCCCGTCGCCAACCCAACGGCCGAGGAGCCTAATACTCTTCTTACCCGCGCCCGCAAAACAATCAAAGATGTTGACTGCGATGGGAAGAGGTTCACCATAATTGATATCAAGAACGCCATCAAACAGTCCAAAAATGGCGGTGGTGGGAGATATCCATCCTCCTATGCAAACCACGAAGGCCTCTTTAATGCCAAAAATATGAAAGAGTATCCGTTGGTCTCGGGTGGTACATATACGGGTAAGCTTCCCCAATATTGCTTTTTCTTGAACTCTTCGTTCCAATGTATGGGATTGTGCTAATACATCTGAGGAAGGTGGCGCACCGGGAAAGTACCGGGTTATCATGAAAGGGAATGACGACTATGTCGGGTCGGTATATCATATTCCGGGTCTAAGCAATGGTTTCAAGAAATGCAGTAATATTATGGACAGTCCTACTACCACAACTACTACGACGACTACTACCAGAGCCACTACCACTGCTACTGTGGATGCTACTACAAATAATAGTGGCAACTCCTCTGGCAACTCCTCTGGCAACTCCTCTGGCAACTCCTCTGGCAACTCCTCTGGCAACTCCTCTGGCAACTCCTCTGGCGACAACTCCAGAAAGAAGTCTAGCAAGAAACCCAGTACCAAGACCGGTTCACACTAGAGGCGCTGCTTGTAGCGCCCATGACATCAATACGTTCTCATATAGGACTGCCTGCGCGAAAGGCAATCACACTGAGGGATAGGGTACTCCAAGTGCCAGAGGGAAAGAAGGTTGGGTTTGCGGATCTTTAGGGTGATACCTGCATGATGTGTATAGTATTGAACACTTATTGCTAGTTGAAGTATTTCTGGAAGATATAACACCTCATGTAAGTTAGTTCTGCTACGAAGGATTAGACAATAACAATACATGACACTAAATCAATGTTGGGCATCTTGAGCCATCCCGAGTTCCATTTAATAGGTTTCACTTTTGCCTGGAGATTCATGTTTGGTATCTTCGACGTCTGTTGGTGATACAAGATCATTTCCTCGAACAAGCGACGGAGCAATAGCAAGGACTATCGGAGAACTTCGGCACGGTTGCACCTAACGCCGTGTTTCCGCACCACTTTATCCTAATTATACAATGAACGGTTGCTCTCCCTTGAAGACACGCTGGTGCCAATATAAGCGCAGCAGTGAACGCGATTGACACTCTGGGATATATAGTTACTGGTACGAGACAGGAGATCATTAATCGTTCACGGGTGGGGTTAACTGGTTCTTGACGGTAGATGGAAGTGACCAAAAGGAGGAAGATTCGAAGACAGACATTGGCTAGAGTAGATTCTCGCATAGATCTTTTAGTTGCATCTTTCTGGTCAAGATAGATAAATACCGGTTGTTCACTGCGTCTGCAACTCAACTTGCTCTCATGCAACAAACTCAATATTAGTCAGTATTCATCAAAGCCTACGAAGGAAGCATGTATTTGCATCGAGTCTTCTGTTATCTTTCTTTACTCGGTACGATTGGATGAAGAGTTTTTGGCTGTTTTCTACACAGATGATTATACTCTTAATGCAGAATATTCAGCAATTCTACACCCCTGTTTAGCATCTACTAGAACTCATGCTACAAGAGAAACCCACTAACGAAATGATTCGTCTACACACATCTCCTCAATCAAGTATAATGTACACATATTCTCAAACAATCATACTAGTTACACAGCCAACCTCACCTTACACGGATATCCCTGAGCCGGATGCGCCGCGCCCTTGGCAACCATATACGCCCTCTCCCCGAACATAGTCCGTACCGCACCAGCCGCCGGGTTCTTACGATCCCACTCCTCATACTGACTATCAAAATCAAACTCCCGCACCAACATAGCCAGAGTAATTTTAATAGCCAACATAGCCATGTTCTGCCCCACACAGTCTCGTGCACCACGCTCAAAGGGCCGCCATCCACCAGTAGGCGGATAGAGCTCATGCCCCGGCTCAACGAGCCAGCGATCGGGGACAAACTCGTGCGCATGGGGCCAGTACCCTGGGTTCCGTTGGATAGCGGTATGTACGAGCCAGACCGCGCAGTCATCTACAGGGAAGGTCCGTCCATCGGTCCTGTGGGTGTCGGAAAGAGAAACGCCCGGACGGCCAAATCGGAGGCCATTGGCTGGTGGGAAGAGACGGAGAGTCTCTTTAATGACGGCGGTAGTGTAGGGCATTTGATTAGTCTTCTCAGGGTGCGCTTTAATTTGCGTTGAGACACTACCAGCCTTGGAACTGAAGATCTGTTCGTGTTCTGCACGGATCTTGGCGAGAGTGTCCGGGTGTTTGGAGAGAAGGTAAAGAGAGTAGATGATAGTCACGGCGGTGGAGTCGTGTCCGACAAAAAGGAACAGGCGGATTTGGATGATGGCCCAAGATTTGAATTTAGGGTCTAGGGTCAAGGTATGGCTTTGGCTTGTCGGTTGGTTCTTCATATATTCGGCAATAACAATATCCATGATGGATTTTCCACGGGCTTTGGCCGTTTCGCCTTGCTGCAGCCATTCCTGATAGCGCTTCTCCAGCTCCAGGCCAATGTGGTGCTCCATGATCCGGCTGTTTCGCCACTGACGGTACAGCCGGTGGATATTCCAGCGTCGCAAAGGGTTGTTCTCCCCTTCCCGACCGCATTCAAGTTCGATGGTACTGCGCATTGCAGCGGCGATAGGGTTGTGTCCCGTTTGGTACTTGAAGCGTGTATTTCTGTCCATTCCGTCAGTGACTGGGCTCACAACTCGTGTTAAGATAGGGAGTTATTACAGTGCGACGTTACCAATGACATCCATCATGTAACTACAAGCAAGGTCGTCCATTGAAAAAGTATCACCTTTTATGGCGTGTTCGCGGAGAATTCCCACGTAGATCTCTGCTTCCTCTATAATATAATCTACGTGGCCAACCACAACCGTCGTACTAAAGGCATGGTTGAACAGGTCGCGATCATGTTTCCACACTGCCCCATTGGTGGTGAAAAACGTATCCCCACCCGACATGGGGTTAATGAAAGGAGCCAGGAGATCGGTCGGCTTGGGCAAATTATGGGTCTGGCAAGCCTGCACGGCCAGCGGAGGGGTAGTGCAAACAAACATTGGGCACATAAATGGCCAAACATCGATATAGAAGCCGTTTTGCAGGCCCGGATACTGCATGGAGAGAACAGCGAATGTCTGGGACTGCAGAGCATCACTGGGACACTTTTTGGCGAGACCGGGCATGATGCGCAGATGACCGAAAATAGGATCCCAGGGGGGCATTGGCTACAGAGTGGTTAATTTGAGAGCAACGAATCCAAGGCGAACGCACCTACCATTCCTTGTTTCTTGAGACGATACATGTGCAGTCGCACCTTCACCATCTTGTACAAGAAAGAGATGAGGCAGGTCACCGCCGAAGCGATGGCGATGCGGCCGCCGAGGCCTTCCCATTGAAAGTTAAAATTTTGCATTGGGGAGAAAGGCTTGCAGTACAGAAAGGGGTGTAAAAAGGAAAAGGAAGTGGAAGATGACAGGAATGCGATGATGGAGGGAAGGGAGAAGGACGGAGAGAAGGAAATTAGGGGAAGGGCTTAAAAAGCACCAGCAAATGGTTGGGGAAAACGTAGGCTAGCTAAAGACTGTACTAGCAGGGATGATGGTGTTTAGTGACAAGTCTAGGTGGGCGCAGCCCGTATGGTAAGGTATTGATTGGTATCAGCCTTGCGCAACCATTGATACCGTTTGCCCCACGGTGGTACCCCCCACTAGTACAGGGATATCGTTTACACTAAGACTATCCCCGGTGATAATGAGACAACCTCTAAATATGCAACATTGAAAGTATGAAGCGGGGTCGAACTTTTCCGCAAGGCTCAGCCGGGGAAGAGGTGCATCAACTCGGAGCACCGGGATGGAAAAGGAAACGTCGAGAGAGGAGGGGGGGGCGGAGCGCAAAATTCAACCCATGCTACTGTGAGTCTTCCCAGGTCTCGAATCCAACCATTCAGTGACCATGGCAGTCGGGTGATTACAATGCCTACCCCCTCCCAGCAGGTTGCTCGGGGACCTCGTCTCCAAGCGCGGTTCCATGTTGCCTTCGGGTGCTTCTCTTTAAAGCGCGTGCCAGACACTGCCATTCACTCGACACAGTCACGATTGTCTCCAGCGAACATTGAAGAATTATCAACATGCAGCCTCAAGACTATGCAGGAAGAATCCCTAGGGATTCTTTCATTGTGAGTATCTGAACTGAAGTGCCTCCATCCCTGCCCTAACCGCTAGTCCAGATCTCGATCTCAGTTCTCCTCGCCCCGGCAGTTCTGGGCGTGCTTATGCGACTATTCATCCGATTCCGTGTACAGAGACAGAGACTCTCTGTGGATGACTGGTTGCTTGTGCTGGCTCTTTGTTTCCTACTTGCCAGTATCGTAATCATGTATCGCAAGGTGATAGATCCCATGTATCTTCTCGTCGCGATGGAGCTTGGAATTAAAGACGTCGCTGTTCCGGCGGATATTATCGAAGTGGGCTATGTGTACCATGAGTGGAGTGCAATTTGCCTGACAGTCTCTTGGTGCGCTTTCGGTGCTGTTAAGCTAAGCTTCCTCTTTTTCTTCAAAAAGCTCATCGACCGAATCAAGCCTTGGCAGATCTACTGGTGGGCGATTACGGTATACACAGCTGCGGTTCTCATCTACGGCTCCTTGATTTTTTTCCTCAGCTGCCCCTATTACTATGACATGAGGCAATGTAAGCATGCTCTTTCCATGGGCTGGATTTGACGCTTACGCGATACAGTTACTTGTTCAGTAGGGTCAAAGAAGGGTAAGGTGGTGGCAGAATCCATCATCCTCATGGTGCTGGATACCCTGGGAGATTTTCTGAGTTAGTCTGGCAGAGTAGCCGCACCGTTCAATAGCTAACGTGTGTTAGTTCTCGCAATACCCGTCAATATCATTTGGAAAATCCGAGTGCGATGGACTCAAAGAATCATTCTCACGTTGTCCCTCTGCCTAACAGTTGTCATGATTATACTATCAATCGTCAGAGTTTCTGGACTAGTCTACCGCGATATAGTCGACACTGTTTGGGAAACATACTGGCAGTTTCTAAGCGCCGAGGTGGGAGTTTTCCTAGCAGCGGCAGTTTCATTCCGTTCCTTCTTTGTGGCGCAAAATCGAACACTCTCGCCCCCTCCATTCTCAGTGAAAAGGTTTTTGCAGGAGTCTTTCTCATCGCCAAAGCGGCGCCATCCAGATAACATGTCTAGCACTTGGATCTATGGCAATGGCTCTGAGATGGAAGTGCTGGCAAGCCGGTCTACAACAAGAGAATTTGACGTCTATGGAACCCAGCGACATGTGGACGTTGAAGCTCGCTCGGCCTGTTAGACTAATCCCGCGTGGTATGCTAATCGGAACCAGCCCCGCCCCAGAGGTAACGCGATGGCAGTGCATGTGGAGGGCTGGCTAACACACATTATTTTCTGGGTGACATTAAGGGTGGTTCTACCCGGCATCGAACGAACCTGGTCAAATTCTCAGCCTTTCGATGATAATTAGAAAATGAGATCAACTCACTCAATTACCCCTCCCTCCCGTGCTACTATAACTAGTCGGTTGCATTCTGACTGCATGAGAAGCGGATGTGCAAAGTATGCGTATCCAGGGAAAGGTCGCAACATTGGAGCCCAAAGATAAGCACCATGGCAAGCTCACATGCTGCTCACAGCCTCTCAACCCCGCCTGGCTTGGTCGATCACCTTCCTAAGACAGCATGACGATTATGGCGCCGCGTTTGGTCGGGGCGGGCCGCTAGACAAGGGTAGAGATACAACGTGCTCCACTTAACTCGGTAGGTCGCCGCTAAATGGTCAAGGCACGGCTGGCCAATTTCACATTTGAGACAGCCTTGGATGGAACGATAACATGATCCCCAAGAAACTAGGTTAAATAGAAACACCCACAGTTCCCACACGCCAGATAGCGTTCTCCGCAGTATTAGGCTTGTCACACTTTCATCTAGCATGCTCCTCCTTGGCCCCGTCACCCAATGGCGTACGTCGCGCAGCACAAAATCATGGCCTCTTTAAGCCTCAGCCTTTCCCTTCTTTTGTTTACTATCTCAACATCCGTACCTCTCTATGTGTCACGCGAAGCGCTTGTTTTCTGCTTCCTACTCTCTGTTCCGTTCACTTTCAGCCATGCCATCATCTATCTAGTTCATCGGGGGCGATGGTCATGGGAATAGCTCTAGGTCAGGTACGCCCAATGATTATCCGCAATATCCATCACCCACCTACTGCGCCCCGCTCCACATCATGGTATCATGAGGCTAACATCGTGGAGACTGATATCTAGTCAACGTGTGGAACTGCAGGCAAATGCGCGAGAGACATATACTTCCGAGAACGGGACCCTCTGGTTAGAACCTGGCCGTTTATTTTTGGAAGTATCCTTTTATCCGAGTTATCAAAGACAAGTTCTGGTTAGATGAATGTTTCGGTTGGCATGGTCATGATTGGTGGTAATTAGACAAGCGAGCTGGACTTGTCCCAACAATACCTATTTGCACAGGGATCATCATGTTGTTTGAGATGCACCATACTCAAGACGGTCACTGTATTAGGAAAGAGAAATGCGAGCCGTACCCCGTGAGGCAGAAAAGCATAACGCTCATAAGCACTAGCGGCAGGAACCGTGTGGCCGCTTGACGTTCCTGGCCGGTAAAAATACGCCATCAAATCCTGTGTGCATTAGCGGGTTGTGATAGCGCAAGTTCCCCTCATCTGACATGCCTGTGCACTCCTAACGCCAAGAATACATGGCTCCATGGCCTCTTATTCATCTTTGCTAAGCATACGAGGGATAGCCATCATAGGCCGGTTACAAGAGCTCTCCGACAAGAACCTCCAGCACCGAGGATTTTTGGCCGTCTCCCCCCACACAAACAACTGGTCAGAAACCGCCCACATCAGAACGACCCACAGCCCCGCCGGCCCTTCTGTTACCGTATAAGGGCACTCTAGCAGGTGAATCGGAAGAAATCAGCAACTGTTGGCTTTAATGATCCTTTGCATACAGGTCCGTGACAGGTTGGGGGCCGTGGATGTCACTACGTAATACAGTGGGTGGCCGTCGTAATATTTTACATGGGCCTCGTGGTATCGCTCACCTGATACTAAACCATCATTGGACACATTTACCATCGCTGTAGTGCGCTGCGGTAAGAATTTCCTCGCCTATGGGTGTGTGGAAGAGGTCTTACACGGTGCATGAAAAGGCTGACAGGAAACTACGCTCCCAATTTACTTCGGGTGGCAGTGCTATCAATCACTATCAGGACCTCACGCATGATGCATGCTTCACATGAATGTCCAGGATGAGAGGATTTCGCGGTATCTCTCGGCCGTCTCTACGCAGGCTTTGCGAAATGGACCCCAGCAGATGCTACACTGCCCACCGGTTAGTTCCCAGCACAGGGATAGAGGTAAGCAGGCTATTCAGATACATTGTGTTCTAATACAAATTGCCTGGATCAAATGTATACCTTCACGTAGCGAGCGGTTGTCCGAAGCCCTCGGCAAGCCCGTCTCCTCACACCCAAGATGACTATGTACCGGTCCATGAGTCTATAACATTTAAATAGACCAGTAAAGCTACGTTGCCCCGTTTCCATAATGCATTCACAAGATCAACTCTATCATTTCACATTACATCCCGCACTTTATCATGTCTTATCATACCGGAGAACTGTGGCATTCTGCCAGTTTCTTTCTGCCTCTTAAAGAGATATATGTCACATATCTCATCATTGCCACTATTGGGATCTGCCTGGTGAACTACTGGTACGGTATCCACGCACTACATGAGAAACCTCGAGTCAAACGAGGAATGAAGATTCCCCCATTGGTGCCGTCCTTAATACCACCACTGGGAACACTTCCGTTAAAGATGCTGTGGAACCCTCGAGGCTTTGTTCTCTCGGCAAAGTATGACAGCAGCGCTTCTTATAGGACAAGTGGCTGATGTCGTACAGGCACCTACTGTGGAACTCTCGACCAGTCCGTGCACGGATACTGACGCAAACCCTCTACATCTTCCAAGGCACGGAAACCATTGGTTCCATCCTTAAAGAACGCAGCCTCTCTCTATTTGCCGTACATGCGATCCTTCTGCGGCGCGTCTTCGGCCTTCCGCCGAGCGCGTTACGGATCTACGCCCATGACAACTCCGGGGGTTTTCCCAGACCTTATCCCGAAAGCAATGTTGAGCCACAGAATCGGATTGAATATCTGATCCGGCGTACTAACCAACGTCTACTCCTTGGGGCAGGCTTCGCTCCTTTTGTAAAGAGATTTCAATCCACCCTCACAGAGCGCCTGCAGGCACTCTCCATCCGTAGCCACTGGGTCAAGTTAGACGATTTTGTCCAGCTTTTTAATAACGACTTTACTGCCTCAATGATGGATGCACTGTGTGGGAAATACTTAATACGACAGCACCCGAATTTTGCGATCAACCTGTTTACCCTTGACGACAACGTCTGGAAGATGCTTGTTGGGGTTCCGCGGTTCCTGGCGCCGCGGGCATATGCCGCACGAGACGCAGCGCTTGGTGCCTTGAAGGACTGGAACACGTGGGCACGAGAGCACTTCGACCCCGCCGCAGTCAATTCAGATGGCGATGACCCGGTCTGGGGTTCCAAGTACTGGCGCGATCGGGTAGATGCCTTTCAACAGATTGAAGGGTTTGATGCTGATGTTATTGCCATGCATGATTTGGCGGTTATCTGGGGGTACGTCATGTCTGGATCGGGTTTCACCTGGCTAGATCAGCTAACACCTGGCGTTAGGATGACCACAAACGGTATAAATACCTCCTTCTGGACCTGTCTGGAAGCCTTCAAAGACCAAGAACTACTTAAACTCGTTCGGGCTGAGGCTCGCGCCTGTTTGATCTCGGAGTCAGATGTGAAATTTGATATTGATCGCCTCTTACACCAACCAGTCCTGCAAGCCATTTATGCCGAAACTCTTCGCCTCCGAATCAATGGTTTTTTCGTCTGGTATCAGTCCCGTGGCGACCTGAATGTAGATGGATGGCACATTCCTAACAAGAACTGGATTCTCACTACTCCTATGTCGGGTCATATGGATCCAGAGATCTGGTGCAGGGGGGCAGGTGTGGATCATCCGGTAGAGGAGTTCTGGGTGGGTAGGTGGTTGAAGTATGCGGATGATGGCCAGACACTAATATTCACGACCGAGATGGCCAAAGGTGCTTGGATGCCCTACGGGGGTGCTCTTCACATCTGTCCTGGGAGGTACTTTGCCAAAACAATGATCATTCTTGGGATGGCTTTGATGACAACGCTGTATGACTGTGAGGTGTTGGCTGACGAGAAGAATCTGCGGATGAGCATGCGCACCTTTGGGTTTGGAACCGTTGGACCGGTTGGAAAGGTGTCAGTACGCATTCGAAGGAGGGTATTGTGAGTTTTGTCGGAGCGCTCTGGAGCCCTCTGGATTGGCCGCTTTTTTGTTTCTCCTAGGTTTCATGTGTTCCTTTCGATCCTGGTTCTTCCTGTCCGTCTCTCTTTCTCCTTATTAAGCCTTTCTTTAGTGGAAAGGCTGGCGGATCCTCCCTTACAATCCTAACGTCTTTATGCATATTTTATGTGGGGATGTAGTCGCATTATTAACAATGCTTTTTCCTTGGGTTTTGTTCTACGGTAACTTGCATTTTCCAGTCCGGCAACATTTGAATAAGAAGCAAACATGGCTAAACACGAGAACCTCTGATGAAAAGATGTCTACATTGGAATCAAACGCCTCTATTTCAATCTCGCGCTTCTAAGAATCTTGTACGGGGAGATTATGAGTTGAACCGTACAAACTTTGGACTGACACTGCGCGTATAACATTTCGAGCAGAGTTTTGCCATACCAAGCACACATGAGCTTTGTAGTACTATAAAACGGAGCTACCTTCGGATATAGAAACTGACATTATCATCCGTATAAAGCTTGTGGCTGCTTAGCAATCCAATATCAATGACTTCTTCCCAAATCCAATTAGCCGATCGCGGGAAATCGTGACGCTGTCGTGCTGACAAATCGGCCGCTCCTTTTCCCCACACTCCGCCATTACGATCAATGAAATTGATCATCAATCTTCCCGACTTGATCTAAGCTATTCAAAGCCTTTGGCTTGCAATGGATTCAACAAGGGATGGGAAAAGTAGAGCAAAATCCCGTGGAAAGTACACCACCAAAGCGTGCGAAGAATGCCGTCGGCGGCGAGCTAAGGTAAACCCTCGAAGTAGAGAACAATCATTACTTACCTACGTCACTACGGTACGACCGCTGATTCTGCTAGTGTGACGGGGTAAAACCATCATGTTCCAGATGCCTTCAATGGAATGTGTCATGTCAATATTCAAGCACTGAAGATGGGCGCCGACCGGCTTCTAAGTCGTATGTCCTACTCCTTAGGCAGCGTATCGAATTGCTGGAGAAGCTGCTAGACCAGCACGGTATCAACACCGTAGATCATGGTTTACAGCCTCCTGGAAAAGGCTTGTATAGCTTCTTGGTAAATGAAAAAATAGACGAGACATGCTCGGCGATGGATAGCCTATGTGAATCTCTCAAAGGCCAACTATCGCTGGACGAGTCATTGAACTTTGACAAAGATGGGGAGATGCGGTACTTCGGGCCTACCAGTGGGCGACTGGGATTCCAGGGCCTTCCGTCGAGCGGTGGAAACCGAGAAACTTCACATGACCCCCAGGCGGATGCTGCGCTCAATAACATCGATGACTACCTCGGTCTGACAGTACCTAGTCCAATGGTCGACGAAATCCCTATCTCTCTGCAGAACGAGCTCATTAATCTTTACTTTACATGGGAACAACCATGGTATCCCATTGTCGACGAGACTCTTTTCAGGGAGAGCATGAGCTCTCTGGGAAAATGCTGGAGTCCACTGCTTCACTACTCTATTCTCGCTTTAGGCTCTCGATACTCCGATAGCTTGCAAGTCCGATTAGTTTCCAATGATCCAAACTCAGCCGGTCTGGAGTTACTCTCCCGAGCGAAGAGTCTTCTACACTTAGAGATGGAAAATCCTACTCTTGTCACTATTCAGGCTCTAGGGGTCATTGGCATGGTCTACTTTGTGGGTTCTATGTTTCAAATGCAATCAGAACCTGTGACTTATGATGGCGAATAGGCAATCGGCAAAGATGCTGCTGGATGGCTACATCATGGCATGGCGGACCGACTGTGTCTTGACATGGGCTTGAACATGGATCCGGCAGGCTTCGCAGGCACGGTCACTATATCAGCCAGGGAGGCACGCTTGAGAAGGCAGATTTACTGGACACTGTATTGTCATGACAAACTTTCCGCTACTTATACGGGGCGGATATGCTCGATGCTCGTCAGTTCTCTTATGCCGTCCTCCATTTCTCGCTGACAGCGCGCAGGATCAGCAAGGCGCTGTCGAGTTACCATCAGATATGGGCGATTCCGCGGAGACCGTGGAGACAGCTGCGAAGATCCGAAAAACAGTGGTCCCTCTGCAAAGAGCACTGATCGGAATCTGTAAAATCACCGAGAACATCCTTCTCTCAATGTAAGTATCATTCCGACTACATTGGCAACTCTCTGACCAAGGAAGGTGGGGTCCCAAGCCACTCGTGAAGGGGACGGAGCAGCCGGAATTTCTCGAATCCAACCTTCTCGCTCTAAGATCTTGGTTCTACGATCTTCCTCAGCACCTCAGGATTGACCGTCCCAACCCTGTGCCTCAGGCATATACCCTTCATATGGTATATCATACGACGAAGATTCTACTTGCCAAACCATTCCTAATGGGCCCTTGCTACTACGACTCACCTGATACAAGGACTAAGACGATGGAGAAGGCTCGAACTGTATGCAGGGACTCCGCTAAGACAATGTGTGTCGTGGCTCAGAAATACTGCCGGACATTTGGCAATTTTCGACGTAGTCCAATTTCAGCCATGCATAGTACGCTATCAGCAGCTCGGGTCATTTTGGAAAAGCCGGACCGTCCTTCTAAGCGCAACCAGATGCGAATATGTCTTGCTGCACTTGATGGACTGTCTAAGTCATGGCATCCAGCACGACATATTGCGATTAATCTTAGGAAGCTTTGTCCCATGCTGCCGAGCGAGGGGTCACCTGAGGATGGTAACATCACTGCGGTTGACCTTGACATCCATGATCCTGCACAAAATGCCTTCGATCTGTTTGGCATTACTAGTGATGGGGCTATTCCGGAGCTGCGTAATATGCTCGGTACTGATCTCGCACTTTGGAGCCAGCTCCCAGACGACTACGGATACTTTGACTTCTTGAACCAGGCCACATGGGACCGTGCATGGTAGTTGGCAGTCATATACATGGCCTTTGATTATGAGCCGCATAGCTTATCCCCCATTCCTGAATACCTGGTCAAAGACTATTTCGGATCATGAGCCACCACTTCAATCTCAACCCTCATATCATCCTCCCCCAACCTCGTCACGCCCACACATGTCCACAGGGGCTCATGATTCGGCATATACTTCTTAAAGTTCCTGACCATGGCATCCAGCGCTTCGTTGTTGATGGGGACATGGTATGAGTTCACGCGGAAGACCTGCTCCCACCCTTTGCCGCCAGCGTTCTTCAGATTCAGCTCGACGTTCTTGAACGCCTGGTCGATCTGCTCGTTGATCTCTTTATAGAATTCCCCAGTGTTTGGGTCCCAGCCGCCTGTAATGGTTAACATTGACACTAGTGTCCATATCTGCAAAAATTCGGAATACCTTGTCCAGAGCATTCAATGCGATCACCTATGCGCACGGCTTGGCTATATTTGAACTTTTGCTGATTCCTTTTTCCAACTCCTTCGTAGTTGTAATAGGTGAGGTGAGACATTTCGAAAGATTAGTAGATAGAGTAGTAAAATTGAGGAGGGTACAGCTGATGGTTACGGTTTTCATGTTGCTGGTTGCTGGTTGCTGGAGTTCCTTATATGTCTTCGCCGCAGCGGAATATACTTTCCGTTTGATGCAACCGCCACATGGTGGGGAGATTACAATCTTACTATCACGCAGCACCACTGCTCAAATACTGAACTAATTAATGGCTTAGCAAAATGATGCACACTCTATTATCCATGCTTCAATACATCCAACAATGCCATAGGTAAGTCCTTAACAGTGCTGCAGACTACTGATCCCCACCTGTCAAACTATCTTATCTTATCGCCTGCTGACTCATCACCTCCGCGGCATCCGATCGATATCATCACTCGATCCAGACCATCGCAATAGGGGTCCAGGTGACTTTTCTCCTGGCCATTCCCACTGAATCATAATGATTACTAGATAGCCCCAATTTCCCAGTGGTGCAACACACCATGCACACCAACACAGGAATAAAGCGCAAACCCCTACCCCAGACCACCTCCCCGGACGGCACCATCCGCGGCGTCGTAACAGTATCGCCTTCGCAAACACCACCGCCACAACCATGCGTATCCTCCAAACAGCAACTCCAAGTCCACCAACAACCACTATCACCACGTCCTCATCGCCCTCCACCACCCTACACACCACCCCTCCCTGTCCGCTCTGCAACCACCCACAATGAGCCATCCTATCCAAGTCGTACCCCCTCTCCCCTCCCACCACCACCCCCTCCTCGCTCCGCAACAACCCCAAACCCAGCAGCGACAGGCCCCTCCACCGCCCAAAAGGCCTACAACGAAGCCACCCACTTCCTCGGCGGCCTCATAACGCACCCCACAAGCAGCACGAAACACACCACCATCCTGCGACACTCTTCCGGCATCGTCTTCTACCGCGGCAGCACCACCTCCGTCACCATCTCCATCTTCTCCGACGCCCCCCTCCCACCAACCCGCACACTCTACCTCCAAAGCAAAGGCTGGAGCGGCAAAACTGGAATGAAAACAAAAGCATTCCTCGGCCTCACCGACTCCTGGCTAAACGTCACCCCGACGCTTCCCGTGCACGTGCAGCAAGTCGACCCGGTGGATGAGCGCGCGTGGCAGCGCGACATTGGCAAGTTTCGCAAGAAGGCGACGGGGCGCGAGAGACAGCATGTGCTGCGGGAGACGATGGTGGTGAGGATCCCCGTTGAGGCCGGGGATGGGTACTTCCAGCTTGTGCTTTGCGGGGATGGTGAGAATAGGAGGAAGGCTATGTGCTATAGTCCGGTGTTTCGGGTATTATCAACCAGTTTGAGTCCTAGTTCGTGTAGGGGGGCTAGTTTGTCGACTATGCCTTTGGAGGTCGGGGCTATGGTGCTGGGGATGTATGTTCAGACTGCGGCTGAGGCGGTCGTGGCGCCAGTTACGGCCGCGGTGCAGAGTAAGGTGCAGCCGTATCAGCCGAGTTGGGTGACGCAGACGGCGGCGGAGACGGCTGTTTCGGTTAGTGGGGTTGGGGATAGGGTTGGGTCAGTGTTGGGGGTTAGTGGGGATGATGATGATGATGGGGGAGGGAGTAGGAGTGGTAATGGGTTGAGGGATGTGCAGGCGGGGTATCAGCTTGCTTTGGAGGAGGGGCCGAAGGCGCCGTTCCCTGTGGACCTTACAGCGAGAGTGGAGGCCGGGGATAGTGATGGGCTTCGATTTAGGGTTGGTAAAGTACCTGATATGGTGCTGGATCGGTATCGGGGGTTTTTCTTTGGGTGGGCGAGAGTTGAGGGTGTTGAGGCGACAGCGGAGAGAGGGCCTGGTTCGGCCTCAGGAACGTGGCAGGGCGTCGTGTTCTCGGTTATTTACTTTGATCCGATACAACAGGAGCGAGTCAATCTCTCGCGCGCTATGCAGAAGATCACGACTGTCCGCTTCATCGATGAACCTGCTGTGCCGGTACGAGCTCAAATAAAGCTTCAGATCCGAATCATGGGTTTTCTCCGTCCGGATGTACCTCCGCCCAGAGGCCAGACGGACAAGGATCTCATAGCTGCTCGCGAGGCGGCTGCTGAGGCGGCCATGTTAGCTGATGCATGCGATGTGTCGTATGCGCAGAGCATTCTAGAACATCCTGCTTGGGCAGCAGATAGGCCCTTCTCGGGGACGAGAGGTATGATTACCAACGGAGCGAGCGGAAGTGGAAGTGGAGGCTGGATGGATAGAACTAGAGAAGGTGTGGAGAATGTCAAGTATCGGGGACAGAAGCTAGCGGAGAAGGTTCCGCTGCATTGGATCGGGGTTAGGGCTCCGACGGATGAGGCAAGGGATAAGCAGATTGCCGTGAATGGATTTTATATAGTTCGGGGGTGATGGCTGTATATATTCTTGTATATTAGATAACGTGTTTATTTTAATCGGAGGCGATTGTTAATTGTGATCATGGTGATCGAAGTCAGTATTATTATGAATACCAATCGTATGGCTAAGATTGAATGTTCTGCTTGAGCATGAGGCGCATGCTATACAGCAAGGCCTAGAACAGACAAGCTTTCCTTTCCCTGTTCCTGTCATTCACAAATGGTGTCATCTATCAGACCATCGACTGAACCATGCGTTAATGCTGATCGATGTTCGGTGGCGGTGCAGCTGTTGACGGTGGACCACGGCCCCGAAACTATGCCTAAAAGGGAAAACAGGGCGTTCGCTCCACCCAAGCTTTGAGTGGATCGTTTGAAGTCCCCTATGAGTTCATGAAAATGAGAGTGCGCTCCGTGTGTTTCGGTTTCTCGCTTGTGGCCATCTATGCCTTGGCTAGGCTTTCTTTCAACTGTTGTCTAGGCTGTGAACAAATGTTCGCTTATGACCGTGTTATGCCATGATGCCTTATGACGTGGTAGTGAATGTCGAGATTTTAGGACGGTTAACACAGTATAAAGATGAGGTCTTTGACTTGAGTCTGACTGTGTCACATAGGGTCTGTGATTGTTTTAGTTGGGAGTCTAGTCAGCCCTGTCGTAATGAAGGAGGGAGTTGATTTGGTTGCAGTGTATGACAGTTTTAAAAGCAAGCAGATCGATCTGACCTGTCTCAAGTCGGTGAAAGACACTAGTACGGAGTCACAGAGAAATCCATATATTTGGGATAGCCAAGTAATGGGTAAATAATTCGTGGTCGAAGACCCTTGCCCAGAATTCAGCCCCCACATCCGGTCATAGGCAGCAATGAAATCAACATTCAGTGTCCATAAAAAAGCATTATTTACCTGTGACGACATATTTATAATGTGAATATTCACTTCTCACATCAGCCAATTCAAGCGAAAAAGACTTATCCCTATTTTGCTTCCTGTATGTTTCAGGGAAAATTGAGCCCGCGAAGCGCCGTGAAGAGCTTGTAGGCACTGAGGCAGAGAAGCAGTGGGGCTGTGCAAACATTCCTGTCAGCCCTAAGTGAGTCCCGCCCATGGAACAACCATTAGAGCTCTCCTCTCCACCAATCAATCAGCCGCCCTTTGACTGCGCCACTTGGTGCCTGACTCGCGCTTACTGGGCCAGGTTAGCGGGGTCTCAGGCAGCCCCTCCCCCAACCCCGCACAGCCACAGCTTTCCCGCTTAAGAAGTCAACACTCCTCTTTCTTGATCGTTTCGTTGCTTTTCTCTCCTCCTTCACTCCAGCATCTCTAATACGTCCCTTCATCTTCTCTAGCCGTCTACAAACACAGGTAGACCTTACGATGGCAGCTCAAGAGTACTTCGGTGGCAGCAGTGCCACCCCCGCCAACCCTGATCGCCGTCAGCAGAACCCCTCTCCCTGGTCATCCCCGGCCGTCGACACTCCAAGCTCCACCGGATACGGCTCGTATCCCCCTTCCGTCGAGAACGGCCATGACCGATACGGCGCCTCTTCTCCTTATCCCCCTCAGGGCGCTGGAGGTTACAACAGACCTTACAGCCCATACCAACAGCCGTCCCCTCAGCCCGGCTACCAGAACCCTGAATACTCATCTTACGGTGGACGCCCACCTTACCCACAGTACGAGCAGCCTTCACAGTACGGCCAGCCTCCCTCGGAGTCGAGGCCCTACCCGCCTTACCCTCAGCATGAAGGCTACTCCTCCCACCAGCAACCCCCTCCATACTCTCCCGAGTCGTCCACCGATCCCGCCGCCGCCGGCGAAGGCGAGAAGGGTATCATGGGCGCCCTCGCAGGCGGTGCAGCTGGTGGTTTCGCAGGACACAAAGTCAACCATGGCTTTCTCGGTACCATCGGTGGAGCTATGATGGGCTCCGTGGCCGAAGACGCAGTGAAAAAGCACAAGGAGAAAAAAGAGCACGAGGAAGAAGAACGTCGTCGCGAGGAGGAGCGTCGCAGAATGGAAGAACAGCGTCGTAGGGAAGAACAATACAGGATGTCTCAGCAGCAGCACCAGCACCACCACAGACCTCCTCCCCATCACGGCGCGCCTCTGCGCGGAAACTTCTCCGCGTCGGCTCGGGATATCCGCCTCGAAAGTCACCACGATCTGGTGGCGGCTTGTGGACGGGTGTCCGGGGAGCTGCAGCTCTCGGTGCTTCCGTTGAACAGTGTGTTGGCTAATCACTGGGGAAAGTTCGCATGGGAGCGGAACGGAAATTTTGCGGCGTCTGCTAGAAATGTTCGCTTGGTTGATGGGGGCCGTGTGCTGGAGGCGGAGTTGGCGGATGGCAATGCTGGATGGAATCGTACCTGGATTCGGCTGGATGAGAGGATTACGAACCAGAATGGTCAGCTGATGTTCCTGGATTAGATGGGGATCCGTGACTTTCTGTGAGCGTTGTCCTACGTTGAATGAAGAGTTCTTTAATACCCACGCCTTAAGTGATGTGATGATCTGCACTGGCTGGACTGGTATCCTTTCTTCAGTTGTCTCCTCGATTGCTTTTAGCGCAGTTGAAGTCGCGTCATTGTTCACAATGAAATGGTGTTTTGCCCCATTAATCTTCTTATTATACCAATTCGTTATCCCAACAACATCGTCCTAGATCATGTTATCACCATACTAGGGACCTCACCGGTCTAACTAAACCTTTACCATGTCCCTTCACATCAAAGCATACCCAAAATTCCATCATACAGCTCCCCAGAATAAATTACTTCCCACCCATTTGGCATCCCGCAAGGGATCAAGCCACCCGTGGTGGGGTCTCCAGCCTTAATTAAACAACAGTGGCGCGGGTGCTGACGGAGAAACCTCAATCTCACCCACATCTACCAGAAACGTCACCTCACAGCACCTACAAATCCCAGACCCCAGTCCTAGACACCTACAAAAAACATGTCTTCCCAAATCCCTCAATATCTGTTCGCCCTCCAATCCCTCCCCCTCCTCGGCAGCGGTATCTACACCCTCCTTTTCCCCGCCTCCGCTGCGCAATCGCCATACCTGCCGTTACGGGGTGTCAGCATAGGGACTATCCAAGCGATGAGGTAGGCAATCAATAGATTGAAAATCCATTTATATGTCATCTGATCAGCAATAAGTCTTTCTTCCCTGACACTGGGTACTTTCTATGCTCTCGTGGCCTATCAGAATAACATCCCGATGATGGCGGCTACGATACCGACGAGGATTCTGGCTGCGATGGTGTTTTATCGCACGGGCGAAGACGCATGGAAACGGGTCGCACCTTTTGAGGCGGTGATGGGAGTCGTGACTGGTTTTGGGGTGTGGTTGTGGGGGTAGTTGGGGGATGCTAGGTTGTACAGGTTATATTCAGTGGGTCAGTCGATTGCTACCAATGCTCGTATAATCCCTTGATATCTTCCTAGGCTGTTGCTGAAGGTCCTCGAGGGTGCATGAGAGGAAAGAAAAATAGAAAACCAAAATAAGGGGGAGAGCGAGTTGCTAACGATAAATCATATTTAATGAGTTTAGCACATAAGTTGCTGCTACATAAATGGCATATCTGATATTACGCATGAAGATCAGCGCTACCTCTGACCCCCACCCACTTTATGATGACTCCCACACTAATCTCACTCTGTCGACTGTATCCCAATACTGGCTAGCAGCATATAACTTTTCTTATAGTTTTTCAAGCACATACGACCACAGGGTGTGGAAAACAGGGCTTCCCGTCCGCTCAGCCGTACTTAAGCCACACGCCGGGAGGTTAGTAGTTGGGTGGGTGACCACCAGCGAATCCCTTCTGTTGTATGTTTTTCATTTTTTTTTTGGTAACTTGAAATTTTTTGATTCAAAAAGGATGTAATTCAGAGTAGGAAAAGGGGTGAGAAGGAGGTAAATAGGGGCCAAGGAGACGACTTTCTGTGGTTGGATATCGATAACCCTGGGATGGGATCATGCGGAATTCAACGAACTACAAAACCGGCATTATCTTCCTATGCTTTGAGGCTTTGAATCACTTGCTTCCCTTATCAGAAACTCTCTTCGGCCTTATTGTTCTAATCGTATTGATATACATCTACGGGGTACATAGTACAAACAATCGGCGCCCCCCCCTAGTTCTAGTATACTAGACTAGTGCCTGATTGATCTAGTATTGATACCTCCCACCTACGTTTGGTACGTATCTGCAAGGTGGGGTAACCGACTTACCGACTTGTCAATTGACCCTACTGATGCACATCCCTTTCAGCTTCCACCCACGAGTTACCAATTCCGACTAAATTGTGTTCACCCCTATCCCGGACTACCATAGGCGCCATGGAACCCAAGGTGATCTTAGAGATCCCCCTAGATATCTCGCAACAAAACCTAGTCGATCTCTCCAAAATTGGTTCGCCCGAGAAATTTCGCCTCGTCGAATGCGCAGCTCTAATTAGCAATCAAGACCCCATCCTCCGAATTGTACAGTACGAAAATTTCAAATTTGGCAACCGACCGCCAGCTGCCTACGCGGCAATCTCGTATATCTGGCAAGGAAACCGCACCGATTCGCTCTCAGGCACAATCGTTGTCGAGGGCGCACTTGATGGTGATCCGATCAGTATCAAATCATACAACAGGCATGCATTGCGTGCAAGCGTCGTCGATTAGATTATATCTGGCTTGACAGACTCTGTATAATGCAAACTGATAGCAACGACAAGGCATGGCAAATCCAGAGGATGTTCGGTATTTACAAAACGGGGCTCCCGCTGGTTTTGCCCGGTGGCCTCATGAAGCTGGTGCGCTTAGATGAAGAGACAGACTGGATCCTGCGCGCTTGGACGTTGCAAGAGGCAATTGTGTCCGAAGCTTATGTGCTTGTTTCGGCAGAGGGCCTTCATATTCCTCTCGAAAGACCCTTGGTTGATTTGATAGTATATGACGACCCCCGACGCTGCATGTGTCGTGTGGAGTCTGTCGTACCTGATATGTCTGCCTTTTGCAGACTCGCGGACCTCCTCCAAGTCATTCGCCGAGGGTCAGGGGAGGCTATTTGCCAAATGAACGCCAACGCAGAAACAACAGTGATGCATTTGAGAATTTTTGGAAACTACCAAACGCGGAAGAGGGAGATCACTGCCTTTGCAGACGCTACACAAACAATCTGGAACGGGTCAAACTGGTCACGACACTCCCTCTGGCAATCTTCCTTCTTCAGAACTTCCAAGCGACCGGTTGACATGGTATTCAGCATCATGGGCCTCTTCGGGGTCTCCCTCAATCCTAAAGAATTCACGTCAACGGACCGCATTCGTGCAACCATAGCTCTTGCACAGGAGTACTTGAAGAGAAGCAACAAAGCCGACTGGTTGATCGCCGGTTGGAAGGAGCCCCCAGATAGGCGTCTTTCGTCTTTCCCGGAGCTCCCGGAAACATCCGCATCCACGGCTCCACAGTTTTCCACGGAGAAAGATGACATATCGAATGAACCTGACACGTCTCCCTATGATATCCGGCACCGCTTTGACAGTAGTTGGGTCCCCGGTGGCAGAATGGACGATGAGGGCTACTTCTACTTTACAACCAAGGCTGTGCGAGTGGCCAGCAACGCTCTGGAAACATGCCAGGCGTCTCCATGTTCGAATCAGCCTCAAGCAACCCCGTCTGGGTTACTTAGGGCACTGGACGGGAGCCTTTGGGAGCCACAAACAGGTGAAGCTTTGCCGGAGCAACGTGGCCCTTGCCACTCCAGCCAAGGCCGAGAACTGTTTGCAGCTGTGGTGAGCCTTGGCTTTGGTCAGGGCTATACCAGGCACGCGAAGGCTGTTTTACTGGAAGAACATACACCAGGAAAGTTCCATAGGCTTCCGATATTCTTCGAATTGGCACAGCATACGTTGGAGGAATGGAGGGACATGGATCTTAATATGGGGCCGGTTCGATAGGTCTAGCAAGCATATACTAACTGACAAAATCATCGACTGAGGCACTATAGCCATCTAGGAGAATGGATTTTCAAAATCTAACGGGTTAGGAATTTCTACAACCAGCTTCTTTTATAAACTAAAATAGTGCCATATGGAGTGATAACCTACCAGACCTACTCAGACCGTCTCCGCTCAATGGCCAACACCATGCGCGCTGCCTTCCGCATGTCAACGACATAATTAGATTAGCAAAGATTTGCCCGTCACATAGAGTTATGTTTATTCTCCAGCAATTCACCCGGACTGTTCAACCGGGTAATTCTGGTTAAATAGAAACTACGCCAGTCCCTGCATTGGCTTGGCAGGTTACCCTGGTAGCGCGGATGCAGGCTGAACGGGCCGTCCGGCCGTGACGCAGCCAGTCAGAAATATACCGAAAGACCCTTCGGATTAGATCATATTCATCTGCCAGAGTTTAGGGCTGCACGCGGGTTTCTTCAGGTATCCGTGATTCTTCAGTATCCTCTCCCCATCGGTTAGGGAGATGTCTCAGCGCCACCGACCGATGGCTTGTTTAGGTCTCTCGGCGTCTGGGTATACTTGCAAGTTCTAAGTGATAGTGGCAGCTGATATAATGCTGACGAATTCCCTATCCCAATACAGAACGGAGTATGGCTTCGTCCGGTAGCTTGCTTGGACATTGCGACCAAATTGGTCCATCTTCCGGAACCAAGAATTGGCGTTGGCAGGCGAAAGACGGCGCTGCTTCCGAGGACAACGCGGAGTGCATCCGTGAGCTAGGGAAAATGACAGTATAAAGTCTTCGCGTACTTCCAACTACCAGAAGAGTAGTCAGAACATCTCAGCAAAAACCAAGTTCTCTCTGGCTACCGTTGAATATCTCAGTGTCAGAATGCACTATACGTTATCTCTCGCATTGGCTTTTCTGCCGTTTGAAATCCAAGCCCAGCAAACCCTTTGGGGACAATGTGGGGGTCAAGGGTATTCAGGGGCCACAAGTTGCGTGGCTGGTGCAACATGCTCAACTATAAATGAATGTAAGAGTTCCTTACAGAGATCTTACTGTTCCACAGCCGAGTGACCATGACCATTAGACTATGCTCAGTGTACGCCAGCGACAGGCTCGGCCTCTGCCACTACCTTGAAGACAACTACTAGTACCACCACTGCTGCAGTGACGACAACGACTTCTACTAGCAGCCCTGCCGCCTCTGCCTCGCCGACTACCACGGCCAGCGCTAGTGGCAACCCATTCAGTGGATACCAGCTCTACGTGAACCCGTACTACTCATCGGAAGTCGCATCTTTCGCCATCCCATCGCTCACTGGTTCTCTTTCCTCGCTCCAGGCGGCGGCAACAGCCGCAGCCAAGGTGCCTTCTTTTGTATGGCTGTATGCTTTCTCGTTCCATAATGTAATCTGTATGAGCGTCGTGTTGACACTTTCCAGGGATACTGCCGACAAAGTTCCCACCATGGCGGACTATCTGGCCGACATCAAATCTCAGAATTCTGCCGGAGCGAATCCCCCTATCGCGGGTCAGTTTGTGGTGTACGACCTCCCTGACCGCGACTGCGCCGCGCTCGCCAGTAATGGCGAGTATTCGATCGCGGACGACGGGGTTGAACACTACAAGGCCTACATTGATTCCATCCGCGAGGTTCTTGTGCAGTATTCGGATGTTCATACCCTTCTGGTGATTGGTGAGTGTCTCCTCACTCTGTTCGACTATGAGATACTGTATCTGAACGCTAAATGTCACCTCCAACAGAGCCCGACAGTCTCGCCAACCTGGTGACAAACCTCAACGTGGCCAAATGTGCCAATGCTGAAAGTGCCTACCTCGAATGTACAAATTATGCGCTGACTCAACTCAATCTCCCCAACGTGGCAATGTATCTTGACGCTGGTAAGCTGCGCATCATCCCCCGTCCCCCTAATAGCCCCTCTTGACAGGTTCTGACCAAAGAACTTGAAGGACACGCCGGTTGGCTCGGCTGGCCCGCAAATCAGCAACCCGCCGCCGACCTGTTTGCAAGCGTCTACAAGAACGCCAGTTCTCCCGCCGCGGTGCGTGGCTTGGCCACCAATGTCGCCAACTACAATGCCTGGTCCATCTCTTCCTGCCCCTCCTACACCCAGGGAAACAGCGTCTGCGATGAGCAACAGTATATAAATGCGATTGCCCCTCTGCTACAGGCACAGGGCTTCGACGCCCACTTTATCGTCGATACCGGTATGCGCAATCCCACACCCCGTCCTCCTCCTCCGCCCTAACTCTGGCTAACATAAATCACTAACTTCTAGGCCGCAACGGCAAACAGCCCACGGGCCAACAGGCCTGGGGTGACTGGTGCAATGTCATCAACACCGGCTTCGGCGTCCGCCCGACCACCAGCACCGGCGATGATCTCGTCGACGCCTTCGTCTGGGTGAAGCCTGGAGGCGAGAGTGACGGCACCTCTGACAGCTCGGCTACTCGATACGATGCGCACTGCGGGTATAGCGATGCCTTGCAACCGGCGCCTGAGGCGGGGACTTGGTTTCAGGTATGTTCTCCGATTAAATTCGTTGGCTGGGAGTAGATTGATTTAGCGGACTGACGGGTTTCTGTTTGTAGGCCTACTTCGTGCAGCTGCTCACAAACGCCAATCCAGCGTTCTAGAGATGGAGGAGTCACGAACAGCATTTCGCGATATATAGTGCCGTGGCGAGGGGTACCATCAGTCTCAGACTGGCGCTTCGGGGAATGTTGGTGCAGTACGTGGTGATCTTTGCGATATCAAGTGAGGTAGAATATGGGTGAGCAAGTAGGTTCATGGACTTGGTCATAAAATGCATTTCCGCCTGTATGAAGCAGCCACTGAAATATTGCTGTTGGAATTTTCTGTATATCTTCACCAGGTTGACGTAAACTATCCTTTGAGAATACTATGCCAGATTGTACATCAGCTATCAGATGTATGTTACGTAGGACAAGATCAAAGAGGCATCGAAACATCGTGCTGGCAGTGTATGAGGAAAGCCCTTGGCCAATTTCTGGACTCACGTTCACGTTATTGTAGCTTAGATAGCATCTGAATGTTCTCTCAGATAGGCGAACTTACTTTCCATTCCCGGAATGATGTATTGTACCTTGACCAACGAGATACAATCTGCTACTTCCTTTATTGGCACGTTTCTACCTCTATATCCATGGCCTCATCTTCGACATCGTCGCGCTTGTTCATGTCACATGACCAATGTGTAGGTACTCCCATCAGATAAACTTCCTTTTTCCAGTCCCAGTCTATAACAGACTACAACAGCCTCTATAATCTTGGCAAGCTTATATGTCCCCAAGCAAAATCAAAACCAAAATGCTTAAATTCCCATCAGTAGGTTGAATCATGATGTCTCGACAGTCCGTCGTCCAATGAAAATGGTCTTATAATCTGACATAATCGTCAACGGACCCTCTCCTGTACGGCGGTCATAGCGGACATCGTGTGTGTCCGCTATGACCGCCGTACTCCTGTCTCGTGCAACCCCAACTGCCACACAAGCTAGGGGTTCCGATCGTGTAACGTCTATGATGGATTGGACTGGATTATGCGCGCTGTTAGTACCACGTGTCATCTGCAATTTGCGGGAGCTTAGTCGGACATAAAGAGAAGTATGCATATTGATGTCGTACCTGACAGTAGACCCCAGGGAAAATCTACGCAGAATCGTCACGTCTATGCTGATATCACGTGGGGCACCCCAAACTCTAGTAGGCTGGCCGCCAAAAGGACCTGCTTGGCTAATACCCTCTTATGGTAGATGGCATATGAGTATGCCCTCTGTGAATGTTAAGCGGCCGCGCTGGGCAGCAAAGGAGAAATATTGGAGCCTAAAGGACTTACATAACCGTAGAAGAGCCCGGTGGTCCTTAGTTCCCCCTCTTACCACCTCCCCAAAGAGAAGGGAAAGCAAGGCCGATGACGCAGACGAGCAGAAACGAAAAGGTAGAGTCATTTCTCGATTGGACGGGGGACGCCTAGAAGCCTGCCAAGAAGCATGCATCTCAGCAAGCAGGATCCGGACGGTCAACATCCCCGAGTGAGGCGACGTCGCCTCCCCCAGTACTTGAATATTATTGGGATAAAAGAACGGGATGGTGACTTTTTGCATTAAATCAAGGTTCAAACACAATAGAACTAATGCGTAAATGGGTATCTCGAATATTAAACAAATGAAGAACAAATAATACTATGAATAGGAGGATAAAAAATCAATGAATTTGCGACAAATAAAAAACATTTCATATTATTTCACAAGATAACTTGGAAAGATTGAACACATTCACTAGAGAACAACCAGAATGAATCTCAACTACATGGATCCATTTATTATGTAGGAGGACCAAATAGTGATTGATTGTAGATCGGTTAGACGGCATCTTTCGCTACATTGATGCCTGTTTCTATGCGCAGGAACCATCGGCCCCATTCTAGGAACAGTAACTGCCGGAAAGAACTGAGCGTTGTAATAGAAAAACGCTCTAGTAAGATTGGGTTACGGAGGTCACTCATTGGATTCCGAAGTAATCTGGTATCCGCAATTTTACTTCTCATTGGCCATCCAGCAGGCCACGTCAATATGAGTGACAACAATAAATACAAATCGTGTATTCACCAGATGCGACTTGATCAATCTCAAGGGTGAAAATGGCTCAGGCCTGTGGCTTAAGGAATATACTGTGGCGAATAACTATTCTACAGCCACACTCCCAGCACCACCGAAGCGCGAATCTATCGAAACCCTTAGCTAATTCCACGTAACGGCCGCTGCAATAGTGACCTTTAAGTCATCCCTGCCCTCTTGGTTTCCTCTTTCCATTCACCTCTCTTTTTCACTCCGTGTCTGCAGTCCTTTGCCTCTTCTGGTAAACATCCACTTGACAACACACATAGCTATCCGGTCCGTTCTACCTAGAACGACCACTTCTGACTCGCCTGCTCACCACAGCAGATCTCTTCCCATTTGTCATTGTCCGCAGTCATCATTCTAATCACTTATACTTGGGCTTTGTGTGCTACAACAAAGGATCCCCTGATTTAAACCCCGATGCCAGTAAGACAAGGCTCTCAGTCGCAGGATGGTAGGACAGTTCCAGCCCTTTCGAAGCCATCATTGGCTCTCGCCCCGTCTCTAATTGCTGCCTTCAGAAGTAGAAGCCCAAAACCAAGCAACAGACATGATGCGTCCACGCTGGCTCGCCCAACTCCTTGCTGTTTTTCGACCTTTTTGGGCGATACTATGGTGGCTGCTGACGGCATTGGTATCCCTTTTCAAAGTACACCGTGTTTATTCAGGTCGCTGGGTCCAAAAAGCGGTATCTTCAAGCTCAGAGCATCATCATGACGGATCCCAGCACAATGAGTCATTGATCAACGGCTCTCATACACCTGGTAGAGCAAGCGTGGACGAGATGGCATCTGTTCCAAACGAGCAGCAGTCAGTGGACATCCCAATAGACGTAAGGATAACAGAGGGACTACCAACTTTAGTGAGCAGGCTAGCCAAAGGACCTGCCATACACACAAATTCAGGCGAATCGAGTCCTTCGGACCAACAGCTGCCGAGTGATATTCCGTCTGGCATGCTCAGTCCGAGTGAAACACCCAGTGGACACGACACCACCATCACAACCCCTCTGTTACCGAATGGTCAGCCACAGTCGGGAGATATCACTGACGAGTATGAGCCCGCACAGCTCGAATTCACCAGGAACGGCTATCTAATAACCAGAAGCCAAGAAAAGAAAGGCGTGAGAATCTCCATGGATACCCAGGGCGGGGTCAGCATCATGCGAAGTGTCATTTTTGACAAACTCGGCCTACCGCTGGAGCCTTGCGAGGAGTCCCTGGTGCCATTCCGAATAGCCGGGGACACAGCCAAAGTTCCGACGATCGGAAAAGTCTGTGTGGACTGGCGCTTTGCGCAGGGTCTCATAACTTACCGAACGGACTTTCATGTGGTCGAAAACGATCAATTCGACGTGTTGATCGGCTTGCCCACGATCTCGCAATACAAGCTGCTGCAACCAAGTTCCGACATCCCCACGGTTATGGTGCGCGATCATCTTGATCGAAAAACAATGGTGGGAATGCTTTGAGCTGAGAGGCTATGCCCCCAATAATTAAAGTCGACAGGCTGTGTTAATTGTGTGCAGTCCTGAATCCATTTTTGTCCTGCGGGGTTGTGCGGCTGGTCAGCTTATCTTTATCAGGTGCACGGGGTGGCGGCGGCGGCGTGAAAACCACGTCAAGTGCAGATAAATGTAATTTGCTTTTCTACCTTATCTCTACCAATAAATATCCCTGTTATCTTATGCAAGAGAGGAGTCCACGTTGCTAGTAATGAGACTTGTTTGTTCCACAAGCGCAAGAGCGAGGACGCACCCCATCGCAATTGCTCAACCGAATTGCTGGCGGTTGGCGGTTACTGACCCTCCACGTAAGATGATCTACGGCTTCAAGTAGAGTGAAATAATATATAACTAATAACATTGACATCCCACCAGCCATTAACATTTGTTCCTGTCGTTTCTTGATGCCCGCCTTGCTTGCATTAGGGCCCCCATCATCTGCATCCAACCTCACGCTCGTGAGCGAGCCCAAATTTTTCCATAGCAGCCCATTTCTCCCCATGAAAAAGTCTCAGTGATGAACATGGGTAAGCCTTATCTGGCGGAGACTGTTCTTGATCTGAACTGGTTTTGTTCAGCCTCGAGGTTCTGTTCCCTCGAGATGCACCTCTTCCACGCTGCATAAACATGTCCGACAGCCAATGACACTGATACCTGCGGCTCAATCACAAGGCTTCACAATGCTGCTGATATATAAGTCCGGTAGATTACTCCGGAAGGACCAAAGCAAACTCTCATTTGAGTACAGTAGTGCTTGCCCATCACCAAAGATCGTCTAGGCAAAGCCATCACGTAGCTATGGTATGGACCCTCGATCGCAATGGCACTGTTTCCCCCTTGACTGGTAACTCAAATGACTTATACTAGCATTTGTCTTAGTCTATTATAATTTGCTGTGATGGACCTCATGAAACCGAGCAGACTCTACTGGCATCTTTTGCGGGAGACTTGGAGGTGAACATCCTCACTCCTTTGGGCCTTCAATGCCTCGAGATGTTGCCCCTCCGTGAGGGCTCTGAGGTGAGAATCAAACTCACGGATGGAAGATTGATAACGGTCCGCCAATGCATAAAATTGCGTATCTGGCTTCATGCCTCCAAGATAAGCGAGGAGGAGGACTTCTATCTTCTGGAGGATGTAGACGATGTGGTTCCAAATACTTCGGGTGCGCACGCCATTTTGGGGCAGAAGAGCTCCATTCAGGAGGGAATGGATTCTGGTCAGCCTCCATCCTTGTCCCCTATCTTTGGTCCTCCGAAAACCAAGGGTAAGACAGTGCAATCAGCGAATGAGAAATGACGCGAGAAGCTAAAACCTTTTTCAGAGGATCGGGATAAACAAGACAAACGACACGCAGAGGCCCTGAGAGAGGCTTCAGAGGCAGAGCGCAAGCGATGTGAAGCTGAGGTCGCAAAATGTCGGGCTGCCAGGGAAAGCAGGGGAAACCACGATGCAGGGGCTCGGCGATAAGGCCAGCAAGGCTGAGATTACATGAGTTTCTCGTTGATACATTCCACTGGTTTTATACCATCTTGCAAATAAGATTAAATGCATTACAGCACCTTTGCCTTAGCTTTCTCTTCTATCTCTCAGTTTAGTGTCTCCCTACACCCTGTACGTAAAGTCCACTCTGGAACGCTACAGCAGATCTCATGGTGTAAGGCTACGAAGGTTTAGTCGTCGGAGATGTTCGGTTTGATGTGAGTCAAGTGTGGAACAGCTGCTGGATCTGATTGGCAACATTAACTAGCTGCCGCGAATCACGCTATCCATGGTTGGTGTTTTCGCCTCTTTCAGCCTTGTATGCACGTCCAAGTGACGAAGACGAGGCTGGGCAGGCGAGTCAAGCTACCAATGATAACTTTTAGCACTGCCGCTTTTAGCACTGCCGCGCCGGCAAGGCTAACAGAACTTCTTTTGCTTTACCCATTCTTGCCACGACCGACAAGTTATACACGGTAGTCAGCGCATCGCCGGAGGCTATATGTTCTCATTACGAATGTGGCTTAGCGGCTGAGCTGGACTTTTGTTTTCCAGCTATAAGGCCCCTCCACACCCGGGCTCTTCTACGATGCGGCAATGCTACCGATGTCCCAACGTCATTTCACCCTCAGTCCCCTCTATAATGTCCTGGAACACCTTTGGTAAGTTACTGATGGCTCCAACCTCACTTACTCAGCTCCATTTGAATGATACTGACTAGGATTCTCTTGCCCTAGCACCCTGGCAAACGCAGGACCAGACTGAGGACGAAAAGCCAACGTCCGGCCAATCGCGCGACCATGAAAACGTGATTAGGACCCTTGATGACTGAATATGCACCGAATCTGACCTGCAAAAGGCACCCTGCCGGTCAACGCAACATTCGCCGTCTTCGTACGTTACTGAGTCCAAAAAAATAGTCCTGTGTATTTATTTCTATGGCCGACTATTTTACAATACTGCATCTGCAGTTCTGCCATCTTTCAACTTTTTCAGAAGAAAAACGGTAAGATCTGCAATAATCACTACCTGTTATATTCACACCAAGAAATCAAGTATTGAGACATCACTAGGAGCAACAGCGGGACGAGCCATGCCAGCTGCAACATGATGAGCAGATAGTGGAGCGGTATAGTTCCGATCAAAATGACCACACACCAGTTCATAACGACGATCTCTCCAAGGGACGCGCAGAACTAACAGAGTCACTGGACTCTGCTTTATCACATGATTCGCAGGTAATAAAGGAGGTGGATCAGTGCGACTTTGTCTACGATATCATGGCCGGTCCGCCTGGAAAGAACCAGCTGCGTCGATGTATGGTGCTCAGCTTCCACGCAGATACCAACATAATATCGAAAGAGGCACATCAGAGACTTGGAACGAGCATCGAGCCTTGTCCAAGGGCATCTGTCCAAGTTTTGGGACTTGGAGATCGCAAACCAGTTGGAATTGCAGAAGTCCAGTGGTCTTTTTGTGGGCGCAGCAAGCCTTACCGGACAGCGTTCTACGTTGTAGAAGATGTCGAATATGATCTTCTCATCGGAAGGCCTTCTATGCGGCAGCAGGAGTTGTATCGAGTGGACCCCGCTATTGCGAAGAAGCTTCGTGAATCGTATCAATATTCGTAGGCTCAGCTAGTGGAGGATGGGGGGACGGACTTGGAGCTTGTTTGCACTCGCTTTCGTTCCATGCGTCAGGTCTAGAAATGGCCCTTTATACGCTGGGATAGGTCCCCACGAACATACTATTGGTACCTTCAGTGCAAGTGTGTCTTACAGGTAGCTGCACTTTGATTGGGTCATGTCTGAAATTCAGGAAAATTTTCGGCTGGGAATCGGTGTAAATATACATTTCTAGTCTGGTTTAATCAGAAAATGGAGGCTCCCCACTGTACGCCACAATACTCAAAATATAAGGCTGGAACCCTGATCGGTGCCAAACATCATCAGGCTTCGCATTGATTTCGGGACATCATGCAGGCGATCATGCTCTACTGACCATTCAGATTTATAATTGGCCAGGCTCTCCTACAAAAAGCAGCATGACACATAGCCTCTCTAGCACCACACTAAGCACAAGATCCAGTGACTTTTTATATCTTGCCATACTAAGTTAAGAGTCGGCGTCTCGTTTCAACTCGTTCGTCTCCTTCTCTTTCTGTACTCTAGAAACGTTGCCACACTTCCCAATAAAGGTAAATCCAACAATAGATATGTCGACTCCCATTCCCAAAGGTTACGACAAACTGGCTGCCTTAATGACCCGCGACCCCGGGTCCTCCATTTTTCGACGCTTTTCCAAGCTTAATGCAAAGAACTTGCTCTATCTCCAGGCGGAGGTCGCCTACGTCGAAAATGAACTCCAATGTATCATTGAGGAGGACAGTCGATCCCAGGAGAAGAAAACGTTTCCATTCTCAGTCTGGCACATGAAGACTTCAGAGGACCCGTTTCAATGGGAGAAGGTCCTCGAAGCACGCAAGTTATTGAATGAGTACAGTACGTCCCCGTTCTTCGTTTCTCTATCTTTATGTGTAAAAGTCATTTATTAGACTGTTATTGTCAATGCTTCGTCTTCTGCTTCCAGCCCTCTCCCTTCACTACTTGCACATAGGCTTTGTCACCTGCCTAGTAAGCACAGAGACTGCGGCCGATCCTGTCTACAGAATACTTACTTTCATTTTATTCTACTGCAAACATTACACTAACGGGGTTCAACTCTAGACGCAGCCCTACTCCAACAATCCCAACTCCTCCGCCTCAACAAGCCCGAGAAAACCGACCTAGAGGTGTTCCAAGCATGGCTGAAAGACGAACAAGGCGAAAACATGATGTTTTCGCCTCCAGGCCAATGGGATGGAGAAAATGAGAGCGACCTGGTAGCATTATGCAGTCGACATGAGGAGACAGACCGTTTCACCCGGTTTGTCTATACGCGAGTCGTTTCGTGGTTCCATCAGATGGCGGGGGCGAAAGATACCGTATGTTATGCTTTTGTTATCCTAGGTCATTCCTCCCTGTCATCGTACCCTGGCGTTGAGCTATATCTCGACTATAACCAACGTTCTATACTAATGCACATATGCTACACCTAGAAACGAAAAGATATCGAATCCGGCGTCTGGTACTACAATGACCGGACAATCAAATCTTGGACGTATATGCTCAGCTTGATTATCTCGGGATTGCTTCCTGCAACCTCGATAATCATATTGTATTATTTGAAGGATCCGACAGCAGTATTAATCACTATCTTCGTGTATAACATGGTGTTTGTTCTGGTTCTGGGGTTGATGGTCAAGGCGAAACGCGTGGAGATTTTTGCTGCAGCCACAGCGTAGGTTTTTCTTTCGTTTTCTTTTTCTTTTTCTCATACCCCCTCTCCTTTGTCCGTCAAACATTTTTCTTCGCCAGCCGTACACTAACGGAACCAGGTTTGCTGCGGTGCAGGTGACGATGATCACGGCTGGTAGAAGCAGTTCGTGAGCTGGGAGCCACACTTTTCGATATAGACGAGTAGATGAATAATGGCAAATTGTTTGCGCAAAGGATGCTACGGGAATCGTATAAAGTCAAAAGGTCGAACAGAGGGAGGGAAGCTCCAGCAAATACGGTCGGACTTTACACACTTCCATTAGCATCTTTGAAACCCTTACGAAAGGGGACACGCCTGTGAGATGTCGATGTCTTTGGCCGAGAAGAATAGGACCTCGAGCCTTTGATTATTGGATTTTCGTTAATTTGTCAAATCACTTACTCTGTTCGGTGGCCTCTATGAGTAAACAAAGGACGGTGCATCAAATATACTGATGATAGTAGGATTGCATGGCTTTTGTTTACTCGAGATAGGATTTCGTCCATCCTCAAGAGCATACATATAGAGTGGGCGACAACTAGAAACCCTTTTTGAATTATCTAGTTACATTATATTAGACACATCAACGGGAAGACAAGTACATACGACCATAGGGTGTGGAAAACAGGGCTTCCCGTCCGCTCAGCCGTACTTAAGCCACACGCCGGGAGGTTAGTAGTTGGGTGGGTGACCACCAGCGAATCCCTTCTGTTGTATGTTTTTGATTTTATTTTTGTTTGTACAGTATGGAGTAATACCTGTCCACGGAGAAGAAAGAAAATTGACAGGATAGAATAGGCCTGACAGAATTAATCTATCTTCTATTATAAAATAGATGCTTTCAAAAGGTCGGTGATTAGAGCCTGTAGGAAGTCCTGAGACCAGGTATACCCACAAGTGTTTCCATACCAGCGTGGGAATGCCATCTCTACCAGGAACTGTGGTCCCCTTAGCAACTCTAAGTGACCGGTAAATCTCGTAATCCTTTCTCGAACGGAACGAAAAGCTCTTGGCGCGAGGACCGCCTCGACCTGCTCCTCGCTGACCTGCGCAACTCAATCGAGACTCTAACCGTTTTCATCTCATGCGACAGATGTGCGACTCGAGTAGAGCAGAACATGCTGCTTGCCATGGCGGCTAGACAAATCGGGGTCATCTGCGGCAGGATCGCCAACTGTTGCAAGGCGATGCATCAGGGTAGTCTAAGCGATACAGGCTCCTTGCAGCGGGGAAATGAGCCTGTCCTCTGTCCGATTCCGGTTGATGTCTCGGTTGCCACGTATCGCGTCAACCGACGTGAGAAGCTACACCTGCTCGGCAGCCTTGTGGTGTTGCAGATAATGGATTTCCAAAGGCAAATCAATATAAGCAAATCTCGATATCGCAATCGGCCAAATAAAGGGCAAGTAGACGCCCTCAATCAAGTTGACGCAGGCTTCGCTCGGCAGTGATTCATGACACGGTTAGATAGCGATAATAAAGGGAGATGACGCACGAACTCATGCTACCCTACGCAGTCTTTCACGACCGATGTAGCCCTCTAGTGTTTCCCTCATTCGTCTGACGGAGGGAACAGCCAAGCCTTGTCGTAGTGAGCTTGTTTGGCCTCCCGCCGCGGCGTCACAATCTGGGCTAACGAATCGACGAGTTGTGGATAAGCATAGAGCTACGGGTGTGCGACTATTTCATGCATCAATTAGAGATGTCTTGCGCTATGTAGAGCCGACAGAAGGAGCAAACCAACAGCCATTGGCAGACGTGGAAAGGTACCAGCGATGACTTACAATACAGATGTAGTAGACATAGTTTATTGCATGGAGCCCTGAATAGACTGAGAAATGGCGCATCCATTCTCCAAAGAGATCGGGTGAGAACGGGCTGGCGGAGGAAAGCGAAACCTGACCGAGGATTTTAAACCCAGAGCTGACGGTGATCCTGTTCCGGTAACCCGCTGGTAACATCGGGGGATCCCGCAGCAGACAAAGAGGTCAATCCGCATGTCCGAATGACGCCAATTGACCCCTCCCAGCCACATGCAAGTCCAATGGGTGCCGAGATCAAGTGAAGGGGTACTTTTCCTCCTAATCTGGACGACGGTCGTCTGTCTTTCTCCAAAATCCCCCTTTGTTAGCGTTCCCCCCCAACGACAGGAGAAGATACTCTGCACATTCTGAAGTACATCCGACGGTAATTTTCATCCTGTGCCATTTCGAAGAAGCCTGGTCATGATGTCTCGACCTGGCACTCCCTCGATGCTACTTTTCGACGCCTTGGGCACAGTCGTTGAATGGAGATTCTGCATTGCGAACCAGCTGAAGGCTGCAGCAGAAAGGGCCCTGCAAGACCAGGCTCGCGAGATTGCTGTGGATGTGCGAGGCCGTGTCTCCGACCTAGCGCCCTCGACATGGAATGAAATCACAGACGAGTGGCACCGCTCGTATATGAACTTCGGACGCACCTTTGATCCATCCAAGCCCTTTGTCCCTGTAGACGAGCACAACCGCGTCTCTCTAGGCAATATCTTCACCGACAGGCGTCTACGGGATCTTTTCATTGACGACGATCTCCAACACTTGACCCTCTCTTGGCATCGCCTCGATCCGTACGCAGACAGTGTTCAAGGCCTTGCGCTGCTCAACACCAAGTTTCCTACTTCCACGTTGTCCAACGGTAATGTCAAACTTCTCGAAGATCTAGTGGAGCACGGTTCTTTGCCTTTCAAGCATATAAGCAGTGCAGAGCACTTCAATGCTTACAAGCCAGCGCCAGAAATCTATTATGCCGCTGCGCGCAGGTTCGGGTTAGAGACCTCGCAGTGTTGCCTTGTCGCTGCCCATCTTCACGACCTGCAAGCCGCCAAAAAGTGCGGGTTCCAGACAATTTATATCGAGCGATCTTTGGAAGAAGCTTGGGATGCGGAACGCGTTGCCCAAGCCAAAGAAGAGGGATTTGTTGATTACTGGATCGGCATCGAGGGATCAGGTCTTTTGGACGTTGCTCGGTATTTTGGAATAGAGACAGACGCGTAGATCCATGTCTTCGCCTACAATACACCCTTTATGCGCTTGTTAAAATCATAGTTGTCTTCTAGTTTTATCGCCGCTCTTCCGCGCAGTAGACAGTCTGGATATCACGCAATCCATTCTTTGGCTAAGTGATCTATTACTCTCATCCACGTCCTCAAAGCTTTGCCCAAACACGTGGTCCCGAAATGATCACTCGTGCTCCGACCAGAGCGAAGACCGCCACGATCAACGCGGCTCCTGCCCACATCTGCGCAGCCAGGTACTCCCCACCGGTGCGCGCTATCAATGTCCCCGCCACAGAGGACCCAGTCAACGGGCCAAAGCTCATAATGGTCAGGGCCATGCCAACTCGCGTGCCAATCTTATCAAGGTCTTTCGTCAATGAGGGCTTTGTCCCAACAAACAAGGCCATCGCTGCTGCCTATGCTAGTCCATAGAACACCGTGAAGACGTACAGCTCGACTGTGGTATGCACGGCAGCCCAGGCAAATATCATAATGCCACAAAGGGCCACGCAAGGAATGAGGCAGTTGAGGGGACCAATGTAGTGATCGGTCAAGTATCCCAGGGGGGCTCGGACGGGAATACCGAGGGCGTTAATGATGATTATCAATGTCGCACCGGATTCTTCGGAGATCCCCAATACCTCTGTCGCATAGACCTGGATCTAAACTATACTTAGCTCTAGATATACGGCACCTCTCACGATGGGGACTGTACGTAGAAGAAGGTAAGCATCTTCTAGATATATATCAAAAATTATCAAAATATACTGAAATTTATATTAATAATGATTAATGATCATTTATATCATAAATTAAACAGCTTCTGCCGTTCTCTTGATAATAGTTTATATTCATCTTAGATTCATCTTAGTAAGTTTTATCAAGTTAGCTTTTTAAATCTTGAGGTACTAAGAGTTTCACGATATAGAAAAGATTAATTTACTTGTAAATTTAAGAAGAATTGCATTATAAGATCCTTATTAGCTGAGATTAAGATTAATGATAACTTGTCTCATCTCTTTGGTGCTATTTAAGTTGATCTTGATATCTTTTCAGGGGTAATGGTGCCGTTGATTGCGCATTAGATCTCACTGGATTGGTGGGGGAACGTGGCTCTCCACCTTTGACAGCTTACGCTGCTAGAGAAGATAAATCTAATATCTGGAATCTACTTCAGTGGCAATTTCTTCATCAGAGCAGCTTAGATATATGAAGACTACCTTGGGATATAAAAGTATGTCCTCTATCTTTCGATCCTTGATGGGTTTGCTATGAATTCCGGGTGGTGTTATTCTACCTATATGGTCATACATTCTTTATACAAACGAGTATATCTATATCGGTACTCATACATATCATTCCTAATGGTCAGGCACTGAGTCATACTAAAAAGCCGCAGCCGCAATCGCAGCCGCACGACGCTCGGACCGCCATGCATGAAGGCCTTCACTTTCGGCGTCTGGCCCAATGACAACTCACGTCACCTGAATCTCTGCCTGGTGGCGGGCCTTATATTGCGTCGAGTCACATCCATTTGGAGGGCTTTTCTCCTCCGTCCACGCATCACCCCGTCCCAAGTCTTCGCCATGGCTGAGCTCACAACTCGTAATGGCGATCCTTTCGACCGTACACTCTTTGAGTCGCTGTTGAAGCGCCGACTTTTCTATACCGAATCGTTTGAGATCTACCGAACTTCCGGAAACCTTAATGGCGACAGCAGAGGCCTCTACGATTATGGACCTCCCGGGTGTGCGCTCCAGTCGAACATTGTAGACTTATGGCGGAAACACTCTGTTCTTCAGGAGGATATGCTAGAACTTGATTGTACGATTCTAACACCAGAAGAAGTCTTTAAAACCAGTGGCCACGTGGATAAGTTCGAGGATTGGATGTGCAAAGATACGAAAAAGGGGGACTTCTTACGTGCCGATCACCTCATCGAGGCTGTCCTTGGGGCAAGACTAAAAGGAGATAAAGCAGCTAGAGGAATTGCTGGTGAGGGTGATAAGGCCGATGGCGCAGGCAAAAAGAAAAAGAAGGGTCCTAAAGTGAGCTACATCAAGGCGATGAAACTGGAGGACTCTGTTGTGGCAGAATACGAGGAAGTGCTTGCCAAGGTATATATGCATGGGGAAGCCCTTGCCACTCACATCTAATGCTTATCGTGGACTTCCTAGATTGATAATTACGATGGACCCGAGCTCGGCCAATTGATTGAGAAGTATGACATTCGAAACCCGGATGGGGACACACCGGTTTTGCCACCGGTTCCCTTCAACTTGATGTTCAAGACAACAGTGGGTCCCAGCAGTGCTTCCCCGGGATACCTCCGACCAGAGACAGCCCAAGGCCAGTTCCTAAACTTCAAGAAACTCCTGGACTACAACCAGAACTCGATGCCATTTGCGTCTGCCTCAATCGGAAAATCGTTCCGCAATGAGATTTCCCCTCGTTCTGGCCTCCTCCGCGTCAGAGAATTTCTGATGGCTGAGATAGAGCATTTTGTCGATCCGGAAGGCGGCAAGAAGCATCCTAAATTCGACTTGGTCAAAGATCTACAGCTCAGCTTCCTTGATCGCGCAACCCAGCTGCGCGGTAAGACCAGTCTCCAAAAAACCACGATCGGAGAGGCAGTGGCCAGTAGAATGGTAGACAATGAAACGCTGGGATACTTCCTAGGCCGCATCTATCTCTTCCTGCTCAAGATCGGCATCGATGCGAATAAAGTCCGATTCCGCCAACACATGGCAAACGAGATGGCCCATTATGCTACTGACTGCTGGGACGTCGAGCTCCAGACCACCTATGGCTGGATTGAATGTGTCGGATGTGCGGATCGCAGCGCCTACGATCTGACCGTGCATTCTAAGAAAACCGAAGAGCCACTTGTCGTCCGTGAATCCCGGCGTGAGCCACTGAAAGTTGAAGAGTGGCAAATTGACATCAACAAGCCCAAGCTGGGACCACTCTTCAAAAAGAATGCCAAGGCCGTTGAAGCGGCGCTAATCTCGCTCTCCCAGTCTGAGCGGGAGTCCCTAGCTACGACTTTAGAAGAAAAGGGTGTCGTTTCTGTCACGGTCCCCGAAATGGCAGAACAAGTTGATGTTACCAAAGACTTTATCAGTATCGTCAAGCGGATTAGAATTGAAAACATCCGCGAATACATTCCTAACGTTATCGAGCCCTCATTCGGCATCGGGCGGATTTTCTACAGTCTGCTGGAGCATGTTTACTGGCATCATGCTAACGATCCTGCGCGTGGTGTATGTCACTCCTGCTTCTAACTTCTGCTGGACTATTTCTCCTATCCAGTTTCATCTATTAGAATTAATGTGTGGTATCAGGTTCTATCCCTTCCCATCTCGGTGGCGCCCACGAAAGTTCTCATTGTCCCTCTCTCCACTCACCAAGACTTTGTTCCCCTAACAAAGAAAATCACTGACGATCTCCGTGAACTGGGCATATCTTGCCGCGCTGATGAGTCTTCTGCAAGCATTGGAAAGAGGTATGCCCGCAACGATGAATTGGGTATTCCGCTCAGTGTAACGATCGACTTCGATTCTGTGAAGGATCGAACGATCACGCTGCGTGAGCGTGACAGTACCAAGCAAGTCCGCGCCTCTAAAGAGGAAGTTTTCAGTGCTATTGAGTCTCTTATTAGCGGAAAGGAAAAGTGGGAGGATGTGTTTGCGCGACTTCCTGAGTTTTTGGGTCAGAGTGGTGATGAGTAGGACTCCACACATTGTATGAACTGCAATTATACATAGCATGAGTCTAGTTGCTTACGATGCTCTTCTCTGAATCCACACTACCTGGCTGGAAAACCATTTGCTGGCTTCAAACCATCAACTAAATATGGTTCTGCGACAAGTTAAAGAGAATGGTAGTAGAGACAAAAAATTTTAAACCAAAAACATACAACAGAAGGGATTCGCTGGTGGTCACCCACCCAACTACTAACCTCCCGGCGTGTGGCTTAAGTACAGCTGAGCGGACGGGAAGCCCTGTTTTCCACACCCTGTGGTCGTATGTACTTATTCCTCTTTGTTGGACGATTATATTCATAAAATGCTCAATATGCTCTACGCTAAAGCAGCTTTTCGGAAATTCGGACCCTGCATTGTCAGTGTCGTATGTGTGGTACTTATCGCTTATCGGAAATTTTCCGTTGCATGACGGAATGCACTAATTTCTGACCGTTGATTTTGGCTCGGCAGATCATCGGCAGATATTTTCCCCTGTAAAATACATTTCATCCATTTCCGTTCTCTCCCTCCATTTCCTCATTTCTTGAATTTTCCTAGATCACCTTCTATTCCAAACAACATGGCTGCCAAAACCTTCATCGTTACCGGTGCCTCGAGAGGTAGGGAACCAACACTACATATTGTTCATGTCGGCATCTAATTATGCGACCTTCGACGCTAAATATCCCACCCATGGTATAGGTATTGGTCTTGCAACGGCTAAGTTCCTCCTCTCGGCGCCTCAATCCCACAATGTGGTAGTGATGGCCCGTAGCGCGGAGCCCCTTCAGAAGCTGAAAGACCAGTACCCCACTCAAGTTGAGGTCCTGACCGGCGATCTTGCGGACTTCTCGCTCGGCCAGAAGGCCGTTGACCTGGCCTTGAAGGCCTTCGGTCATCTCGATGGCTTGGTTCTTAACCACGGCATGCTGGGCCAAGTTGCCAACGTCGCGGAGGCGGATCCGAAACAATGGCAGCATGGATTTGATGTCAATTTCATTAGCTTGGTGACTTTCGTAAGTTACTTCGTAGACTTTCTTGATCAGGATCACAGAGAAGAAGCTACTGGTATCCAGGTACTGACACATCGAAACCAGATCAAAGCTGGACTCCCCGCACTTCGCAAATCCAAGGGTAAGATCATCTTGACGTCTTCCGGCGCATCCGTCTCGGGATTCAAGGGATGGGGTCTGTATGGCGCGACCAAGGCAGCCATGAACCACCTGGCTTTGAGCCTTGGCGAAGAAGAGCCTGATGTGACGTCCGTGTCCATCGACCCGGGTTTGGTTGATACCGAGATCCAGAGACAGATTCGTGAAGATCTTGCTACTACTATGGACCGCCAATTCCATTCTGTCTTTACTTCTGTTCACCAGGCTGGAAACCTTCTGAAGCCTGAGCAGCCTGGTAATGTCATGGCTAAGTTGGTGATTGATGCGCCGAACTCGCTGAGTGGCAAGTACCTGACGTAAGTTCTATTCTTGTTCACCTATGGCACTTTCGTGATTTGGTAAAATTAACGAGAGATAGGTGGAACGACGAATCTCTGAAGGCTTTCCAGTAGACCTTATAGAATAGACCTGTATATATCGTGATCAGTATATACCATCATAGAATATTAGATGACACATCTTTTTTATAATTCTATCTACATCTTACAAAAAGATTATAGGATGGCTGAGTCGGATTTAGTAAGGAAGGATTCGAGTAAGCGTAGGATAAATTCGTGCACTGGAAATTGTTAGGGAATGTCAAACTGTTACCTGGATAGAGCATTTGGAGCAGAGTCAGACAACCTTAATCGAGAAGATTCAGGGGAATCATGACCAAAAATAGCCCAAAAGCCAAGAAAAGCCCCGCATTATGTCATTGGACCCTGCATTACCGAAATCAGTGTAGCTTTTGAAATTCCATCAACATTCCTCCACCTGCAAGGCAACCTGTCGCCCACCATGCATCTAAATCACAAAGTACCATGGAACACAGCAGCCGCACACATAAATATTATAAGATGCAATCCTCATTCCACACCTCGACGCACCGACTTCTTCGCCGAAATAAACCCACGGAGTCATCCGACCTGAACCACTTTCGTCGCACCCTCACCAAGACGATCCGCGAATTCTCACGCACCGAAAAATCAGAAAAATCGAGCCACTCAACCCTGTCCCTCTGGACAGCCTCATATCTGATGATCTACTATCTACCCGGAGAGCCAATTCGGCCTCGGGCCCCATCAAAAAAACTCCGCCCTGCATAACCCCCTATCTACCAAGCACCGAGACATCCAATACTGGATCGACAGCGCTAGCTCTAGCGACGACAGTTACCCTATAAGCTACTGCAGCGGAGATGGGGACCTCGCCGACGCAGTCAAACTGCTGATTATCATATCCGCAAGCGCGAGAAAGAATGATCCCCTATCAAAGCAAATGTCACGAGAAGCTTTTCCCGCTCTGATAACGCCCTGGCGCCATCCCCAGGTACCTTTTCATACACTGGCACACATCCATTGGGGTCATGCCTTCGGGGTAAAGCTCGTTGCGGAGCCGGCGTTGACGATATATGTCATGGTTAATCTGATGGATGCTGTGCTTGTCGAGAAACGGTTGAAAGGGGATGATGGGAACGTAGCTTCACTTATGGAAACGCAAACATTTCAGTACTGGGCGCGTCATGCGCTTGCGGACTATGATTACTCGACGCAGGATGTTCCGCATCGGGAATATTGGAATCACTTTGGGGTTACGGATATGTGGCCTTCGCTGAATCGTTGTGAGGAGGTTTTTGATGCAACCTTGAAGGAGGAGGGCGTTACTGATCCGTTGAGGGGTGAGAGCGAAGATATCAGAGTGCGTCTGAAGGAGTATTTGAAGGCCTGTTTCGCTATATTGTACATATATGATATGCTGCTGCGGGAATGGTATGGGGAGGAAGAAGCTGACGAGAAGTGGAACTGCTGTATTGGTTCCCTCTTTGAGTCTTGGGGTTGCATGGTCTAGATTTGACTTCAACTGAGCTGCTAGTGGCTCTTATCCATGTATCTTGAGTCGTGCTCGTGAAGAATTACTTTAAATATCCTGAAGCTATTACACCAAGCCGTCCGATACCAACAAAGCCTAATCATCCGAAACCGTATAAACCAGCTTCCTGCCGCTAACGGTGCCGTTCTTCAAATCCTCCAGTCCATCAAGAACCTTCTTTAAACCCCCAGCTCGCTTATCAACAACGAGTGGTTTAATCTTCCCCTCAGACCAAAGAGTGGATACTATGCCAGCCCATCTCTGGGCAAATTCAAATTCTGCCGGCATCCTGGGGATAACCATGCAATCTGGTCCGTACTCGAATGGCTCACCAAGAGCCGTGCAGCAATTGACGAAAGTGGACTTCACGTCCACACGACCAATCTCTGCTGGAAGCAGAGAATGATACAAACCACCCTTATCATTGATGGCATTTTCACAGATACGCACTGACTCTTTCGATGATACGGCATCGCATACGATTCTCAGAGTATTGTTGGTATGTTCCTGGATCTGTTGCGCACATCCGGGGTCGCGGTAATCGAAAACTGCATCAGCGCCGTACTCACGCACTAAGTCGAAGTTCTTCGGCGAGCAGGTCGTCAGGACTGTGTATCCGGCCCTGGAAGTGTACAGGATTAGGGTTCTATCACTCATGGAAACACAGCACAAAGGAGAACCTACAGTTTCGCGACTTGAATAAGCCAGCATCCTGAGGCGGTGCTTCCGCCATAGATCAAAATTGTGTCGTGATTCTCCTTAGGAGGGTGATTCCATGGTAAATTAAGACCGGATGGCCCAAAAAGACATTGTCCCGCGGCAATTGCTCCGACTCCCATGGTGGCTGCAACCTCGAAACTCACCCAATCGGGAATCCGGATCTGGACGGCTGCTTTGGCCAAAATATACTCTGCGAAGGTACCGCTCTCGGGACGGGTTCTATCTGCTCCCTTGACGAGTCCACATACACGGTCTCCGACTTTGTACTGCTCTGAGGCGGATTGTCCAATCTCGACAATGGTGCCGGAATAGTCATGGCCCATGACTGCGTTGGGCGACGGAGTGCTTCCAAGAAGCATCCAGTCAATAGGATTCAAGGCTACAGCGGCAGTGCGAATGAGGATCTCATCGCGGCGGGGACTCGGGATGGGTTGGTTTGTGACGAAGGCTGCGTGGCCTAAAGATAGTGTGATGACTGCTGCTTGGGTGGACTGCATATTGAAGAACAATAATTTTAATAGAAGCAGATGGCTTGAGTCGACTGGATGGTATACTCACACCAGAGCAGTAACATTATCTATCTTTATATACAGAAGGAAGTTGGGGGAGCTTACAATATCCTTAGGAATTATGGGCTGTATGGGACCCACTTTCCTCCGCAATGGCTGACGGCCAGCCGTCGCATGACCCGCATGGCTCCGTTAATGTCTATTCATCTTTTGAGAGATGCGAGTGAGTCTCCATTTCTTCCGCTTTGACAGGTAGCATGCTGACCGGCGATTTAATCTATTATGAGAAAGGTTACCATTGTCACTACCTACTAAATATATTCATCGCAGTTTGACTATACTCAACTACCGAGTATCTTCCCTTGCACGGTGTCCAATCCTTTACATGCAACCAGCAAAAGGAATTTGAAGTCATCTACATGAAGCAGTTCGCCTTGTTCCCAGACACCCACAAGCTCGTCGTAAGACACGATTCTGGATGCCGACTGCGTAGTCAATTGCCCTTCATCAAGACTCCCAAAATACAAATTCGTGTATGACTGAGTAGAGACCGGCAGCCCAGCAAGATATTTGATAAAGTCGCATCTGTGAAAGTGGACCACGGCATGGACAGCACGCACCAGATATGACACTAAGATAAGTCGCCGGGCATTTTCACAGAGATCCCTGCTCTTCAAATGGCTTGGGGGTGTTGTGTGCCGAAGTTCCAACTCTCTGCGTTCTAGGTCGGCTGTGCCCTGTGCTAACTTGTAGTCCAACTGGATAAACAAAGACTGATCACCAACACCACCCGCGAGGAAGAGAATAAAGTAGAGAATCAAAGCCTGGAGGTGATCAAGTTGATCCTGCAGTTCCGCCTGCGGTAGGTCACTCATACCCGCATTACTGACGCCTGCCTTCAACAGCTGGAGGTAGAAAGGCTGGGTTGCATGCTGGCAGGTGCGATATGCGGCGCACACTCCGTAGGCTTCCCGGAGAATAGGAGAAATCTCCCCTTTAGACTCGGTGGATGACTCAACGAGAGGCAGTGTACCGGTGTTCAAGAAGTGATCGACATAGCCTAGAAATGTTCGGATGCAGAATCGCCAGGTTTGCATGTCATTAACGCGGGGCCAAAACTCCAAGACTCTGCGTTCCAGCCGTGGCAGGAATGAGGATGATAGTCCATCTATTGCCCTCGTCTTAGACGACCACTCATCCGGTTCTACGGCCCAGCCCTGAGCGGGGCTCGTCGGACCGTCCGGGAACCATAGCAGTGGGTCAATATACTCCTCTCCGGGATAGAGGATCGTAGATCGGTCTATGCAGCTATCTACAATCATGATGTCGCTGACTTCCAGGATACCAGAGTCGCTTGTAGTGCTGACATTTGCAACCTGATCCTGTGTATTCTGTGGAGGCGGATATGGGTACCGACATGCAGCGTTCTTCTTCCGACAGCGGGCGCAAGTGGGCCTTTCCAAGTCGCACCGACGCTTTGCTGCAACACATGATAAACAAGATGTTTTGCGAAGGGACATTGTTACGTCTGCTCTCGTATGGGTGATTCGACTGCGCTGGTTGCGGGGTCTTGATGTTCTTAGCTTCCAGCTTATGCGACGCGGCTGAGTTGCGGACAAAAGTGGATCAGCGGAGCAGGGTGGACCACTGCCATCATCTGACATCAGCCAGAGAGCAGATCCCTTTGTCTTACGAAGTATTATTTAATCATACACGAGAAACATGAATGGACGTAATGTCTATGACTTATAGCCAATCGGGACCTATAATTCAAGGGATATTGGTATATTTGTTATAGTAATCAATACAACGAACCCTAACACTCACCCTTACCAGGGTGTCCTAATCTGCAGTTCCAAGTCGCCCCTCGTCTTGGTAATCAGATTGAAAAGGAAATGCTCCATAAGTCCATCAAGTCCAAGTGTCTGGGGCCCGCCTTTCAGCGTGACCATTTCCACAGCTGCGTCTACGTGATGCTTGAGCATTTTTGTATCTCGAACATATAACTATACCCTAGTATTAGCACTCTCCGCATGAGGTCACAGTAGAGGCACTTACTTCGTCATACGCTAGCATAATAGCTTTCGCGACCGTTGAGTCACTCACCAACGGCATTTCAGCCGAGATGGCATGCCTTAGTGCATGCAGACTCTGGGATTTATACTGAAAGGTCAGTTGTTGAAAGATGCGCTGCTGTTGTTGCGACCCCTGTCTATACGCAATAGACAAGTGGCGGCATGCTGCAAGCAGAATGATATCGAGAAGGCTTGACTCGGTGATCGCAGTAGGAACCCAGAGTCTGATCATGCGCTGTGCGAAGAAGATTGCGCTCTCATTGCAGCGCATCAGAGGGATGACGGCGTTGACATCTTCACCGTAAATTAGCAAACTTAGTGTGTTCTGGACTTGGAGGTCATACAATGATCAAAGAGAAATTGTTCTAACGAGTTTAAGCCCCTAGCAAAGCTATGGAAAGGGTCTCGCCTATCAGATGAGAGGACTGTGGCAATCTCTAGCTGCACACTTGACTGAAAGCCAGTGCAACTACTAATAACTCCGTCTCGTGTGTCTATCCTCCCCCGCTTCTGTGCCTGATACTCCATCATCCGCCGATGTCGGACGCGGGCATGCGCAGAGCGAGCGGCATGTGAGCGAGTAATCCGCTGTTGTGACTCTGTCAATGCGGCCTTCTCCTTCGGTGCAAGTGTGACATTGATAAAAGGTGCTTCCCGCTGTGCCATCCTAAAGAAAGGACATTATCTGAAACTCTTGTTCTCGATTGTGAGCTAAATAATGTTCTTGTTCATTCTGAACTGAAGCCGGGCAGCTGACAAAGCATCTATTATCTAACTTTGCCAAGACCTGCGCCTGCTCAATGAGGCTTAATGCTTATCCTGGATAGACTCACGCTTGTGATTGGCTCACTGTGCTCTGTTGATGTCGTCCACGGTATAGATAGGTATCGCCATGTGTTGACAAATATTTTGATGCGAAAGGGGCCATGAAGGACAAATATATAAGCATCATGTCCTCCCCCTGTTTCACCAGACTTAGTTGTATCCTTTCTTTCTTGAACTCAAGTCTCCAGGTTATCCATCAATTCCATCATGGACGGAACAGTCCTCATCACCGGTGCAAACGGCTCTCTTGCCCTAGGCTCCATACAAGCCTTACTATCCCTCCATCCCCAGAAGGCCATAATCGGCACCGTCCGGAACACCTCCCCAGAGCATGATTCAAACACCGCAAAACTCCTCAACCTAGTTTCCGGCTACCCCAAAGCGAATTTCCACCTGGAGGCCCTCGATCTCGGCAACCTTGCCAGCGTCCGCTCCTTCGCAGATCAACTAGCCGACAACATAACCCCCAAGAAGCTTCCACCCATCTCAGCAATCATCTGCAACGCCGCCACCTTCTCCTTCGAAGCAGGACAGGTCTTCACGACGGACGGTTACGAGGCTACCTTCCAAGTATGCCATCTGTCTCACTACCTTTTGATTTTGAAACTTCTCGATAGCATGAACAAAGCATCCGGACGTATAGTCCTCCTTGGCTCGGTCACCCATTACCCCGAAAAACCCAACCCACTTTGTTCTCTAAGACCAGGGTTTCCGGAGAATATGGACGATCTGGTGCGTCCGCCGCCGGATCCAGCAGATCTTGTGCATGATAAGGGGTTTCAGAGGTACGGTACTGCAAAGCTGGCGAATGTTACGCTGGCGATGTATTTGAACCGCAGGTTGAAAGAGGTATGTTGTTTCAATTCCCCATAAGAGGGGAAACGATTGACGTTGGCTTTTGCAG